TCGCGGGACCTCACGGTCGACCATCGATTATGTCTACTGCTCACCAACGCTATTTCAACAACTACACTCGTCCTCCATTGATTTTATGTGCTCCCAATGGACTGATCATGCCATCCTCAATACCACCTTTCAATTCTCCTCCTCTCAACAGGGTACTGGACTTTGGCGAGCTAATCCCCAGCTAGCAAAGAACGAGTACTTCGTCACCGAAATCCACCAGGCGTTAGATCAGTTCTTCCAGGAACCAGGTACTTCCCCTCAAGCACAATGGGATGCACTCAAGGCCGTAGTGAAAACCATTGCCCGTCGCATTGGTCGCCGCCACAGCTCTTGGCGCAACCGACAGCTCAAAAGGTTTCAAAGGAAACGCAACCAGTTGTTCAAACGATATCAGAATCAACCAGCCATTCTCCGAGAACGATTACCCGTTATCGAGAAACTCATCAGCGATCTGCAACAGGAGATCTCCATCCAACAAACCATTCGTGCGGGTAAAATGTGGCGTGAACAGGGTGAAACGTCTGCCGGATACCTCAAACGCACAATCGCCACTAGACAAATTCAACGCACCATGTTAGCTCTCCAACATCCAGACACCCACTCCATCTGCGATACGGCAGAGACTATGCAGGATGCTGCAGTATGTTTTTATCGTAAGCTATATACTACTGACTCCATAGATTATACCAGCATCTCTGAACTCTGCAACACCATCCCTGCCTCAGCACAGATCCCAGTAAACAGCCAACCCACCTTGGAGACGCCATTTACCATCGACGAGATTATGACTGGTGCACAGCGGTCGCCCAACCATAGCAGCCCAGGTACGGATGGCCTACCCTATGAAATCCTAGCGGTGCTATTATCCCACCAACAAACAGCCCAACTTGCCCATGCCGTCTTCAAGGAGGCTCTTACCCTCGGTATCTTTCCCAACAGCTGGCTCACTACTTGCATGTGCCTGCTCCCTAAAAAGGGCGATCTCACAGACCTGAGGAATTTTCGTCCCATCTCGTTAATCAACTGCGATGCTAAAATCTTCACACGCCTGCTCAATCAGCGTCTGATGCCACATATGCAACAATTAATCAGCCCCCAACAACTTGGATTCATGCCGAACCGCTTCATTGGCGAGCACGGCTTCACATTACAGACCACCAAACTCCTAGCTACTACCAACCATTCATCCACCATTGCTCTTCTTTTGGATCAAGAAAAAGCATATGATCGTATTCATCCCGAATATCTTCAACACATTATGCTCCAATTTGGTATTCCACAATCTTTAACACACTGTATCATCTCACTTTTCTTCTCCACTAACATTCAGATCAACATTAATGGCCACATCACCAAGGCACCTCTCCCTCAAGAAAGAGGCCTTCGCCAAGGTGATCCACTCAGTCCCCTCCTTTTCAACATTGCTTTTGACCCTTTCCTCCGCTCCATTCAACAGAACCCTACCTTTGAGGGTTTCCATGTACAACAAGAAGCCCCACCACATCCATCACCTACTGCCGACGTGGACGATCTAACCGAAAGCCTCACCAACTCATCCCCTCCGCCAGACTCCCCTCGCAACACTCCTTCAGTCTCTCCCACCCATCGCAATCCAATTAAGTACAAAATTCTAGCCTATGCAGATGACACATTAGTCTATTTGAAGAACTTTTCGGATTTTCTTCTTCTGCAGGACTCTATCAATGCATACATGAAAGCATCGAATGCACTACTAAATTACAGAAAAACTATAGCCATTTCGCTCTCTGGACAACCACAACCAGATTGGCGCGAGTTTCTTGCTACTCACCAAATCCACCAAATGCATGACCGCACCTCTCCTGATCCAGTAACATATCTTGGCTATCCCATATGCTCCAGTTTATCCCAACGCAACCTCGCTTTCCAGCAACTCTACAACAATATCCAACAATGCATCCATATTCACTCCCAACGGAACCTCTCCATTCGTGGAAGAGCTACCGTTCTCAACACACTCATTTTCTCGAAACTCTGGCATGTCATGCGCAACTTTATTTTCACCAAAGCTCAATTACTCTCCTTACGCAGCCTTGGGTCCTCCTTCATTAACTTTCGTATCTTCCCCAAACTTTCCTTTAGAACCCTTCAACAGCCTCGCCATCATGGCGGCCTCCAAGTTTTAGATCCCATTGTCCAACAACAAGCTCTCCAATGGCGCTGGATTTGCCCCCTCATTTTAGCCGCCTGTCATTCACCACTATTACCGACATACACCACCCCAAGCATTCCACTCCTCCAGTACTCCCTGCAATGGTATTTCCACTCTACCGCTTTCTCTGATTACTTTTACTACTTACTCTTTCCTGCTGCTCGACAAACCATCTGGTTCCAACATCGACCCAGTCCACACCAAGCTTTCCTTAACATACTCACCAATGTCATTACCACCATGGATCGAATACCTCGTTCCTTCACAACCTGTCACTTAGATTTTCATACAGGTTTATCATTACCTTTCCTTGAAATTATCTTACATACCCTCCCTTCTACTCACCCCCATTTCTCTTCTTTCACAGCTCCAGATCAACTGTTTGACCGACATCACGCCGTCCAGAAACTGCTCGCAATAGATGTGTTTACCTTTGACTTCGACTTACAAGTGATCCGTCTTAGAAACTGGACCTTCCTTGAGTTTTGCCATTATCCAAGAATATCTCATCGAGTTGCCCGTTGGATTGAGGAAGGCCAAATCTACCTCCAACCATTCTTTCTCGCTCTCTACCGTCAGGCCCCTCGCCATTCATTTACCAGTGCCTCCTTTGGTGCCAACCCCCACAACATCCGCCCACTCATTCGCCGTCTAATCAAACCTATAACACCACTACCTTCAACAGTGCCACTCAACAGTATTCAATACTACAAACACTTGGTTTCCACTGACATGCCCACCATCAACACTTCACCTCTTTCCCCCTCCCAATGGCGCCTCTTTTGGAAACTACCTATTCTCCTTCAATCCCGAACTGTATGGTATAGACTTATCCATCGAAAAATTCCCTCCAAATCGATCCTCCACCACTTCATCCCCACAACTCACCCTTCACCTTCGTGTCCTCTCTGTTTGACCCAATGCCCGGAGGATATCCAACATTTCTTCTTTACTTGTCCTCTCAAACTCGCTGTATGGCGGTTCCTCGCCACTACATACCTATCCCACACACCGATGACCGACGACGTCCTTCTCCCATTCCTCCACGGCATTCAAACTCTATCCATAGCTGAACCCACTCGCTCTGCCTCCTTACCTTTTCCAGAGCTTACCGTTTACCAAGTTTTCGCTACCAGTCTACTCTGTATATGGCAAGCCCACTGGCGCTCCATCTTCGACCATGTCCCTTTTGTCACTCTCAACGTTAACACATCTATTGCCCGTTCTCTGTCTCGCTTGGAATCGGAATTACAGTTTGATTTGTAAGTATGTACCCCCACGTATTTTATGGTCGTATTCCACTTCCTTGCTTCCCTTTCATTTCCTTGCCTTTAAAAATATATCCAGTCTTCTTCTTCCCTCATCATGACATTTAGAGGACTTTAAATAAAAAATGGAGTACAACTCCCCTACAAAAAAAAAAAAAATACTTCCTAATACAGTCCCTGGTGGTAGGGCGAAGTGGTAGAAACTCCCGTATGCCAACGGGAGGATCCTGGTTCAAATCCTGGTGAACGCAAGTTGTTTGATTTTTTGAAGTAGTACTGATGTCCTCGTTTGGTGTTTTGTACTCTACCCATTATCTATATTTTGACGATTTCCGCAAGACTGTTTTGGCTCTAGGTGTCGCACCTTATTAGTAGTAGATTTCTTTCCCAACTTAATTCAAAAATATCTTATTCCCCTTCATTGCAGACATTGGGTCCACCAACAGTCTTTTCTTTCCCTCAGCATGACATTTAAAGGACTTTAAATAAAACCTGGAGCTCGACTCCCCTACAAAAAAAAAAATACTTCCTAATACATTTTAGGAGTACTTTTCAAGGCACTTCCAATGGTGCTAATTATAATGGGCTTTTTGAATGAGCTTACTGAGCAATTATTAAAAATAAGAAATGAGATTTTTGGGCGAAATGTCGAGATTTTACATACAAAGGTTTCATAAACAAAGTTTCAGGGGGTTGCTTTGAATCAAGAGAAACATTCTGATATAATATGTACTATAGTAAAAGTCTTCATTTTGGCAGCCAGAAACGCGATCGTTTAATTTTCAATGAAAATTATGAGGTATCCCTCATGGTTTTTGGTCGAAATTTGGCGACCTCAAAAGAGTTGAGCAACAGTGTCAGGAAGTAAGTACTATCTGAGAGCAATTAATTGGTGCGATTCCGGCGGTCTAAAACGGCTTCTAACGCGAGAAATCACTGTTCAAATACATACAAATTTTGCTGTGAACTGAATATATTTGAGTGAAAAGAGGTAGTACTAGTATGCTGTCTGCCCGTTAGGGAATTGTTTTTAATGATACTGGTGTGGGCCATCGCAGAAGAGTCAGACCCAAGGCCACAGGCCGTTTGTGGAGAGATCTGGCATGACAGGAAGAGATTAATTTATGAGCGATCAGTAGAAGATGGTTGTTCGCTTTCCCTCTAGCAGACTCAGACAACTCTAAAGTTAGAGTATTATCAAAAGTAACAAGGTTGTGGCATTGTTCAGCTTCATCTTTTCTTCTACTTAATGTAATCTAACAATTACAGTAATTTGAAAAGACATTGGGCTCTCTTCAAGCACTGCGGCACTTTCATCTACTCTTTCCGCCACATCAATTGACGATGAACCCAAGCTCCCATAGTAGGCATATTACAATGACAAACAATAATAATCTGATGATAACGGGCTAACGCAGTTACACATAAAGATAAGTGCAAATATACTCGTACTCGATGCTGAGAATAGAATAGCACCACATAAACACATTTGGCATACAGGTATATTCCTCTTTTCGCTTTTCTTCTTTCTCCAATTACAAATGAAGCTTTCCTTGAAACAATTCGTTGTTCTTGCGCTAGGCATAGCTACTTCTGGCGTAAATGCCAACTCATGTCAGGAACTAAATGATCAAAAGGCAATCGATGAATGCTACATGAAGATCGCTTTGGATTACGCTTTGATTCACAATCCTGGGTTTCCTTTCGGTGCCTTGATCGTGGATCACATCAAGAACGATATCTCTTGTTACGGTGCCAACTCAAACAAAAAGAACAAGCTGCTTCATGGAGAGACCGCTGCCTTCTGGAAGTAAGTTGTGTATATATCTACAGCTGATATGCGCATGCTAACAGCCATTTATTAGCTGCACCGAGTTGTATCCTTCTCCTACCAATGATGACATGTTTAATCCCGGTTTAGATTGGTCCCAACAAACTTTATACACTACTGGTGAGCCCGTAAGTACTTGCGCATAAACGGTATACATCGTATGCTCATTGAAAGCGCCCTTCATAGTGCCCCATGTGCGCCTCTCAAAGTATCTATCGCGGCGTTTCTCGTGTTGTATGGGGCACCTCCATCCCGGATATCAACAAGAGCGGAAGACAGCAATTGATGATTAGCATGTAAGTAGAGTAGAAAGCAAAGCGGGTGAAGAGTCGTACACTAAACGATCATGCCAGGCATGATGTCGTTGCTTCCGCCAAGATCGGTGCCAATCTCCCCAATCATGAAGTGCCTATCCTCGAGGGTGGTGTTTTGAAGGACGAATGTGATCACGCATTTTGGTGTGCATTTGAAGTATTCAGGGATGATGAGTACTATGCTGCTATGACAAAAGACGGCCTTGAAAAGTACATCGAAGATAGAAATGCTCGTTTCAAATGCAAGACTGTGCCCGAGAAGGATCGTGATGAGCTCTAAAGAGTCAAACAACTGTAAATATGGTCAACAGCCACTCCATATAAAATCACGCTGTATATAAGAAATGCATTCTTTTTTAAACATGGCTAACAGCTACTGCCATGTCTAAAAAAACACGCTGTACATAATAAACATTCCAAGTTTACACCCGAATTACTGCACGTTCTGTTTTATTTGATACAGTGCTCAATTGGCCATCACTCGCCTCGATTATGTTCATTATCGCAATAGAATACATGGATCAGCTTGAAAAAATAAAACACTGCCGCTGCTCATTCTAAACATAGTATTACAAACATAGCTCGTGCTTATGTATCGTTTGATATAGATGCTATGACTTATCTATATTGATCAGCGCCCTGAATTTAATCCAAAAGATAGAATGTATATTTCTGCCCTGTTACCTCTTTCAAATTGATAACAGGCTACTTATCATAATCTCTTGGTATCACAAAGCCTGGTTATTGTTGTCTATCATCCATTATGTGTAATCTTTATCAATAATCTCACTTGCTATCTTAATTACGCATATGATGTTTTGTATTCATAGTTTAACTTTGATTATCGTGGTTTGTGTGAATCATTATAATTTCCCATGCTTGACACATGATATATAAATACAAGCTGATGGATACAATTCTTCCTCTTTTAACAAAAATCAAGAAGATGTCTACTTCTACTATAGCTTCTGCTGCTGCTGCATCTGTTGCCATTCCAAGCTCCCAAAGAGAGTTCACGTGTGTTGACTTGTCCGACTTTGACAACCGTCGTGATGAAATCATAAAGACACTGATGGGTGCTGCCACTACCCAGGGCTTCTTTTATGGTGAGTCATTTGTGTTTATACTGTATATGTACTCGGCAACCGTACTCATGTTTTTGGATGATCTAGTTGTAAACCATGGCATTGACATCAAGGATATCCGTAGTATGTTCCAAGCCAGCCACGATTTCTTTGCTTTAGACGATAGTATCAAGGCAAAGTATCCTATTGATGTAAGCAGAAATGCTGGTTGGGAAAAGTTGGCTCAAATCAGGCCTTCCACTGGCGTTGCAGACCTCAAAGAGTCCATACAACTTGGCTTTCATAACATGGAGGATATCTGGCCTTCTCTTGAAGACGCTTCTACTTTCCGTCCTACTGGTGAAAAGTTCATGCTCCAATGCAACGAGGTTTCTACCAAGTTGCTCACTTGTTTAGCCCTTGGTCTCGGCTTTGAAGAGGATTTCTTTACGAAATGCCATGACATCAAAAAGGAAGACTGTCTCAACACATTGCGTTGTCTCCACTATCATGACATTACTGGTCAAACCTTCCCTCCTGAATACTGGCGTGCGGGTGCTCACACCGATTTCGACACATTGACCTTGTTGTTTCAACGCCCTGGTGAGAATGGCCTTGAAGTGTGTCCTGGTCGAGAGGCATCCACTGAGTTTGGACATGGAGATTCATGGACACCTGTTAACCCACAAGAAGGTGATATTGTTTGCAACATTGGTGATATGATTATGCGTTGGTCTGATGATCAATTGAAGAGCAACTTCCATCGTGTTCGTGCACCTGTTGTTGGTGAATATCAGGGTCCCCGTTACTCCATCGCCTACTTTAACCAAGCAAACAAGTCTGCTATTATTCAAGGACGTACTCGCTACCCTGATCCTATTACCGCCGGCGAATTCATCAAGCAAGCTATGGAAAGAAACTATCGTGCTCTCCAAGAATTGAAGGCCAAGAAGGAGGAACTGCCTGTTCAGCCTACTGCCATCAGCACTATTGCTGCCTAGGCTCATACTTTTACCCATCATTTGTATATTTATATCTCTCTTACAGAGGAATAAGGAGTTACTGTATATATTGTATAGAACATGGCTTATTCTTCTCTTTTTTCAACCTTTCTCGGTAAGAGAGATCATAATTCCTCGCGGTGCAGCCAAATCCGCGTTAAAAACCTGTGTAAATAAATAAACCTCTTTCTTTTTTCTATCGTGAATATCCATTTAGCCTGACATGGTGTATGTTGTAGTCGCTGAAAGCAATGAATCCCCCACTTTTGTCTTCAGGTACAGGCAACTCAAATGCTGACCACCGCAAATAGAAACGGAGTGCGTCGCTAGAGCAAAAAGGAAGGAATGCAACTAGACTTACATCAGAGATAAGGGGATCAAGAAAAGGGGCTGAAAGCACAAGACGTATGCTCTAATGTGTATGCTTTATAATGTAGTGAGTATCTGCGTGCCATCATCTCAGCATGAATCACTACGTAATACCGTCCTACATAACATGTAAGTGATAGTCTGTGGATCTATTCCGAAAGAAATGGTAGTAGACTGATGATGATAAGATCTATGATATGTGCACATATCAAGGAGAGCACTATAAATGTAGTGAGGCAATTTGAACGAATGATATTGAAGCGAACACCCAAAAAATCAATAGCGTATATGTGCATAAATTTATTTTTTTAGTTGTAAGCTGGCAGCGGCACCACCAGTGCCAGGAGTATCGTTCGTGGTACTATTATTATTCATTGAATCCATGAGAACAGCTCTGTACAAGACTATGTATTTACAATGCGTCCAAATTCACTGTAGCGTAATGCAATGAAACCCTTTTTATTAGTCTTTCTTTGGCTTTAATTGATTCAAGCCAAACTTTCTGTAAAAGATCAGGTCTTTGATAAAGAATGGGAGATAGTAGAATAAGAGGAACACCCAAGAAGTAGCACCGTACGTAATGTATTTGGGGGATACAGGCTGAGTAATCTTTTTGACGACATGTCTAGCGAATACTTCGTTGGGAGTATTACCAGCACCTAATTTCATGTTAGTTTCAGCTATGATATCCATTATAGAGGGCCCTACTTTGAGACATGTTGGCACGAGCAATGATAAACTTGGCGATAGAGGCATAGAGAGAATCTAAAGGACATAGCTTTATAAATATCATGCGAGAAAATACACCATCATCAGCATCATACCTTCAGGAACATTCACAATTTTAGCACCAGCATTACCAAAGTTTGATTTAATAGCACCTGGAGCAACAACAACCACTTGAATACCAAATGGCTTCAACTCGAGTCGCAAGGTATCCGACATGGAATGCACAGCAGCCTTAGAGAGAGCATAGATACCGGCCCAAGGTGTGCTAACATAGCCAACAACAGAGCCAATGTTGACAATCTTACCGGAGCCTTGCTTTGCCATATGAATAGCAACAGCCCTTGACATGGCAAGCGTACCAAACACATTGGTATTCACACACTGATGTGCTACTTGCAAGTCAATGTCCATCAATGCACCTACAGCACTGTACACAATGAGATGGATAAACAAGCACTATCAGAAACTACTCACGGTGCACCTGCATTATTGACCAACACGTCTACGCATTGTGTTGAGTAACAGGACCATCATCACACTCTATTGTATACACATTTACCAATATGGCCTACTCTATCAATGACTTTCTGATGTGTGCACATGGCATGAGTCATCGTTTTCTTTTTTGAAATGTGATAACTCATGCTATACCTGAACGACTGTATTGATTGAATTTTGATCATTGATATCCAAGGCTTCCTTTTCACATCCAAATGCTAATGATTCCCTATGAGTGAAGGCTTTGCACGGCTCTTGAAAATTGTAAACGCACCTTCCAATCCCTCCAATGCATCCACATTGCGGGTGGTTGCAATGACATGATGTCCTTCTTGGGCAAACTTTTGAGAAAGGGCATAGCCTGGTTTAAACACGCTATTTTTAGATTTAGCCAGCATATGGTGCTGTTTGCCATTTTACCTATGCCACCTTTGGAGCAACCAGTGATAAGAACAATTTGTTTAGTCATTTGTGATAAGCAAAGTAGGAAAGAAGAGCAAAAGCGCAAATGCCCTTGAGAAAATAGCATTTGTAAATGCCGCTCATCTTTGCTTGTCTTACAAATCAACAGGTTACCTTAAAAAAAATGTTTATTATTACTATTACCATTAATGTGAATGAATGCTACTACTATTAATATGATGGGATGTTGCTGGCTAATGTACAGAAGATGGGGTTCAAGAGGGATATACAGTGGGAGGGAAGCGAGAAAAACAGCATGAAAGATTAGCATATGATGCTGCTGTTGGTTGTAGCTGAAGTCTTGCTTTTGTGGCGCTGATCTTGCTGTTGTCCACAGGTATTGCTATTGTCTATGCTATCCTCTTCGAGCGCGGGAAATGAAAAGTACATCTTCTCAAATGGACTATTGCCTTGATTCTTGTTGTCAGCTTGCTCTTGCTGCTGCTTCGATGGTAATACGAGTAATAAGAGCTGCTTTACAAATGTGGGCATATTTGATTGTCCAGCTTGAATCTGCTCGGTCATGATTTTACAGGATGAATGAGTGAATGAATGAGTGTTTGCGTGAACGCGCAAATTGTATTGATGTTGGTAAAGCGAAAGAATGAAGAAAAGAGAAAGGGAAAAAGGGAAAAAGGGATCAACTTTTTATATACAAAAAGAACATGTTTCTTGGTGTAGTATTTCATTGGGATACAAATACTGTAAAAGACATAATATAGACACAAAGTTTGAAAGGGACATGTGCTTTGAAAGTGTCTGATTGAAAGACCTTTTTTTTTCCCCTTACCTAGTACCCGATCCTCTCTCCAGCAAAAGAGCTCAAGGAGCAAGCAGTGTAGCAGGGGATTTTGCACACAAAAGAGAGGAAAGATTGGCCCAGAATTGGTTTCCTTTTATATTCTTGCTCAAAGGAAAATCTACCGAATTGCATGCAATATATACAAAACTGTTGATTTTGAGGTTACATTTTTCAATCGACTACTTTTGAACATTCTTTGGGCTTTCTCCCATTTGAATGGAAGGCAAAGCAATCATTTGATCGAAGCTACTTGAAATGTACATGGCACACGTGTGATAGAGTTCGAACTCGAGGTTGGAAAGGCTGCCATTTGCCGACGAGATCAAACTGACAGAAAATACATCTAAGGGCAGTGCCGTTACACCGACCAGTTACACATCTCTTTCTTTGCTGGGCCGAGGTCAGATTGAATGAAAGAGAAAATCTCAAGAGGGAACAATGATTGTGTGCTATAAACAACAACAATGCATGGTCAGGTTCGATTATTTGTTGTGATAGAGAATTCTTTTTATCGCTGTATCAGTGAAATGCATGGCTTTTGAGAGACAACAACAAATACCAATGTGTGATTTTTTTTCTCACTGCCTTACTGTTCCAAACACCAAGAACATGTTTGTACGACAAGCAGCAGTAATTTCAAAGGAATTCCATTACCAGCGTAAGAATTAAGGAGAGCGTGTAGATGACATGATGATTCCATTTCATCTGTCATTCAAATGCTGCGTGATTTATCCGGCTCTTAATTAAGGCACCATGATCCATCATGTAATTCTGTTGTCAGCATAACAGAAAGTCGTCATGAAGTAAAAGTATGTAAATTAAGCGTTGAGATTCTGAGCTACTGTTACTTGAAGGCTCTCTTTCTCTAGCTAATTTATTTACCAGGAGCCTCTCTCTTCAATCTTGCGCTTGGCTTAATGATTGGGGATCAATGCTTTTTGCGCATAAAGTTGCTTAGATCAGTTATCTCGGCACAGCTGATGATATACGTGCACCAGCTTTTCTTACACACAGTCATTGAGAAGATCCATCATACACTCTTTCCGGAAAGTAAATTCGCCCTGACGGGGCACTATGCTAAACCAGAGAGAAGTCTTCATGAGCATCAAAGAACTGGTCAAGAGGATCCGAGAGAACCGTTGATGTGAAGTCCACCTGAGCCATCTGATTACGTTGGTAATGGTTTTCAATGGTTGAGGAGGAAGTCCAATTACCGAGAATTACGATGTCGTCTCTAGAGACCCCAAGATCTAACACCCGTGAGTATGCCAATGAACGGATGGAAACATTAGGTTCAGAAGTGCAGAGCGCAATAAAGTCACGATGTAGCCATGAGGAAATGGTTGAAGACGATAGAGACTGTTGGATGAGATGAGACTTTACAAAGAGTTGTGAACCCGGAGGACGAGAAGCCAAACCAGAGTGATCATGAAGAGCCTTGAAGCCCTGAACTGGGCATAGTTCTATGTCGGACGTATGAGGGTGGATGGTAAAGGGCTTGATGATGCGTCGTTTGCGACGATTCTCTTTAGGCGCCACGACTTGTAAAGTAAGACAGCCAGTATCCATGATAGAACAGGAGTTATACGAGATACGAGCTAAGTCAGAAGGTCGGAGGAAAGCCGTCATAGCAAGTAGAAAGACTAACTTCTGTTGCAATAACTTGATAGAAGTAGTCGTGCGAGAAGCAATGGAACGGGTATAGGTCAACGCGGGGGGAGATGTCGATTGTGGGTCGGTGTATAGGGACGGGAGGTGCTTGTTTCAGCATGGTGTCTATGTAAGAGTTAATCAGTTCACTTTTACGTATACCTGTTGGTTCATTATGAAGATGAGCTACGGCAGCCCGTACAGTTTTCAGTGTAGAGACCTGTAAGTTGTAGCGGGTGCGTATATCCGAAAGAAAGTTAACAAGTTCTACGGGTGTGAACGAGGTGAAAGAAGCTCCATTCTTGATGGCCCATTCCAGGAAACGAAGCTGGTTCTTGCGATAGCTTAAGTTAGTCCCAGTGGGAGCTAACTTTGCTGCCAACAAGTCCTCAACCGCTTGTGCATTGAGGGTTTTCTTTAGTAATTGGTGCCTGATAGTTGCCACACGGAAAGCATCCAATTCTGTTGTAGTAATGGGTGGGGGAGTCCTGGGTGATATTGCCTGCACCGCTTGTGGTGGTAACATCCAAGGCGGGGAAAGAGCCAACCGTTGTAAGAGGGAGAACCACAGAGCACTAGGTTAGTACGGAACCACCAGAGTCACCAGGGAAAGTCGTACTTGCCTGATCTTGTTCGATACTCGTGTGATGAGATTCTAAGGGAGATTTACGAAGAGATTCTGGAAGTTGGTCCATGGTATTGATAGTGCATCCGTATATAAAGCGTCTGGATCCGGCATCCATGACACGTACTTTGGTAGCAACTTCGTAGTCCTGTCCACGAATAGATCAATGGAAAAAGGTCCCCAAGCTTGCTGTATCTGTTAAAATATCTGCGGCTTGATCACCCATTGATTCTTGAAATACTGGCGCCGAGACTCGAAGTCTGCGATCCTGTTGTGAATGCCTTGAATGTGTTGGGCCTGAATCATTATGCGATTGCGGAGACACCATGTCCAGACCTGCATTGCCAATTCCATTAGCAGAAGAGAGCGAGTTCCACCTTGCTTGTTGATGTAGGATAAGCTGGTTGCGCTGTCTGTCCAGATTAGCACTGTTGAATTCGGCGGCAGATGGAAAGTTCTGAGGGCTATAAATGCAGCTTGTAGTTCCCTCCAGTTGATCGATTGGGCTGCCTCTTCCGCTGTCCAAAAACCATGGGCCCGCTGATTCTTCCATGAGCAACCCCATCCAGTATCGCTGGCGTTCACGAACATTGTCTGATTGGGCGTTGATGGGAGCATTGACCGACCGTTCCACTTGTGGATGTTGACATACCACCATTGAAGTTCTTCCAGACTTGCTCGATCCAACGGGCGAGGACGATCCCAATCCACATCTGATTTCACTGACTGATTCTTGTAGAATAAGAGGAGATGGGTGTACAGACGAGCTGGGAATATCGCAAATATTGCAAAAAAGCTGCAAGAAAAAGACTTTTAATGGTATCCGTATGACAGACAGGAGGATATATTCATATAATGGACAAGATGATGATGATAATTAATGGCTATAATGACTAAAGATTGCCTTTCGTTTGTTTGAGATTTTGACGTCAATGATCTGGCGCATAGTGTTATCAGTTAGTGTCACAGGATTTTGGGCATAGTTGTGATTGTCGCCGTTTACTACACTCTGGAAACAAGTAATGATCTTGATAACTTTGTTCAATTGCGAAATGAAAAGCGGTACTTGATCAAGACTGAATGGGAGTTGGATATGAGCAATTTCACACATGGTATAGAGATCGGTTTTGGTGCGATTAATGATGTAGAACGTTGCATTTTTACCTTTGTGATAATACAGAATGAGAATGTTATAGACCTATGGAACACAACAAATACTTTACCAAGTACAAGGAAAGTAAAAATAGATTTCAACTTGTGTTTATCCGAAGCATCTTTGGCCAATGTTGCAACACGCACCAGATCGATACCAACAAGCCGGTTGTTAAGCACAAAGAATAAAAGGATTATTATTTGTAGCTTATAAAAAATGTTCGATATTATAAAAACAAGAAAAGACTTATTTGAATAAGATCAGACACAAAAACTAAAGATTGATTGATGAAGACAAGAGTTATTCTATTTATACTAAGTTCTGAATGCCAAAGTAGCAATTTATCTTGTACAATGCTTATCACATCTGGTGAACCTCAGAATTTAGATAGCTGAGATGCACTTCAATTATCATAGCTTGTCCATGTTGTTGCACAACACAGGCATATCTACCCATCAAGAATACCTTAATCTTTATAGACAGTTGTAGCCCTTCTGGCACAACACCGGTGATTGAGGGCCTGGTACTGCGCTTTCACTTCGCCGCAACCAATTCGATCGCTCAACAATGCTCCATGTATTATATTGATCGATGCGTCAGGTCGTATACTGGCTTACTTTTCGTCATCACTGACAGATGTCCTATTCAATTAAATTATGAATATCAAATCGTCCCCTCTACATGATATCCTTTTTCATCCCAGCCAAAAGTTGCATTTACCATCGAAATGCTATGTTATTATCCAAGTCTTCGAAAAGAGGACTGAGAATCGCTTCCAAATGTCGTGTGATCAGTTCCGTTTCCTTGGGCCCATTTTCAAAGATGCAGCGTGGCAGCTTTTCCACCCTATTAATGAATTACACACAGTCTAAAAACTTACATGTTTCGGATGGACAACAAAATCCTGTTGACAGGATTAAGGACATCATCGTCTTGTATCAGGGCAGAAATTTGCCGTGATGCTGCTAGGCGCGTGCATGCTTTATCTCGGTCATCGTCCTAATACAGATCAAAAAATAAAAAAATAAAAACAAGAACTACTCATTTTTCTATTCTGGTTTCTCTCAAATTTACCACATCCAATTGCATTATGGTTTTTTCGAGTTGCAGTTTGATTTCAGATGGAAACGACTGATCAGTTATTTTATGTTTTTCAATGATATGCTGGCAAAGTGCATCACATGTGTTGAGATCAATGTGCTTGTGCAAATCTTTGTGGGTGCGCGCTGGCTTCAGCAACAATATAGAGGAGAGAGCAAGTAAGTGTTGCACATGCTCTTCAACGGTGGTAGCGATGCCTTGCTGTATGTGGTTGCTTACATCTTGTTTGAAACTATAAAATCGAGCAGATATGTCAAAGTTGTTAAAGATCATGCGATCGTCCGTTGGTGGTGGCGAAATATTAATTTCAGCAAGTTAAGTTGGCACGGATAATGGAGATGAACTGGATGGAGAGGTCGGAGTTGAGGACGGTATGATTGACGCGGTTAACTTGTTCGAGATGTATGGCACAATTGATGTAGTCGTTGCACTTGATAACGTAGCCAGGGTTTCGTCGTCCTCGTTTCCAGAGATTGATATCATGGTGGTTGAGGTTTCACGCTCACCAATATTCATTGTAGTTGTCGCAGCTGTGAACCAATCATCACGCTCATCAGGCATGCGTAAAGAGTACGAAATTTCAACAGAGCCAGTTTGAGGCGAAACATCAGCCATTGAATCATAAATGTATACGCACTTCAACTGTTTCTTCGCCAAATGCTCTTTCAACGTTTTTGCAGTCTTGAAATATTTTTTGCAGCATGGACACGGAAACCCATCAGAATTTCGAGAAACTGTTAATTCCCCTTTGTGATTTTGGTAAACATGTAAGAATCAGTAATAAATAAAAACAAGAGAATCAATAAAACAACACTTACCAACTTGCACCTCTGAAATATGTTCAAAAATCATATAGCTGTCTCGTTTACTTCTCGTGCTAAATTGAGCATTGCAAAGTTTACAATTTACAAACATTGCAATGAAGGATACAAAGAAAAAGTGTAAATGAAAAAAAAGCTGCAAAAAGCTATGCAGCTTTTGTTGCAGCCTTTGTTGCAGCTTTTTTTTTTTCATGGGCTCATACATGAGAGGCCAACAGCCTTAAACAGCTGCTCAGCTTTTTTTTTTTTTATCACAAACACTCTGATTTCTGTAGAAAGAAAGCTTCTTCAGAGTGCTTGCCACTTACGCCACTTGCCCAAGCATTTATAAGAATGTCTAACAATCCCTTTGAAATCACTTAGTTTCAGGCTGTTAGAAGCTTCACTGATCCGACTCATCAATGTTTCCTTCTCAAGAAATTTGCTGCGCTTCACTTTACTTTTGACTGCTGACCAGAATTGCTCGATTGGATTGAGCTCAGGAGAATATGGAGGCAAATAAGTGCAGTGGTAACCGCGAGGCTCTACATATTTGGCTATGTTCTCTGATGTATGGATAGGAGCATTATCCATCATGAGGTGGTGACCTTTCATGTGTAGGTACAGGTCCATTTCATCGTAGAAAGCTGATATAGTGTCCCGTCAGGGCGAACTTATTTTTCGTACAACCTGAATTTTCTTCTCACCATTGGGCGAATTTACTTTCTGGAAAGAGTGTACATGCAAACATGCAAACATACAAACCATTAGTACTAAATGAGTAATATGATGTTTATGTAAATGGCTACAGGGTTCAGTCATGAAAACACAACGGCATACTCTCAGGATTCAATTCTGATTTATGCAGAATTTGTCAAAAAGAAAACATGGGGTATTGAACAGCCGCTGAGAAATAGTTTTGCTTGTGTTGAACAAATTCGAAATCTGAATGGCGCAATCTGCAATCAAGGCAGAATCATTGTTGGAAATGTTGCAATTTCATGTTTATCACGCAATATGCTTCTTGTACTCGTCATGAGATGGTGAATGTGTATATAAAGGTTGCTTTTGCTAGCCTCTTGACTTGCTTTATTCAATCATCTCATATTCAAAAAAAAAACAATGTCTGCTGCTGCTACAATTCAACCTGCTGCTGCCACTGGAAGCGCATCCAACAATTGGCGTGGTTTCTCTTTGGATAGTGATAACCACACTGTTCATGCTGTATACCCTGATCGCATTACTGGCCCCTCCGTATGGGATGGCAAGGAACTTGAATCACAACCTGAAAAATGGATCTACTACTTTACACCTGAGGATATTGCTGATATAGACCAAGCCATCAAGCATTTCGTCTCTCTTGATCTTCCTCTTGGTGAGATCAAGCCAGAAACTTTTCCTCTCAAACACTTCCATAAGGTCATTCTCAAGGAGCGTGAAGATCTCTTTCATGGCTTAGGTTTTGGTTTGTTCCGTGGATTCCCCATCAATAATTATGAACGTAAGGAGCAAGCCATCTTTTTCATGGGTATTGGCTCGTACATTGGTGCCCGTAAACCACAAAACGGCAAAGGTCATGTATTGGGACATGTCAAAGATTTAACGGAAGGCTCTACTACCAAGACTGTATACAAGGAGGATGATCCCACCACTCGCATCTACGCTACTCGTAAAGCCCAACCATTTCATGTTGACGGTACCGACATTGTTGCTCTTTTATGTTTGAACGAAGGTACTGAGGGAGGCTTGAGTTCAATCATTTCCTCACATACCGTTTACAACCGTTTAAGAGAACTGCGTCCTGATATTGTTGAGCTCATGAAGCAACCTTGGTTGTGGGACCGCAAGGGTGAACATGGACCTAATGAACCTGGCTATCTGGCTGCATCTCCATTGACCTTCTTCCAAGAGCGTCTATTCACATTCTGGGGTCCTCACTTTTTCGAAACTGTCAACAGATTCCCTGAGGTTACTGTGGAAGAAGAGAAGTTTGAAGCTATGCGTTATATCCAAGATTTATGTGAGCGCGAGGCATTAAACATGAAACTTCAAGTTGGTGATGTTCAATTCGTTGCAAATCACTCCATATTACACGCTCGTACTGCTTACACTGACCGACCTGGTAAAACTCGTCATCTTTTGCGTCTCTGGTTCATGGTAAACCCAAAGGAAGTGAACGTGGCTATGCCTTTTGTCAAGGCTGATTACAATTATGAATACGCTGGCGAGCAAGTTGTTCCCCTGGAGGCTGAGTAAGTCGCTTTGCTTTACCCTGTTAAACTGTTGATTATTTTCATCTATACACCAAGAGAAATGAATGAAATAAAGACAGAACCTTTGCTTTACTACCACCATCTATTTATTACGTTTGTATATAAAGCGCTGCAGAATAAAGGCTGTGGTTAATAAGCTTTCAACATTGATATTTGTCAAGTTGAAGCTTGTGAAGGTTAGTTAGCCCAATTTCTTTCTTAAAAATAATCGCTGAAATGAGCACCATGGGTCTAATGGGCTAAATGGATACTATAGCGCTAAGAAATTTAGCCTGCCTGGAGATCTGACACCTGTTTCAGCAGGTAAACGCTGTTCAATCATATGACAAGATTACATTTATCTAAATAAACTGCATCTAAAGGATCATACACTACCTCAATCACTCAAGCAGAGCATGTGTGCAGTAATTATGTCATATGCAGTGAAACACCATCATAAATCTTGAGATTGAGCCCTCCATTATTGATTGCAATAGGCGTTATTACGCTGATGAACATCTAAAATGAGTATGCTGACTGAGTAGCCTCAACGGCTAAAATCCTGATGCCGTTGTCACATTTGATGTTTGTTATGCTTTTCATTGCTGGTACATGACCCGTCCATATGTGTGTTTGTATAGATCACAATGTTGAGCCTTAGTTTTGATGCATACGATCACATTAAAAAACAGCACTTTTGAATTGATTTCACTAGTACAGCTTTTATTAGAATTGATTCACCATTTGATCCGATTGCACTTGTTTTGGTCTACATTTCCAAAACTGTGATTCATGGATCCACGGTATAACTCTTTGATCACTTTTCCCTTGACAATCGTCTCTTCTATAATTTCACGGCAATGGCAGGATTTGACACGGCCGTACCATATTCCAGTTTTACCTTTGTTTATGTAACAAATCACGTTTCCTGCAAATTTATGCCCTAAAACAGTCGATTGTGTAATCGTTTCATCAGCATGACAATCGCACTTTTCTTCATTTCAACACGAGTGTCTCTCTACGTTACCTCCAACATGGCTCACCATAAAGACAGAGGTACCTCCTTCGCCATCATGAATGTCCATATCTCTCAATACGTGATCGAACTCACGATTCAATATCGGTGCTGTGACACCACAACGCTTGTCTCTCTTTCTATGCGAACAGATCAAGATCATCGAGTCGTATGGGTTGGGGTATACAGCCAATTCTTGCAGATCAAACTTTTTGAACATGTTGATGTCAGTAGTGTCAGTTGTTGGCAATGGTAGCTTTACAAATACGTCATACAACAGTTGAGCATCGTCGGGAGTGACATTACCAATCACAATATTCTCGGGCAGAACAATCACGTCAAGCCCACAGTTGACAGTGGTTGAATGGGTGGCGATGAGCGAGGTGTTGGTGACAAATGTTCGCCATGGCATTGGGTTATTGACCAGTAAAGCTTGTAGGTTGGCGGCTAATGTGCCGTAATCTTCTTCAATACGTGCAGGCCAGTCGCATTGAGCTGTACTGATCATGAAATGACGGCCGTATGGAGACATACTACCTAGAAGAGGGCTTTCTTTATCGAATTCTAGATAGGATGGGTACTGTTGATGCTCTTCGCATTCTTCTGCACAGCTTGCACAATCCTTGACAATCAGGTCGGTTGGTGGTACTTGATCAATCTCCACCTCAGGATGGTCCTTTGCTTCCTGCGTAGGTTGTGGAGCTTCCTCATTCGTAGGTGTAGAAGGCTCACTGCCAGTGATCAGACTACCGATGGATTTAAGAAATGATGCCATGATTTTTTATTGTAAGAAAAGAGGAAAAAGAGAAAACGAAATTGAAGAACCTTTTTATAAATCGGAACTTATTTATCTGATCTTTAGCTGTTGACCGAAGCACTCAAAAGATTACCCTGCCCCATTTTCTGACCATGAAGCTTCAAACGCATAGCTCAAAGCGCGGAGGACACGGGTGAAACGTGGCCGCTCTATTTCACCATGTCTTGGCGTAGCTGCCAACCATATCATTGTACTCTGTATAAGGTTATATACATTTGATATGAAAGGATCTGATAAAACCAAGCAGGTCTTATGGTCACCCTTACCCAATCTAAATTCATCCACGACTTCTTTACATGTGCTACAGTCGAGGGAGCCCTTTTGTCATCTCTCGCCGCATCTGCCTTTGAAAAGTAGTGGTTGTACTGCGTTATGTGGTACCTCCACATCTTTCCCTGTTTGTTTTCAGATACTTCAACTCTTCTTGCTTTTCCTTTATCCAACGTGGACAAAATCATGAAAAAAGATACAGAAATTATGACCAGTTATTTGGCTGAATACTCAGATAGTAAGTGCATATTCTTATTCTTGGAGATGTGAGTCATTTACACAGATACAAAAAAATTTTAGCTGTGGAAGCTCTTCCTTTAGAATTACAGAGAAATTACACACTCATTCGACAATTGGATGAAAGCGCAGAAGAGCTATTAGCTCAGATTGCGGCAGAGTCGATATCGTTAACAAAACCCCAAAAGGCCCTGACGACTGAAGAGCGAAAGAAGCGGTTAGAACACATTGGTCAACTTTTGAATGAGACATTGAAAAAAGGGGAAGAGAAGCTTGCTCTAGCGAAATCAACATACGACACTGTAAGCATCTTCTTTTCAGAGACTGTATGGGTCAGCGCATGTGGATATTGATAGTTATCATAGGTGGACAGACATTGCACAAGATTGGATAACGATTTACAAAAGATTGAAGATGAACAACTTATTGGACCTGGTCGCACCGCAGCTGTTTCCCACTCAACACCAGCCAAACGAGATATCTCCTCTCTGGAGGATGCAACACCCAGAAAACAAACAGGTCGAAAAAAGAGCAGAAAGACACAGGCAGAGAAAAAGGCGGACGAGAATGCATTTTCTCAAGAAGACGCTATACAACAGGCACAAGCGTAAGTAGAGGGGTGCCAAACAAACCAAATGTGCCATGGGAACTCATTGATTTCATTAGTGCCGCATCTTTGAGTGATCTGCCAATTGATCCTAATGAGCCGCTGTATTGCTACTGCTCCCAAGTATCATTTGGAGAAATGGTGGCATGTGATAGTGGCGATGTAAGCATACATGTACATGATGACAGCTCAAGATTGCTAATGCTATTTATTATAGTGTGAAATTGAGTGGTTCCATCTAGAATGTGTTGGATTAAAGACACCACCCAAAGGAAAATGGTATTGTAAAAACTGCACAGTGGACCTCAAAAAGAAAAAGAACATCTAAGTAGAGCTCGCTGTGGATGATGATTCTGGTGATGACTCCGTGGACAATTTTGCTCTTTTCTTTCTGATATCTTCCTCATGTTTCTCTGCTGATCTCTTTTTAAAACTAACAAACAACTTAATACATCCTGTAAATAAACACCCAAGATAACGCACTTACATGGCTGAATCAGGATTCATTGCTGGATTCATACAGAGCCTTAATTTTCTGTCAATTTCCTTGGCTTCCTCTTGTGTTACTGGAGTAACTGTTTTTAATAACCCCAATATGCGCTCAACAATGGATAGTAGTGTGGGTGCGTCTTGTCCAAATCTATCAGTAATGTATCGCTTTACTTGTTGGTCGAATCCGTTGTCCTTTCCTGCTAGCATAAATGCTGCCAATGCGAGCTGTGCTGGTTGATAGATCAATGGTAGATCAGAAAGCAGAATCTCTGCTATAGCTTTGTCTACTTTTTTGTACGTCTCCTTTAGCAGTTTAATATCTGTAGGTCCGGTCTACACACTCGTCTTAATGCTCCATTGCTCGTCAACTTTCATGGCTGTGATTACCTGCATGTCTAGGAAGAAACCATACGCTGGTCTGTAAGGGTGATGAATATAATACTGGAACTTGAGGCCCTGGGATACGGTGTACTCCAAGCTAAGCACCGTTTTTGTCGATTTCAGATGAAAAGTCTTTCCAAAATCTTCAATTGACATTCTCTCGCTTTCTGATTTGGTTGCCAAGAACAGGCATGTCAAGCTATGCCGAGACCAATTAGATGGCCATGGCTATAAGTCGGTCAATAAGCACACTTACAGTATGTCCTTGGGATGATAGTCCATCACAGTATTGTATAGAAAGAATCGCTTCATGTAGATCAAAGCCGTTGCCATTACCATGTCTGTTAGCTTGCAATGCTTGCTCATGACTTGACATTGCATTTCAAAGAATCGACATAGCGCCAGTTCTTCTTTTGCTGAAAGAAAATCTTTATCAAGTGCTCCATCCTCCTCCTCATTCTTCTGCTATGACAGTGATTGTGAATACACGACAAGATGGGCAAATCTGCAAAATCTGACCTGTTCCTCTTGGATATTCTTCTTCACGCGACGGATGGCTTCATTGGTGCTTTTGTTTCGAATGTCCCATAGTTGTTTAGGGCTGAACCTCCAGTGCTGATATTGCGAGGACTCTTCAAAGATCTGTGGCTTCTTGTTTTCTAAATCTGTCATATGCAGAAGAAGAAGAGCTTGTAAATGCTGCGTAATGTAGGTCAGGTTTATGTACTCAAATTTTTGAGGGTTTGGGTGTCCAGTGACTCGAGTTTTTGACTAGACATGAGAACCTGCTACATTTACACAATCGATATCGACTTGTATCATGCATGGTATTTTCCAAACACTCCCTTTTCTCTGTTTCTTTGTTTCTTATCTAAAACATTAGAAACATGCCACAATCACTACTATTAAAGCTACCGCGTGAGGTACTCCTGTATATATTGAAACAGTATCTCGACTTGACAGACCTATGGACATTAACTCGGGCTTCAAAAGACTTACGGTGTATTGCTCTGCTTCTATTGAGAAAACAGTGGAGCGTCGCCTCAGATTCTCTTCTCAAATCACAGATGAATGCCTCCATGATAGCTGTTTCTGGGATATCACAAAGGATCATAAAGCGAATCACAATCTACGACCCTTATGCATTTCCACCGATACTGCCACAAAACCCACGAAATTGGCTCTACCTCACACTGACAGATACCACTGTATACGACCTAGCGATATATCAGCATTCTCTTCCAAACCATTCTGTATCTGAGGCAAGATCTCCATCGCCACCCAATACATTTCCACCGACAATCGAGCCAGGCCTAGACGAAGGCAGTGAACATTTCTTCCCAATGGAACGTATCAAATACCAATGCAAGCGACTACACTACATCATTGGGGACGAAAGAAAACTGCACTATCAAATAGCTCGGAACGTTACCAGAGAAAACCTGAATACCGTTGTTGAAAGCATATTCCATCATGTCATCTTTGTCAACAGTCGGTGGATGATCATGTCTCGCCGTCAATCAGCTATCGCAATATCCAGAGCTCGAGCATTTTCAGCTGCTACCACACGTCTCTTGTGCAGCTTAGGAGCCAATTTCAAGAACGAAGTAGCAGCCATGGTTTGGGAGAACATGGCAACATTTATAACCTATGTTGAATACCGTCTTTTGGGCAAGTCAAATGGCAACAACAATCTTATGGATACTATCACCGTGTTCCTGAATTTCGTCTGTGCTTGTTACGTTGCACACATCATTGTAGACGAGCAAGCACTGGATGCCTTTTACAAAGTATATCATGTCACTAGCAAAACTTACAAGGATCAGACTAGAAGTTCGTTGCGAGAGTTATGGCTTAGAACAGATCGAGATTTGGAGGATAGTCCGTTATCTCGTTTCCTCAATCTTCGTGATAGTCAATAAATCTCACCAACCCACAAGTCGGTTTGGATAATATTGACATAAAAATCATTCTATAGATTTCAGCACATTTTGATTCTTTGAGAGGAGATTTCTTGAGTCTACGGAGAGTAACATCTTTGAAGAGTGACTCGTTGTCTTAATTCTCTGATCGTTGTATAATGTGATGGGAATACCTTTGTGAAGGAAGTCAGACACTTTGAGTCCGGTTGCTTTTGACAGAGTGAAGCCTTCGGAATTATGTCTTTGATACATTTTTCAATAATAATAAAAATGAAAATAAAGTCGATTGAATCATGGCTTTAAACGGTAATAAAATACAGTGATAAGGAAGTGTATGTGCATGTGCTATTATCCGAGATCTCTACACGATTTACGTATGTGTCCTGATTTTGCGTGATTTTACCGTGTATTAAAGCACCTTGACAAGGCTTTCTGTTCGCCATGTCAACAAGCATCACCTAGCATATTTACAAATGTACGGTGCGTCTGATTCAACCTTTCGAGAACTAGAGTACTGTGGTTGATGGGCATTGACATCGCTCTACAGCACAAGCATTGGGTTTGCCCGCCGAAAACAATGAAAGCTCCGAATTGCATTTTTGATCGTCTGATTTGTCGATTTTTGAACTTTTTAGATTCGATTCGACTTATTTCTTCAAATTTGACTATAACACTGTAATGATTATTCTATGCTTCCTTAAGCTTTCTTGGAGTACTTTTCAAGGCGCATCCAGCGGCGCTACTTACAATAGATGTTTTAATAAACTTACTGAAAAATTGTACAAAATACGAAATGACGTTTTTGGCCAAAATGTTGAGATTTTCTATACAAAAGCCTTACAATCAAAGTGTCAGGGGTTGCGTTGGATCTGTAGAAGCATTTTGATTTAATATATACCTTAGTAAAAAACTTTTATTTTGCGGTCAAAAACGCGATCGCGTAATTTTCAATGAAAATCATGAGGTATCACTCATCGTTTTCAGTCGATTTTCGACAATCTCAAAAAAGTTGAGCAAAAGTGTCAGAAAGCAACTGTTAGACGAGAGAAATTAATTGGTGTGATTCCGGCGGCCTAAAACGGCCTCTAACGCGAGAAATCACTGCTCAAATACGTACAAATTTTGCTGTGAACTGCATATATTTGAGTGGTAAAAGGTAGTACTAGTATACTGTCTGCGCGTATATGTATTATTCTTACTGATACGCCTGAGGAGTATCGTAGAGAGTCCAAATCCAATGGTACAGGTCATTCATAGCTGATTTTCATATGATAGAAAAAGTCAAACGACAGAATTTCAGTATATTTAGTAAGATGTAGCCTGCTTATTCCAGTCATTGATAGAGTCAATTATAGTTTAACTTGACTATAAAGTGATACAAGTAATTGAAATTATCAAAACATAAATTCAGGGCATTTTAGACCGAATGAAGCATATGAAAGGCCAAGTCCAAAGCGTATTCATCCCATCAGGCCAGTGTAGTCCTCTTTATGAAGGATGTCCTCATTCGATTTCGATTGACGCTTGCTGAAGGGATGTGGCATGTTGTTTTGGTAAATCAAATGTTGAGGATGTATTCGAATGGCCTATATTATGTCAAGTGCATGACATATAGGCATGTATTTCATGCATTCTCCAATATTCAAAGGCACTGATACCCAATCTAACATTCAAGCGATGACGTTTACATTCAAGTTCATCAGCGATGCTGATTGATCCACAGACATCCAAAAAGCTTGATAGGGACAAAAAAGTACGTAATGCTTTTTTTTTTCTCTCTCTCTTTCTCTCTCTCTATTTTACATAAACTCTCAACACATTAGAAATGACTACATTAGAAGATAAATCTTTATGGGAAGCTGAGAACGATCAGGACGACATTGGACAAGATATTCTTCGTTTAGCACCCGAGGAAATTACAAACAGAACCCGTTTGTTGGAGAACGATATCAAAGTCATGAAGTCTGAAATTGTTCGTTTGCAACACGAACAGGCTGCCATGAAGGAACGCATCAAGGACAACAAAGAAAAGATCAAGATGAACAAGCAATTACCATATCTTGTTGGTAATGTGGTTGAGGTAAGTGACTGGACGTTGCCTAGCATCACGAACACACACGTCGCATGGATATTGACTGGATTCTCCATCTAGCTGCTTGATGTAGAACCTGAGGAGGAAGACAATGAGGGCGGAAACGTTGATTTAGATGGCCAAGTAAAGGGAAAATGTGCAGTAATTAAAACATCCACAAGACAGGTAACATGAGTAAATGCACAGAAAACGAGGCACCCTCTAACCACGATTCCTCTGCAAGACCATCTTTCTGCCGTTGATCGGTTTGGTTGAATCTAGTGAGTTAAGACCTGGCGACCTCATCGGTGTCAACAAAGACAGCTATTTGATTCTCGACAAACTTCCAGCTGAATACGATTCACGAGTGAAAGCTATGGAGGTGGACGAAAAGCCTACTGAAGACTACAACGACATTGGTGGATTAGACAAACAAATTGAGGAACTGGTTGAAGCCGTTGTTCTACCTATGACACACGCTGATCGATTCAAGAACCTAGGTATCAAACCACCCAAGGGTGTGTTGATGTACGGACCTCCTGGTACTGGTAAAACTTTATTAGCAAGAGCCTGCGCTGCACAAACCAATTCTGCCTACCTCAAGCTAGCAGGGCCTCAATTAGTGCAAATGTTTATCGGTGATGGTGCTAAATTGGTGCGCGACGCTTTTGAGTTGGCCAAAGAGAAATCGCCTGCCATCATCTTTATTGATGAATTGGATGCCATTGGTACAAAGCGTTTTGATTCAGAAAAGTCTGGCGATCGTGAAGTACAGCGTACCATGTTGGAACTATTGAATCAATTGGATGGCTTCTCGTCAGACGATCGTATTAAGGTCATTGCTGCTACAAACCGTATCGATATCTTGGATCCTGCATTGCTGCGTTCAGGTCGTTTGGATCGCAAGATTGAGTTCCCCTTACCCAACGAAGAAGCTAGAGCTCGTATCATCCAGATCCACTCCAGAAAGATGAATGTCAGCAAGGATGTCAACTTTGACGAGTTGTCTAGATGTTGTGACGAGTTCAATGGTGCTCAATGTAAGGCTGTTTGTGTGGAAAGTGGTATGTTGGCGCTTCGTCGTGGTGCTGTTGAAATTACACATGAAGATTTCATGGAAGCCATTCAAGAAGTGCAGGCAAAGAAGAAGATGACACTGCAATACTATGCTTAAATACACATAATAAACCACCTGTTGCTTTGATATAACTCAATTGTGTGTGCTCTTGGCAGATCTGGATGACGAATGATAAATCATCCAAAGCCTTGTTTTCAAATTGACATTCTGGACATGGACGCCCATCACATGATGACAGGCAGAATGGAAGTAGATGGTGGCATCTGGCAGCTTCCTATTCAGAGCAGCACACTTGATGTCTGAACATTCCATTCTACTCCTTTTTTGATGATTAAATCGGGATATAACGACTAATCAAAGAATCCCGTGGGGGGGAGATGTTCTTTAAGGTCCATGGTGCTATTTGGTTGGTTTGTTCTCGAGTTGAAACCTTCAAATCTAATTGAACCATCATTTCATTGTAACTCGAGCCTAACCTCGAAAATATTTTTTCCTTCTTTTCCACACTTTTCTTCTTTTTTTTTTTTTTTTTTTTTTTTAGGTTTCTGTATTGTGATTCTGTCACCTGTAGATACAAATCATGAACCATGATTCTTTATCGCCTGATAAGAAAGGAGGGTAAATAAACATGTGTCCTGTATAGAAAAAGCCATGTGTATTGACTGTCTCGTGTGCTGTCTGACAGATTTTCTGATCCGAGGCTAAACACCATCATTACCCCACCAACCCCTATCCAGCCTAGACGACTGCAGGACATGTTCAATGTGGGCGACTCTAGCCATGATGAAGAAGACGAGGACACCAGCACCACTTCTGCGGAAGCGACCGAAAAGAAAAACATCAACAGCGAGTACAAGCAACATATACCCAGTAAAGTGAAGTCCACCGTGCAATTTCCACCTGAGCTAGAACAACGATTTTACCACCAATACCCCAAACCGCCTATTGACGAAGAAGACCTAGAACAGGAAGCTCCTCCACCTCCGTCCAGAAAGGAACGCTTGATCAAGTACCTTCATGTCAAGTTTCCGAGTCGAATTGTCCGAAGAGTCCTCAAATGCACTATTGCTTATTTTCTGTCCACCTTGTTCAGTCTGATTCGACCTCTCACGCTGGCAATGGGACCTGCTCCTTTCTTGGCTACAACAGGAATGCTGTTTAGTCATCCAGGTCGCAGTATGGGCGCTCAGTTTGACGCTACAGTAACCGCTGTGATGGGTGTGGTCGCTGCTATCATCTGGGCGTTTGCTGGCATGGCTGCCTCTGTGGCGTACAACCGAGATCATCCACAGACATTTATTACAGAGCCTGTTGGACGCTGTGTCAATGCCATGTTTCTGTTTGTGGGTGTGTTTTGGGCTCAAATGCTACGTCAAGTATTTCCAAAGTTCCATTTCTTCTCACTGCAGTTTATGATTATCCAGATCTTTAGTATGACACGTGCCATCGACTACACTAGCGTGCCCTTTGATTTACCATTAAATTATGGTATACCTCTGTTAATTGGATGCGGCATATCACTTGTGGTCAACCTTGTATTTTGGCCTGAAACAGCTGTCGATGGCCTCGGCAGAGCATTAAAGGAAACAATTACGAGCAGTCGAGACATGCTGCATTTGATCACCAAGCAGTTCTTTTTGGACCCTCAATCCGATCCAGTGACAGAAACCGTCGTCGATGAAGCATCAGCAAAAATGAGAAAAGGCATGACTAAAGTCAAGACGGCTTATCGTGAAGCCAAATACGAAATGTCTTATGCGTTCATTCGACCTCAACAGTTGGGCCAGATCCGCAAATCGCTGGGCCGTTTAACCAAGCATCTTAGCATTCTGGGCGGCTGTCTCAAGACGGAGCGAGAGTTGTTTGAAAGTGCCATTGATGCATTGCAAGCAGAAATGAGAGACTTGGACAGCGAAGACGACGACGCCCAATCTACGCTGCATCAGCATCCAACAGCAACAGCCCATGGTTACCATAGTGACAACGAAGAACTGAACCGCAATTCGCTGGGTCGGCAATACAGTGAAGAAGATTTGAACTTGCTTCGTACAGCGTTACGTGCCACAAATGAGTTCATGAATGGTGGTGCAAGCAGGACCACAAGTAGTAACAACATATCACTGCATCCTAGTACAAATGCTAGTCCACAGCACTCCAGGCCCACCTCAAGAGCTGGATCACGCGCCAATTCTCGGCCTACGTCGGTGTACAACTCGGAAGACGATGAAGACACAGAGCACAACAACCAGAAATCCGTCAGTTCTCTTAAATCTTTTCTTGGGCTACCCAAGCTTTCCATTCCCAAGCCGAAGCCACCGAAAAAGACCAAAAAGCAGACAGAATACCACCATCGCCACCTGCTCTTGACCTATCTCGAGAGTTTGAGAGACCCCCTGATGGATTTGTCGCTAGATTGCTCCAATGCATTGGAATGTGTGTGCGACAGCATTGCAAATGAACTGGACATGGACCATGACGATGACTCGATCCGAAAGACATGGAAATCGTTTCTGAGACACACATTGAAGATTGGCAAAAAGGAAGTGGACGAAGAGAGCAACAAAAAGAGCTTGGAGAGACACAAGGGCAGCATCAAATGCAATTGCTCTCAAAACATCCGCTTGTCCATTCTCCAGTTTGACAAGGCAGAGCGAGAACGCATGCACGCACTGTATGAAATCAACAAGGCTCGTATTGGCTGTCAGGCATTGGATCTCGGTATGCGACAGGAGCTGTTTCTGGTCTTTTTCTTCATCTTTACACTGCGGGAAGTAGCCAACGAGCTGCAAGAAATGACATTGCATATGGACGAATTGAGATTGCATTCGAGAAAGGCAAGTTTCAACGGCAAAAAGAGGAAGCATCTGTATTTCCCGGGTTTGAATCAAAAGATGTGGAATAAATGGGCTCGAGGCAACAACCATCAAAGCACGCGTGATAAGGGCGGCTATACGTTTGGTAGAGTAGCGAGTACAAAGCACTGAAGCTGAACACAATATACTCACATTCTCCTGTATAGCCACATTGACCGCATCACTGCCTAAAGACGAACCGAAAAAGACGGAGGCAGAGGACGAGTACCATCTCAGTAAGATCCAGACCAACAACAGTCTATCGCGAACAAAGAGTCGACGAGAGTCTGTAGCACTCAACAAGATGGGATCAAAGAACAGCGCCAATAGCGACGACATCAGCTCGCCTCTGATGGTGCGACACCGCAACAATGCCAACAAGCTACGACGAGAATCGACAAAACCTACCGTCCAACAAACCACTCTGACAGACCGCGAAAAGGAGCAAGCTCTGAACGATCGCGTCAATGATATTCGCATCAGTGTAGATCAAAACTATGTCGAGACAGACGAGAATCCTGAGCTGACGGCTCAAGAAAAGAGAAATGAAAAGGAGAAGGCACCCATCATGTTGAGGATTCGGTATGCTATTTGGTTGCGTTTACAGTACATGTGTCGTTACGAGTTCAAATTTGCACTCAAGATGGCTGTAGCTGTGCTCGTGATGTGTATACCTGCATTTGTGCCTGCCTCGTCTGGCTGGTATTGGAGCGCAAGAGGTCAATGGGCTGCAATGACGGTGATTGCCATTATGAACCCTACGAGGCAAGTCTTGGAAAAGGGCTGTATACTGCATATACTCACACGTCTTGAATTAGTGGTGGTACAGTGCAAGCTAGTTTTTGGCGTATTGTTGGAACACTTGTAGGAGCATTTGTTGGCTGGGCAGCATTAGCAGCTGGAGATGGTAGTCCTTATCTCTTGGCTGTATTTGCCGTGATATTGGGTATGAGCACACATGTTGCCACTGACACAATGTATGTACTCACTCGGTGCCATTAGCGCTGGTCTTTTTTTACATCCATCTAGGCAGCATATACAACAAAGTCGGCATTGTGTGTTTGACAACCTACATGGTCGTGGCACTCAGTCGATACGCTTACCCGCCTGAAGGTGAGACCATTGCAGATACAGTATGGTAAGTTTTGCAAGCAAATAGGAGCCCAGAGCACGACTCCCTAACAATTACTTTGCAGGAAGCGTACCATTACAATGATTGTGGGAATATGTGTGGCACTTCTCCTAAACTCGTAAGTTGTATTATATATATATAAATGCGTCATGAAGAGAGCCCTTTGATTCACTCATCTTGTTCGCGACAGCTTGGTGTGGCCGTTTGTCGCACGACACATGGTACGAAAATCAATTGCAGGCTGCATGGATCAATTAGAAGATTACTATACATTCGTCATGGGCTCTTATCTATACCACGACCCTACGTCAATACCCAGCGAGACTGATATCACTAAAGGAGAGAAGATTGAGAGCAAGATTCAATCAGCCATCGACGCATGCTCCGTGCTACTCGAACTCACTGATCATGAACCACGTTTTCGTGGCCCCTTTCCAAAGTTGTTCTACAAGGAAATGATTGTTTCCATGGGAAACATTCTGGATCGTTTGCTCAGCATGCGAATTGCCCTGTTGCAAATGCCGTTGGTGGTGAAGCATGACATTTGCGCTAAAGAATACCATGTAGAGAGACGAGAGATGGTAAGCTTCCATTGCATACACGTTGAAAGCGTACTGACCGACTGCCTCACAGATTGCCTCCATGTTGCTCAGCTTTCATACGTTGGCTTCTTCATTGAGATCCAAAACGCCTCTACCTGTATATATGCCATCTGCACGTGCAGCACGTAAGAAACTCATGGAGCATCGTCGAGAAAACAAACAAAAGACAAATTGGGTTAAATTTCGAAATCTGACTTGGTTTGCCATGGCATGTTCGAGCGAAGAAATCATAGAGGAACTGGAGTACCTATGCCATCTCATTCGATACATTGTTGGTGAGAGTGCCTATGCTGATCTGGCCAAGAGAATTGATAACTTTACTGAGCATGACATTTGCACATCCACCTTGTAATTCTTTATACCACACTACTACTATTACTTTACCTAATAAATTTGTTATCGTCACAGTTCCTGCTGTGCTGAATCGTTTCTTCAAATGCAAATCTGTGTGCTCTTTTTCTCTTTTTATATGTGAATCACTACAATGGCAGAACCACAGTTTGACGATTTGGACACTACAAATGACAATGGAGAGAGGGAGGAACTAGTAAAGTAAGAGGATACGATCATTTGGTAATAATAAAAGGCGATTTACAAGAGAGCGTAGGCACGTACTCGATTTGCAGACACAATTACGAGGTAATTAACCGTGCTCCGTATGTATTTTTAAATGCATTATCTGAACCAACCGAATAGGCATGCTATCTCGAGTAGATGCAGCAAGAAAAGAACATCAATCACTGACCACAGAGAACCAACTGCTACAAAAGTACATTAACAATTCGCTCACATCCACAGCCGTATTTGGAGCAACCAACGGAGCCATCAATTCCAACAATATGACCTTGCGTCAATCCAGTGCTGATTCCCCTCGTTAATGATAACGGCTCCCTTTTTTTTAAGATTAAATTTGATCACATCTCTAGCACTCGCCCTCTGTTACTACTTGTCCTAATTACTAAAAACCTATTTTACGGTATTATGCCATTTCATCACTGACCCACATCTCGTTGTAAGGAGTTGATTTGGGTGCGATTCAAGGAGCATTAGATATCTAGGCTTATAGAGCCCGCCATAATAACTAATTAGAAGGTGGGAACCTAGAGAGACAAAGGAGCATATCAAACTATGTGATCAGGGTTCTCTTTCTCTGTAACTTTGCTAGCGACAAGAAGGAGAAATGCTCCTTTTTCCTTGCACATTCTAGAGTTGGTTACAGCCATTATTGCGCTCTTTTTTCTCCATTTATTATGTTCAAGTCAAGTATTACTATTACAACGATAGAATGTGTCAATTAAAAAAAGGCAATGATAATTAGATTGGAATACAAGATTGCTACATTGGGGTGTCATGCTTTAACAGCATGTTGAAACTAAGATTCCTCTGCCACGTTGTAACAATATGGAAGAGCCTTCAGAATCAAGGTTAGGGCATTTGTATACAAACAAACACCAACTGCTTGACATGATTGATAAATGACAGCAAGTTGTGTTCTCTTGCTCTTCTCGTTCTCCTGCTCCTACAACGACCAGTTGCTGCTGTTTCTCCTTCCTCTTACACATTCACCCCTGAACAAAAATTTTACGCACATGATGATGATGTACATATATGTCCATATTATAAAAAAAGAAGCATCTGCTTTGCACACGCTAAAGGCTGTATAGAATGGTTGTGTGATGTGCTGCTTGCTTGCCTTGCTTGGCTCTGCTGAGCTATGCCTTAACTTTAAAATTTTCACATCATTTGACCTACATGAATACACAAACAACTTTTTTTTTCACATAGCAATCAAGGAGTAACCCAAACAATCCGATGATTGGTCTCTTGACAGCATGGCATAGCAGCTACTACTACAACAATAATAAAGAAAAAAGGAGGTGTAGATCGGGCAATAGGGACAGGTTAGAAGTATTTTTTGGCTGGTAGCGTAGCAGTAGTTTTCAAGCAAGCAAAGCAATGTAGACATGACATCTTTTTTTTTCATCGTGATGTAGACGCTGCTATACAAGAAACAGTAATATGCTGATGATATAAACAAATCATAAACAAACATCACCTCTTGTTGTTTTGCCCGCCTGTATGAACAGGGCTGATTTGTTTGATTGACTACTACTCCTTACCCCACTATCATCTTTCTATATATCGCCATTCAGCTCTTCACTGTATTAAAAAAAAACCCCCCTTTCTGAAATACTCCTTTTGTTATAGTTGATGTTCCTTAAAATTATTATATATTATTTATTGTTATAACAGCCCTGCATTGTATCAGTTCACACACTTGATCTGTGCGGTGCAATTGTTGGATAAAACCTTCCCGGCTTATAACAATTTCTCCTGTTTTATCAGATATATTGTGATGCCCCTTTTTTTTCATATCAAAGAGGCTATGCACACTCATATAGACACACATTAAAACATCATTTATTGTTATCAAAGATACACATAGTGGCAGATCACCATTTATACTACAATAGGCTATTATAACATGTAATGTGTTGGACACATTTTTTCCCTATAAGTTTTGTTGCTTGTCTTGCTTTTCTCTTCTCTCTTTTCTCTTCTTTTTCTTCTTTTCTTCTCTCTCTCATTTCTGATCTCTTATATACATTTCATATATCTTATACATATATATTTTATTGTGCTATACTATATTATCATTATTCTTATTGTTATATTATATCTTATTGTATTATCTCTATCCGCTACAAATAGAGACTCTTTAACACTACTAATTACTATTGCTATACATCAAATCCCTGCTTACAAAAAAAAAAGACGACATCAAGAGAAAGTGAATGACAAAACCTGAACACGACATGTTGAATGATCCAAAGCCAAATACTTTTATGCGTGTACCTGTAAATCTACCCTTCAGCTCATTCCCATGCCAATGATTATTAAACACTATCTCATAGATGGAACCATTATATGAAAGACTATTGAAAAGACCTTTTCCTGATAGTGTATCTGCTATAGAATACTGTCGCAGTGTCTGTGCTGAGTTTGGTTTTACTGTCAAGCAAGAAGCAAGCGCAAACAGGGTAAATATCAACATCCAACGCACAACTCCCTCTATTTGTAAATTAAACAGTGAATTATATAGAACATCTATGTCTATTGCTCAAGAGAAGGATTGCCAGACTCTCAACGCAACCCTAAACCTTCTCCTCAACGCAAGAGGCCTTCAAAGCGTTGTGATTGTCGTTGGCGTGTAGTTTTGTCTGAAAACGAGCATGAAGAATGGGAATTTCGCAAATCAATGAACCCAAATGCATCAGAACACAACCATGATATGATGTCACCTGAAGAGATGGTAAAAGCATGGCCAGCAGAAGTGAATGAAATGATTATCCAACTCGCCCGACAACGACTGCAGACGCACGAAATTCGTGAAGCTGTCAAACAACAATTCCCTGATATCAGTTGGAATGAGCGTAGATTTTACAATCGCTTGACAGAAGAACGCAAAAGAATAAGACAAAGAGGCGTCGTGGAGCGATCTCAGCGCATACTATTATTGTCAGCACAATTGTGTTCTGTTGTTGCTAATAACGAAGAATGGGCTTTTGCTGTAGACACGGAGTTGCAGCGCATGTTTGAAAACTTTTGTCAGTTGGCCCGTTTGACACCTGAAAACATCAACACATTGGTAGACTTGCAATCTGACATGATTCAGATGGATACAGACCGCTTAGTTTCCAATACGCATCGTTTGTCCATCGTCAGTGATACTGATGAAGATTTGATGGGTTCACCAGCTAAAAAACGTAGATCATTTGCAACAAAAACTGACACAACTGTCGCACACAGCACCAAGATGGGTGGTACAACTGAAACACAAAAGGGAATACAAATGGTTCATGTACCAAGCTATACAATTCAAGTTCGATCGTTGAACCGCTCTTCTTCTGAATCTTCCACTTCCAGACGTGTTTACACTGAGGCTCCTTACATGGAGGGTTCTTCTCAATTGAAACAGCAACAGCAACAGCAACAGCAACAACAAGCGTTTGGATCATCTTCGTCGTTCTTTTCTCTTGCTTCTCCAACCTCTTCGTCGTCGTCCTCTTCGTCGATGCCATTTCAGCAACAAAGACACCAATACGGCCAAAGAGTAACGTCGCCACAACAGTCTGTCAATTCGCCAAATGAATTCATGATGTCTCAATCTTACCAAACACCTCAACCGCAACAACAAGAAGGTGATTATGGCTTGCCTGTGAGCACCGCTGCTGGATCAACTTCAGGCAACAGTATAGCTTACAATATGCAGAACTATGCAATCCCTACATCTGCTTTTACAACACCACCTGAAATCCCTTTTTCATTTGAAACAAACTTGATGGTTCAAACTCGAAATGGCGGCTGTGGTGCCCATGGGAATAGTGGAGTGGATGATCGCCTCACAGCAACTGCTCATCAATCTGGCACTAATAATTTCTTTGTCAAAGAGGAACCAACACATGTAGAGCATCAGCAACAAATGCTACGTCAACAGCAAGAATACGAACAACGCATGCATCGTAATTATCATCATCAGCAACAAAATTATGCTCTACCCATGATTCGATCCAATGAAGATAATTCAGATGAGGCTCACTGGACCTGATCAAATGTAAATGTAAATGCCCTTTTTTTTCTCATTTATACAAAAGAAAAGGATGGGATTTATGCATCTTTTATTTCTCGCTATCGCCATTATAACTCTCTATGTCGTATTATGCTTATTCTTCGATTATACTCTTCTCTCTCCTCTCTTCTATATATATTAATATGCCCTTCTTCATACAAATATATGCCCTTTTTTGTCCAAATTCCTCTCATTTCTTCTTTTTATTAAACCATTTCTTTAAATCCACAAGAAAAAAAGTAGTATTTTTTAATGAATAAATATATTATATGATAACAAACTCATCATACTTCTGCATAGCATTTGTGATGCTACTCCCTGTTTGTCAATAAAGTACGCACATAATGTATGCAGAAAAATTAAATTCCTACATGGAGAGACAATAAGTTTTCATGCACCGTACATAAATATGTTGATTAGCAAGCAATTCTTCTTGTTTTATACTAACCAGGCCAAAAACTCGCGAAGAAAGAAAAACGCATCAAACAAACCCCTTGATGCAAACGCACTAAACTAAAGTGTCTGTGGGTATCCATATTAGACTTTAACTGAATACAAATATAGCAGGACCCATGATTCTTTGAAATCTTCATGCTAAAAATGATGGAGGAGACGAAAAAGAAGGAGGAGTGATTAGATGCGATGATGGAATTAGAACTTATTTTCAGGAGATGTCATATGAAACTGTTGGCTACATTGGATATACATCTTCATCATAGCTTGGTGAATGGATGTATGCCAGAAGAATATACCCCATATGTAAGTGTTCAAATTAAAATAATGCCTTATATCTTCTAAGGGATTGCTGTGGAAATCTTGGCTATATCATAAAAAATTGCACCCTGTTGTTACAAATCGATTTTGGTTTTGTAACTGAATTTCTCTTTTTTTGTTGTAAATTGCCTACACTATCGAATAAACTACGTTTCACTGCTTACTATATTGGATTCTACTTCTGTTACTACAAATTGACATTAAACTCTTAAATGCTTCTTATATTCGAATATACTCTGAATCCTATCTCAAGAATGACAAATCAGTTACCACTCAGCCTTGTATCATTTTGACAGATATATATTCAAACTCTTAAACATCTCTCTTTCCTAATGGAAGCACACAAATGGGAAGCAACTCCACATTACCCATCCTTTCATCCTCTAGTAACATTATCAATATCATCATTCACCATCTCTCAACAACAAATATAGCTTTCCAGCTATAAAAACTGTTCAAGCTTTTAGGATTATTAAGGGTATCAAAATTAATTATAGAAGGGTCAGCCCTTCATTACAAATTATAGCATATAGAAACAGAATTCAGGACACATAATTCATAGAATCTAATTAATATAAATATTCAAATGATATCAAACAATAAAAGAGGATCTTATTCCTACCTGAAAATTATATCTATATAGCTCTATAGCTCCTTAACTTTGTTATTTAATTGAACTTATCAAATATAAGATCCCTTGAATCCTTTGTATACATTAACGCATTGATTCATTGTACTTTATCTACTATTATCACTTTATTTACACATCTCTTTCTTCGCTTTTATATTCTTTACTAGTTGGACAACTATAAACCTGGTGCTCATTTCTATAGACGAATCTGCTTTGGCTATTTATCTATATACTTACTCTATTATCACTCTTACTATTCACACTACATTGAACCACTGTTTATCTGTTTGTTTTATTCAGATAAATGTGTATTTGAACAGGGAAAATTAGCAACAGAGCAAGACAAAATATTAAAGAGAGACGTTTTGACTCAAACGCCGTGAAAAAAAGAATTGAGGCTACCAGGGGTCGAACCTGGAATCTCCTGATTCGTAGTCAGACGCCTTATCCATTGGGCCATAGCCCCTCAACTTAATTGATACGTGTGTATTTTTCTCTTGGTTACTTAGCTCTATCTCGATTTCCTAAAAGGGCAATATACCGTATATGGGAAAGGCGCAAGGTGGTGGATTCAAGGTATAATTCTCTAACTTATATACTATGTCTTACTTGAAGGGTTACTCTTCGTTGGTGTGGTGTTCTGGTGCATTGACACACTCATATAATTGTTGTAAAACTGTATGTTATCTCTTGATGGTGCGTTGATATTGTTATTCTAGTCGATGTGGTCTCTATTTGGTGTATTGCTAATCAATGTTGGTGCTTACTTAATTGGTGTCGCTTCTATTTTGTTGTTGTTACATATTCGTTTGATCGTGGTGCTTCTTGTCAAGTTTAGCCGAAAATCTAATCAATATTTGGAGCCGATAATGTTGAATCGATGAATTAGTCAGGGATCTAAATGAGATTGCGCGCTAATAGCCAAGCATTACTATTTTGAAAGGTGGATTTGACTCTGGACTTTGACTCAGGATAGATGCAAACCAATTAATGTCGAATCGATGCAAGATTCAAGTGTGATGAATTCGTAATAATAAGTCGATGATAATAATCAGTTGTCAACTGTATCTAAAACGAAAGCAAAGAGCTTCTTTATTACAGGGCATCTAGCTTGCTTAAATATGGTAGATCCCTGGTCAATGACTACTACGTTGAGATGGTATATAAATAGCAGGCCACTGGGGCCTTATGGATTGTTGGTATAGCTTGTTGAGAGGCCACCTAAGTCGGTATGTTTCATGTAGTGTAGGTGGATCTCGATATTTTGACATTGGGGAGATTGAATGTATTGTAGTTCCTGAGGCACCTGTGCACACACAATTGACTGGACTTGTAAACATAGATGTGATGTGATACGATAAACATCATCTATGCTGCTACACTGTAAAAGGTGGCTTGAGGAGAAAGTGAATGTAGCCTAAGATGCATGCTTGTATGCAACAAAGTGGAATTATAACAATGGAATTGGGATGTTACTATTTTAAACGATGGGATCGACTCAAGAACGCGGGTACAAGAAATTGACATTAAATTGAAGGCAATCCAATTTGGGGTTACATTTGATCAGGGCACTTACATTCGGATCTGAATTGAGCCTGACAGGAGAATAACAATAGAACAATGACATATATAAATAGTATTTTGAATTGCATCTTAATAAATATTATCCATTTTTTTCTTCTTATTCTAATCTGGAGTTTAGTTACTAGTGCCAATCTAGTACGAACAAACCTAGAGAACCCTTAAATTCATCTCTCATAATTAGTGGGATAGTTCTTACAGTCTTCCTTTCCACACAACAATACTTATATCTTGATTACCAACTACCAAGGTAATCATTATAGAGAGCTTGATATTTATCATAATTTTGATAAGCGTGTGTCTGCTATGGTTTGTTAGTTTTACTTGTGCTTTCTGGTCACGTGAGTAGCTAGGTACACTACAAGAGTATGTATAGGCATCATTCTGAGAATGTTGAGTTACAGTAATTCGAGATGAGGGAGGATGATCAATACAAGGCAAATAGCTGGTGCAGGCAAATCAATGAAGGTTTATTTAAGTATGGATGTGGAATCATCAAGAACATACGACATGATTGCATCAGTATTTGGTGGATGTATTTGAGATTATCATCAACCTATCTTCAATTAGAGGAATTCATGTGAAATGTGTGGGGATAGTTTAGGTCCACGCATGGAGATTACCAGTACACACATTTATGACACCAACAGCATCACATAAGGAAAACAATGTAAAACCACCAAACTTATAATTGACAACACATTTAAAAGGCTCTCATCTTCTCAACAATTTGGCCTTATCTATCAAACATCAATATTTATACAAATCAAACAAGCAATCACTTCAAAAATCAATACTCACCTCAACAAAACCAAGCACTAACTGAAAAACAAGATGAGCAACACATGGATCAAGACTCTCACGCCAAACTAAACACTTGGCAACGCATGTCAAGATGAATCATTATTCCCACATCCACATCGACACTAGAATAAACAACATGCGAAGAGATTTCATGGGCAACCTTTGGAATTGAACAACAAGAAGCAATGAAGTTACAACGATACAGGAATTGGAAAGCTATAAATAATCTTGAAGTTTTGAATAAATGAACATATCATCTTTACTAAGAAATACTTTATTTCGAACACCCTTCAAAGTCTTTTCTCTAAATTAACATTTGACACATCAATTTTTGGCACCTGTTATTGTAAGTTGGTTTTTTCAGTCGGCCAAGAAGGTGCTACAATTGAACAGAGATTAATTGGTTGTCATCTCCCAGGTTTATTGATATGAACCTACTCATCTGCTCCCTCATTTTTGCTACCTCAACAACGTACTGGTTTATCAATTTTGTCGTCTTAATAGATAAATCCAATGGTGGGAGTTAACAAATAACTTAGAGTGTAACTAATAGATTTGAGATTATGTTCGAAGATATTGTTTATTGATTGCATTTAGAACTTATATTTTTACTATTTCTTCGATCGATAGTTACCTAATCAATAGTGTTATGTCTGTTGTGCCAGAAGGGCTACAACTGTCTATAAAGATTAAGGTATTCTTGATGGGTGGCTATGTCTGTGTTGTGCAACAACATGGACAAGCTATGATAATTGAAGTGCATCTCAGCTATCTAAATTCTGAGGTTCACCAGATGTGATAAGCATTGTACAAGATAAATTGCTACTTTGGCATTCAGAACTTAGTATAAATAGAATAACTCTTGTCTTCATCAATAAATCTTTAGTTTTTGTGTCTGATCTTATTCAAGTAAGTCTTTTCTTGTTTTTATAATATCGAACATTTCTTATAAGCTACAAATAATAATCCTTTTATTCTTTGTGCTTAACAACTTGTTCAGAGAGAAGGTGCTCGAAGAACATCAGAAAGGAAAGTGTACCTTTCCAGGGTGTGATGGAGTTTCGACATCACTCAAAGTACTACCTCAAGATAATCAGTTTCCCGAGTTCCTGTTCATACAAGATGGTGCAAACTTTGTCTCTGGGCGAATAGCAGGAAACAATGTTTAACTGCCTACGTATATCCACATATCACAGACTTTAAAATACAAATTGCACGGTAGAGTCTACTCGACTTGCTATGATGGTAGGCATTTTTATACAAGATGCTATAAGACAATTGGTGGAATTGTATACCTCGTAGATATTGACAATTGGAAACAGCAGCAAATGAAGGTGCTCACCTCAGATATAGACGTGGCAGAGCGTCTTTTGAAAGATATCTCTAACAAGGTGTATGCATCTTACCGTATTTGCCAGATCAGAAAATAGATCTGCATGAATAAAAACTAAAATTTGACATTCATTTCATGTATTTTGTACCCCCCCTACTCCATATTCACCCTACCCCTACCTACGCCCCGTACCCCCACGGTTTATCTATTACCCGGATCCACACTTTTTATCCTACACCATCGTCATCTAGGCAAGATCGGGGATTGAAAACAAACAAAACTCCGAAGTCGGGATCTGAAAATTCATGTTCAACTTTATTTGGTGAAATAAATAGAAAATCATGATCTGTAAATGCAAGGTATTGAAAAGAATTATGTTGGCAAATATCATCGACGTAAAGGCTTTTTGTGTATAAGATTGTTTGATGATGAAGACAAAAGTGCGCAATAACATAATTTTCATGGTCTCAAAACAAGCGTTTGCTTACCGAAATGCAAGTAATCATAAACACTTTAAAGTGGGATGTTTCGTACTATAAATCAACTATCAAGAGTAATCCATTAAATAGTTGCGATAAATTTTAACAATCTATTATGTCTATAGTGTATGTCATTACCGTACCTATTCCTGTTGTTGTACTTCATTATATAATATGCCATTTACATTAATCACTCTGCTTATGATCTACCTTTTTTTATGCTATTCATAATTAAAAATATCAATCGTCACTTCTTATTTCTTCTGTTTAACTGATGATAATAAATACGACCATCATATGTATGTTCTGCCAAAATCGCACCATTTTGGTACACTTTATTTCAGAAATACCTCTAAATTCATGGTGGCCAATGATTATTATTTTGATTAATCATTCGTTCATCCTTGTTGTATACCATCGTGCAGATAGTAGCTGTGCGGCCGACTGCTCATGATTCGTATATAGTTGAGTAAAGTGGTATGCTTATTTTGCCAATTTAGAGTGATGAAGAAAAACGCGTAATTTTTCAAAAGAGACTCTTTGCCTTGTATGTTTACTACAGAAAGTGCATAAGGTTTGTACTAGCAATCAGTAATTTGCCGGCGACTTAGATATAATTGATGGCGTTACTAAGGGGTAGGATCAGCCATACCTGTAGACATCTAGGTAGAGGAGACGATACCAAGACCTTTTCACCACTCCACACCTTTTTTCGCTACGCGTGTCGTAATTGCAGTAAAAAGGGGTTAAAAAAGCAGGTAGAATACTGTTAAAATCCTTCTTTATTTGAAATTAGGATAATGTGCAATAAAATGTATATTCTACGTCTCTATTTATATTATTTGGTTTATATCTCTTATCTGGCAGCAGTTTAGTAGTTGCCAGTGATTCCATTACTTTATATAATATTTTTGTTGGGTCATTTAGTTGTTGATCTGATGGATCAAGAACGGTATTTCAATATATGGATTTTGAATCATGCGTAAAGAATAGCTCTTTATTGTTGAGCCTGTATCCTTTTTAGGTATATTTATGTTACAACACATTACAATACCCTTGACATTTACTTTAGTATCTGTCATCTCTTATTTTAGAGCATTTAACCCTTGCTATCATCATGCTAATACTATTATTATGCATGCTTATCTGCTGATGGTAGCATGGTTTGATTGAGATGACATTTATTTTGGGCTTTGTTTATGATGGGAATCTAATCTAGTTCACTTCAGTAATATTCACCATGAAGCTCGGAAAACCAGTGTTGGTTTAGCAAGAGACGCCATGATAGTGATTCGAACTATGCTCATAGTACAAATAACACAACAAGGTTCTTCCAGTGAGTAGTCGGAGTTCTCCATAACATACTTCTTGGATACCTACATTTTCACACACATACACATACATACTGTATACCAGTATTGAACTTATTGAAGAAACAGGTTATACGGACTCAATCTTAATCTAAATACTTTGGTATTGTTATCAATGTGATATTTTGAGCAAAGTGGGTAAGTAATGAACGATATGGAGCAATTGCAGATTACTCTTTCTGTATCTCGATTAAAATTTTCTACTTTGCTTGTTACGGGTAAAGTAATGGTTAAATACACGCTTTTAAAAATAACGATTTATTTGAAAAAAAGAAACATGGAAACTTGTGAGATAGTATATATGCATTATAAAAGATGAAGCAAAAAAAAAAAAAAAGAAGTGCAAAATGAAAGGACGCTCTAGACTCAAGCAGTCGTTTTCGCTGTATTAGAAGAAATATCAATGAGAGAAAAGTTATCAATGTTGGTATTGTTTAAAAAGGCAAAAGTTGCCTGCATATCAAAATAGCTTTCCATATCAAATAGTTCAATTTTGTCTGTAGTGCTACTGTCCACGGCATCGTTTTTGGGCGTCTTTATCGTTGGTGATGATAACGATGAAGCTGGTTTCTCAGAAGTGTCACTGTTACTTGACTCCAGAGTCTCAAACACTTCTTCCTCTGCGTTCTTCTTATCCTTCTTTTCGTTGGATTGGCTCTTTCTTCTGGAGGGTATATCAATTGTGGATGGCTTTTTGTTTGGATTTGATGTTGCAGATCTTGAAAGTGGCGCATCAGGAGGCGTGCTCTTTCGCTTTGTAGATTTGTCCTCGCTCAAAGACTTTTTGGACTTTTTCTTTTTCAAAAAGAAAGAGCTGAATGATCTTTTTTGCTTTACTTCAGGTCTCTTTGTAGAGGGGCTGGGGGTTGTGGTAGTGCTTGCAGTAGGAGGTATGGATTTAGTATGTTGTTCTGTAGTACCTTCACTCTTTGAGAGTTTAGTTTGTGGTTTGGTGACAGCAGGCGATAACTGTTTTTCTTCGATTGTGCTCTGTAGCTCTTGTGGCTGTGGAACGTCAAATGTGCTACGGATATATTGATTTTGTAACCTCATGGCAGGCGTTGAATTCGTTTTGGTCACAATAGGATGCGCCAGCGATGTATCTAAATTTGTCGGAAGCTCGGATAAGAATAGATCATTTTTTGTAATTGTTGTTGTTGTTGTTGTTGTTGCTGTAATTGTTGTTATTGCTTCCTGAGGGGCTGTGTTATTATCTACCACTTCTGCCGTATTGCTTTGCTCATCATCACCATCAAATTGGCGCTGATCTTGGCTTGGTTCCAAATGTTCATCATTGACATTGACAGGCGAGTCTTGTTGATAGTCATCTTCAATCATCATGAGAGTAGCATTTGGTTCAGGGTTCCAGTAGGAAATATTCCACTGTCTTTGCATATGTCGTGCTTCTTCAAACATGCTAAACCAGTTGACTGGGACCATGGCGCGCAATTGCTTTGTCCACAAATGAATAGGCGGGTTACCCGCATAATCAAAGGCAAGATACGCATCAAAGTTATTTGGCAGGTACCTGGATGTTTGTTTTTAGTCTACATTTTAGTCTTTTTTGTGGTCTACTACAATTTGTATATACATTACCTTGCTTCTGACCAGCGCAATTCGTCTAACAAATCCGTGCCTGAATCATTTGAGTTAGATTAGATAAGGTAGACACACTGAAGAGCAAGCAATGAAACATACGCAAAACGGAAAAGCAGCACATATCATCATCCCAACCTTGAAATAGTGCAACAACTATCAATTTAATCTTTAAAATGTACAATTCCCCTTGCTGCAGTTCATTTAATGTTACGTGGTCAAGCGCCTCTTCATGGGCAGACGAGCCCGTTATGCTTTCTGCAGGAGTTTTTGGTGCATGCGCATTTGGCCAATTTGGTAGAAATTGAACTGGTTTACTATCCCAATCATACGCCATTTGATATGTGTGTGATGATTTGAATGGCAAAAAAAAAGAGAGAAAAAAGAAAAGGAGAGAACAACGAGACATCAAAATGAGGGTCGTTTTTTATAGACGAAGAAGGGAAGGGAGACGATCCGTTCGCAAATTGTGCAACGGCATGGGGCTTTAACATATGTGGGATTTTTGCTATTTTCAAATTGAACGCCATCCATTTTGTCTACTACTTTAGTATAGATTTTATTTTATATATGAAAAAAGTCAAAGTTGTTGTAACAGAATCATTCATTTTTTTTTGTTTGGGGTTTATGTACAGGTTAAATTAAGATAATTGCTATTTTTTCATGTCTCTTCGTTGGCCTTTAAGACCATATTCTTGAGAAAACGCTGCAAAACATGTCTCATACGTTGTGGTGTTATTTTCGGTGAGTATCTCCTGATTCTATATTCTAAACATCGAGTAACAATATCTCTAGGAATGAAAGAGCTCTTTGTGCTGGCGGACGGGTTCAAGCCATTGTTCATGTTGTTTCCATTCTCGCCTTCATCATCATCACCTTGATGACTGCTTGCATTTTGGCCAGGTAGAATGACAGATGTAGCAGGTCTGCTGTAGTAGAATGACGGGGACATCCATTTTGCAAATGAATTCTTTTGTGTTGATGCAGAGTACCAGGAAGGCGACATGGATGTGCTTGGTAAAATGCTATTGGCGAATGATGGATGGTATAAAGGTAGAGTATTGGGGTTTCTATCGTTTGATTTTTCTTCGTCTTCATCCAATGCTTCGTTTTCATCGGCTTTGGGTGAAGATGGTGTTTGTCGTGGCGATGAAGGCGCAGAATTGCTATTCTCAGGGCCTGATGTAACTAGGTGACGATAACTTCCACGTAAAGCAAATTCGGGTGGGATAATATCCATGGTAACAGTGCCCATCAAATGAAGATGACGAATGGCTTGTAATACATCAGACACTAAAAATACAAGACATTGAGCACGTATTTCATCGTCTCTTGATCTTCGCACTTACCATAGAGATATTCGAGGAATTCTCGGTTCTTGAACACTCGCTTTTCGCTGATGCGGTTCATGATTTTGTGCCATAAATTTGTCTTGTTGCTCCAATAGGGCCAACCATATTGCATTAATACAATCATATTGCCGGCCTTTTCGTCCCAGCGAAGAGCAGAATCAATGGAGGCCATACCACCACGTTGTTCAGATTCATTATCCAGGCTTACAATCAGATGTTTGATACATCGTACAACAAGTCCTTCCTGTGTCACTCTCATCAAACCAAACTCTCTTCCATGAAAAATGTTGGCTACTGTGCAACAATCTGTTTCGTCAGAGCTGAAATCTTTGGCGTCGAGACCATTGGGTATTGGGAATACAGATAAAATGATGGCAATTTCCAGTGTCGATTGCTGTTAGAAATCGCAATGAGTGGCATTGTCTCTTTTACAAATCGATTGCCCTTACCTGAAGACTGCCCACGAGCAAATATATGACCCCGATGTTATACAAAACGCGGAAGGCAAACATAAATGGAATATCCATTTCAGTCGAATTTCGGCTATACTCGGTTTTTTCCTGTCTACGTTGTACTTCGATTCGATCGCAAATACTCTGCGACAGCTCCAATGCTTTGGCCAAATTGCCAGGCACAGAAGGCGAGGCTAATGCCAGGTCGCTTCTGACCAGTAACACAGCGTTGTGCATATCAAATGGCAACTTGTAGCCGTCAATGACTCGACACAATTCTACATGGATAGTGAGGTAAATGATATGCACAGATTCAGGCTAGTACTTGGGGCTGTTACCTTGCTCCCATCCTCCCAAATGATCAATGATGGTCTTTTGCGATAATTTATTGCTCGCCCATTGCCACAATTCAACTGTGTGTCTCAAGCAATCGGCTGCTTTGCTCAGTATCTGCAATGCATCATCCACACCTTGAACACAGTACGAGTCTAATCCCAATGCACGACCGTCTTCATCATCGTATTCATTTTCATCAGCCACCGACGAATTGGAGGAATTATCTACTTTTGAGCGTTTGTCGTTTCTCCTCAATAAATGACAATCATCCGAGAAATTGAGTGTGTTTCTTTCCACATTGCTGCTGCTATCATGCGACGAAGACCGCTTTTGTCCTATGCGATGGTTGGGTGCGTTGCTGTCGCTTGGCTGAAACGAACAAACAGGGATCAAACAGGACTTTTCCTCGGCAGAGTTTGATGCACTGTCCGTTCCACACACGTACTTGTAATAGTCGTACCCAAACTGAACAAATTGCGAGGCAGCCACCATGTATTCGCACATGAGCGTAGATATGATTGAGAGATCCTCTGTGGTGGGTAAAGCATGTATGTCTCCATTTTCCACATCATCGTCAATGCGAACACTGTTTCTATGCTCCTTGAGGAATTGAAATCGAATAATGTGCGAAACTGAATCCAACTGGTCCAAGCCATTGTATCTGAATAAGTGTGTGCGTTAGCATGCGAAGCAGGTTATAAAACACTGGCACTTTACCCGCATGCAGACAACATGGCACATGTAAACTTGCTGGATTCTTCCCATCGATGCTTTTTGATGTAATAGCGCTGGCCCAGCAACAAAAATTGCTCAAACAAAATGTGCGGCAAGGTGATGTAGTGCTTGCTCTCTGTGGATTTGATGGACGGTACCTTATCCTTTCTTACCAACAACAATCTCTGCTTGCAGAGACGAGGGAACAATTCGGTGACTTTTTTTTTCAATGACAAAATTCAGTGAGGATTGATGTGAACACTGCGAAATGATGTATTACCTAATAAGCTGATACACTTTTTCTTTTCCTCTTCTGTTGATTCTTGAGCGCAAATGATGAGTAGATTGATAGCACTAATCTGTAGTGGTTACTGTCAGCGGAGTGGTCATGATATATCTGTTTTTTTTTTGCGAGCTAGTTACCAGGTATTTATAAGCATGGCGGGGATACGCTTGAATGTAATCAAACAATATCACAAATGCACGCATAGATTCCTTTTCTTTCAAACGATCTACCAACACAGTTAAATCAGGAAACCGGCTCATCCGATCACATAGTCTCACCTGTCGCAAAGTCAATGATATTGGATTGTAGCAAGCATGGCAGCGATCCAAAAAATCCTATTGTAGTCTGTTAGGCTTTATCAAACGGAATTATCCTGTGTGAACGCGTACTGCTGGCATCTGTGTCTTTGGCTGGGTCAATGTTTTCGGCTACTTGGATCAAGTACGATTGAAATGTTGGGTTTTGTAAGCTGTTTGAATGGCTATAACAGATAGGATGAGAACAACATCTTGGTGCACAGTGAAATGTAAACTATTTACAGCAATACAAAGCTTTGAATGGCCTTTTCGAAATTTCCTAGGTGTATAGCAGAACGCAGCACATTAAACTACACAAGAACCAAGTTAGGCTCGACTAGCTGGGTGTCTACGATGGATGCCAACCTCATTTTCAAATGAATTTCTGCTCTCTGTCATTGCACTGTTGTATGCGCTCTCTGCCGATGATTTAGGCTCTTGCGACATGATTTCTCGATGGTGTAAACGATTGAACTTTCCGGGATTCAGTTGATTGTAATGATAAAAGGAAAATAGATAATGCAGATGATGATCGGTATTTACAGTGTGTGAAGGGAAGATTGAGAGAGAGGGAGAGAAAGAAGAGGAGAAAAAAGAAAAACAAGATGTTGGTTCATCCTCCTTGCAAGCCTTCAAGTTCCGCTGAAAGTTTCTTATGTAATAAAGATTTTTTTTTATTCATGTGTGTTCATCAAGCCAAATACGAATATGTGTCATCAGGTCCACGCTCCAAGTATTCCCTTAGGTAATCGTCAGAACCAACCCATCCCATAATTAAACCAAATACTTACTTGTCAATCAGCACTTCGATTCGCTTCTTGATCTCTTGAGCCTATTGTTGTTGGTTACATTCACATTAGATGCGGGACAATCTTGGATAAACAGAAAAACTTACAGTGACAGGAAATCGAACAACACCAGTAACTTCATTCAGCAGAGATCCATGGCTAGCTGTCGATCTAGACTTCATAATTCTCACAATCACGGCATCAATTTGCTGGTCCTTGGCAAATAAGACGGTCGTATCCAATCTTGCATTCTTCTCTATCACCTCGCTGAGAGTGGCCGTTGTCATTGACAGTTGATCCTTGTCTGCATAAAACTCGTAATTGAACGAAAACACATCGGTTGGCTTGATGTCATCGCCTTGAGGGTGTTTCTGTAGCAGCTTGTACTCACTACATGATAGAGAGACAAGTGTGCGACGGAGCTCTAGTTCATCTAAAACCCAAACATGAGTTTAGACCATTCCCATTTCATGTGACACACTGATAATGATGGCTTACCTAATTGACTGCAATTCAAAATGTCTGTAAATGAATAGGCATGCCTTGTTGTATCATTGAATAAGAGTAAGACGATGGTTTGCAGCAATGTTAATGTGATCTGTTTGGTGCCGCTGGGATAGTTGGCGGTAATATCGCATACACTGAGCGAGTTTTGCCATGTCAACACTCGTTTCTCGAACTTCGTTTGATAGAATGTGTTGTACATTACTTGTGCTTGATGGAAAGCGGTCGGTAAGTTGACATTAATGGGTATATACGACGGCCAGAATCCATATGTCAGTAGATTGACATTGATGTTGAGCGCAGGCTGCGTATTCATGTTGTATTCCTAAGAGAGGATCAATGGGTGGTTACATTTCATACGCTAAACCCGACTTACGTGGAACTCCTTCATCAGTTCACCTGATTTCTCGATATCTTTGACCATGCCCTCCATCTTACCTGTATAACCTGCGCCGCATTCTACCTTCATCTTGGCGAGGATCATCTTTTCCGCACTCTTATGAGAGATGTTCAATAAAAGTCGTTTTGCAAGGTCTCGTTTGTACAGCACTTCAAATTCATCCTTGCCCTGAAGCTGTCTAAACAAGAACATGCCCTTCTCCAGCAACTCTTGGTCAAATACGGGGTTTCGCAAGACCTGATCTGTATATTTCGCCAACAGCTTGATGGTATTATTCTCCCTCAAATTGATGAAATAGTCTGTGCCGTCCTTTAATCCATCCACAAATTGCTCATCGCCCTCGAAACTGTGATCCACCACTTCGTCGTTTTGAGAGTCGAATGCTGCTATCATGCTAATCTTGTCTTGAATGCTCGTCTTGTCACAAAGAATAGAGGATCCCTTGCTTTTGACGTAGTTTGTAAAGTATTTGGCGCAAATCTCCAGTTTATCCACTTTTTGCAATAATCTGTACAGCAATGAAAACTTGTCAAAGTCGCCGTCTTGAAAGTGATTGATGCTTTGGAAGTAGTCAAAGCCTACAAACTTGATCAACACACATGTCACACTCACTAGCACGCAGCCGACTGCTTACACTTGGCCAATATGCTTTCCACTCGCTTCGTCAATAACTCCTTTTCTACAATAGATTGCAGTTGCGATTTCGTTGACTTGTCAAAGTAGCTCTTGACACGCAGAATCGATTCCTGATGCACTCTTGTAGATACATGTTCGAGGTAGTCGAATATGTTGATGGATTCCAGTAGTTTGTCTCCTTCTTGATCGTAAAACTGTTGTGTCTGTATCAGTAACTGCTGCTCGAAGGCTGAGTGGTATAGACTGAGGTCCATCAGCATGCGAATATTGGACTGCAATAACAGCTCATCCACTGCTTGACCGATTCTCTCCATGCGAATCATGTCCAGTATGCTATTCAGCACTTTATGCCACACGCCTTGGTATCGGCTGAAGTTGTCTCTAAACAAACCCATTGCCATATTCCACATGGATCCTGTTTTGGTGTTCGATGCTATATAGGTGCGATCAAGATATAAGAACAAGCATCGGATTTGAGTCTACATCGCAGAGTGTCAATGTGAGGTCATCAAGTATCTATCTCATTCCCAATTACCATTTGCTTGCAGTAGCTCTTCCACAGTAAATGTACATCATGCAAATACTCGCCTCCTTCTTTGGTATTACTGACAGAAAGTGCCTATCAGCATCATACTGCATCATCGTGTTGAAGCAATCCTACCTTGCCAGCTCCTGGAATCGACTCTCAATGTATCGACGGCATTCCTCATAGAGGTGAAGATAGAGTGCTTCTGCTTTATCGTATTGACATAGATTCTCACAAAGCTGTTTTTGAGTGTTTAGCAGATCAATGTGATGCATTGTGCGCGCAAACTTACCTGGTACAGCACTTCTAGGCTCTCTGAGCTTGGCTCGTTCTTTTGAATGGCGTGAATAGCAGCCTTCAATCGATTCCAGGCTGTCTCTTCGTAGTCTATAGGCAGCTCTGGTCTGTCCACTAATTGACGCTAATTATGAATCATGGAGGTGGTATGGAACGCTGTTGATGCTGTGTCTACCTTTTAGATCATACACCACCAATTTGCTGTCTGATAATATGGGATGCTTTTGGCTATGTTGGAATGAATTGGATAGATATCTACTAAATGGAAGAGGCATAAAACCAGAATTTGATGTTGAAATGTTCTGTTCTGCTATATTATCAAGCTTAGGTCTTTTGATAGCCTCCCACTCTGTCATTTTTTTTTTTTTTTTTTTTTTTTATAACTGATGGATTGGAAAAAGAAAAAGTGATTTTGTCTGTTTCAACGCGCTCCCCATTTTTCATGTGCAGAAAAGCAACTTTTTATTTGCGGCTGCTCATTGCAATTGCTGTGCTTGTGTGTACACGAGGGGGGCTATTTGATCTGTTGTCTCATGTCAATGGAGTGTCAAGTATCAATGTAGACGTCCCTGCTTCAATAAAATTTACATATTGAATGATATACTGCTCTCAATGACACGTGGTAATTTGAATGAAATCTTGTTTATTTAGGATCATCTTGTTCAGACAAAAGCAAGAATACATTCAGGCTCATTTGACTCTCTGGCGAGTTCATTTCTGAGGCTCGCTCCATCATTTTATCCATGTCGTCAAACCCAACATGCGGGCTGTAAGATGCCATCATTAGATAACGATGATTCTCTACTTTGGGCAAAGGGATGAAGCTTGGCGAAATGAAGATGGTCCTATGCAAGGAAGGCTATTTGTTAGTTTCAATGTATCCGACATATCACAGTCATCTTTACCTTTCAAATGAATTGGAAGTGTTTGTCTTTGCAAAATCAATCTCTGCTTTTCCAGGCTGATGTCTACGAAGTACAACGCCTGAACTCTTTTCCAACTCGGCAACTGCTTCATCTAAACGGCTTGAGAAATCAAGAATGTTGACATGTGCATGTTGGTTGTCCTTTGAGTCTACTAGCAAGTGTCTAGGAGGCATGTAGGTTTTGTAAAAGACGAGGTTTGTGGTGACATTAAAACCGTTGGTATCAGTAACATCTAGCAAATGCTTTGAGGTCAATATCAATTTCTCTGCAAATACAGTCGCTTCACTTACTGTTGGGACCTACAGTGCAAGTCAAATCACCATTTTCAAGTACATGGCAATCATGAATACCAGTGGTTTGACGTTGGAGGAACCTCATGGTTGGCACAATACCGCCTTGGTGAACAACAGCAAAGATGTAGGTAGTAATTACATTGAAAAGCAACCAAATAACCCAAAAGGAAGCCGGCAGCTTGACTTGTTTCCAAGTGTAAATCAAGACTAAAGGAACAAGCAATGGCGCCAAGAATCTAGCCTCTTGGTGGGGAATAGTCGAGAGACCAATTAAGCCAGAGAAGACAACGCTAATGAGAACTAGAGAACCAAATCAATAATTGGCAGCGTATCATGATGTGTTGTGAAATTACCATAGAGGAGATGTGTATGATCGTTATTTTGCACCTGGGCAATGACATTTGGAATGTACAAAAAGCCAAATATAGCCAAAGGACCAAACAAGAGGGGTAAATTAACAGCAAAGTGTGTATAACGAGGATGAAGACCATGCTGAGCCAAGTTATCCACTTTCATGTTGTATAAAAGGTTATTGAGCGGCGTAATGACAATATCGCCATCTGCACGAACGGTGGCTAATGTTGTAGGGTCAAATAGCGTAGAAACAACATGTCCTACATCTCTAAATGGCCGACTATCTACAGTAAATGATAATGTGCCATAGTATACAGAATCTGCTGCAATGGCGAATACGGCAAAAGAAGCAATGCCCAAAATTAATGGAAATACAAAAGCCGTGAATTGATTAAAACTGTGGCTTCTGCAGAGCGAGTAAGTGATCTTGTTTAGTTGTCATGATCCTGAATTGAACTTACTGCTTATATGCTTGATAGATAAAGGCAATACCGATAGGAAGGGCGTAAAGAGGAAACGTGATTCTGGTAAATACGCCTACACTGAACAGGGCTCCCAGAAAAAAGGCTAACTTAGCATTTGCCTAACGATTTACCCATAAGTCTACAGAGTTTTGATACTTTTACAATCCAAATTACCCTGTGCGCATAATTGACATAGGTGTACAAGCATAAGCAAAGCAATACGCTTTCAAATGAATTAGAAAAGGGTCGAGTATTGTATGCTAATGTCACTTGGCTTGTGGCAATCAACAGCATGGGGATCTTTGGCTTGGAACCAATGCGCTTACAAATTCTGTAGACGCATAAATCTAAGGATTGTAATTAATGAATGAATCTACTGCCTTGTTTGTCTACAACAAACCTATAACCAGTGACCAAACAAAAGCACCCAAGCGCTCTGTCATAAACAGTGTTACCGAGGAAGGCACTTTGAATACATTGTGAGTTTGATTATTCATGCTTCAATTTAAGCTTTTCATCTGTTTACGTGTATCTTTAGGTAACCAAGCTTTCAAGATGTAGAATGGGATGCCTGTTGTCAAGAACCTAGTTCAACAGTTTAGACATTTTACTCGTATGTTGGCATAATTAATATAATTACGGTGAAATAATGGATCGAGATGCGTGTTGTGGTTGATATTCCCAAGGTGTCAATGTATGAATGTTGAAAATCTTTGCACTTGTAACCTCGGGATTTTGAAAAAACTCATCTGGATGTATGTAACCAGGCAACGTTGCAGTAAACCAACGTAACCATAGCAACAAAAATATAGACAGTAATGCCACTTTGCTGATCATTGTAGAGCGAGAGTCTTTTAATGAAAAAGAGAGAAGAAAGAATCCATTACATCGTGCTTTTAACTTTTTTTTTTTTATTATTATTACAAATTCTATCAGAAACGAGGAGTCATCATCATCATTTGAGTTGTATTAGGATACATGTAATTGTTGACACTGCTACTATTACTACTAATACTACCGCCACCACCACCTCCACTCAGACTATTCACCATCAAGTTACCTTGTTGTTGTAATTGCTGTTGTTGCTGCATTAACATCATTTTACTGAAATCAGATGGTTGCATTTGCTGCTGCTGCATCATCAATTGCTGTGGATGTGGAGACATGCTGGGCTCGTCTTGAGTGTGTTGCGCCTGCTGCTGTGGTTGTCGATAGAACAATCGCTGCGCTATTTCGTACAATCGATGGATCTTGTGCGCGGTTGGCGTGAATGGCGTTGGCAACATGGTCAAATCAGGTGGAGCAGGTAGTTTTAATTGCTTTGTATTGAATGAGAGAGAAAAGAGATGTTAATCTAAATAAGCATATTAAAGACAGCATGCATGTTTTTACTTACGTCTTCTGGCTTGGTCATTGAAATGTCTGCCATGGTAGCAAGATAGGTTAAATTGGACTGCAATTTAATTTGATACAATGTCAAATCAGGCTCCCTTTGTATTAAATTAGGTTGTTGGTGTTCCAAGCATAGTCGAATGATTTCTTGGTTTATAGTCAGGATCTACCATCAAGCAGATTTAGATATGCTGTTATATTGGACTGAAAAAAAAAAGATGACCTTACCAGTTCAATGCGTTTTGACATGACAGCATTGGTATCAAGCATGGGTTTGTTGGATGGTAAGGAGGGGGGTGATAGCACCTGAACGGGTGAAGGTGTTGTAGACATATTGTTCATGTTTTGTTGTATGAGTTTGGCTTGTTGCTGCTTGATGAACCAATGTGGAGGTTGGCTATTCAAATGTTGCTGTTGCTGTTGCTGTTGCTGCTGTAATTGTTGCTGTTGCTGCTGTTGTAATTGCTGCTGATACAATCTCTGCTGCTGAGATGCACGTCTTGCTTGCAATTCCTGCTGCTGCTGTTGCTGCTGCTGCTGTTGTAATTGCATTTGCTGTTGTTGTTCTTGCAAAAGCAAGAATTGCTGCTGTTGCTGTTGCTGTTGCTGTTGCTGCATCATCAGCATCATCATTTGGACTTGCTGGTTATCCAACATGGGGTCCATGAGACCATCATTCACTGTAGTAGGTGAATAGTAAGTGCTTGTCTCCATCTGCGACATTGGTACACTGGTGCCTGGCATCATGTTGGCTACCAGGTCATTCTCCATGGGTGTCCAGCCCATGATATCCGAGGATGACACAGCTGTTGTGGGCATGTCCATCGAGAAGGGTGGCATAAAGCTCGGCGACGATGTTACATCGCTTATTGGCATAGTGCTGAAAGCATCTGGTGGGCCTGAGTATGGGTTCATTTCTTCTTTTTGTCTTGTGTTATGTTATGTAGGTATATGTATATATGAATGATGATGAGGATGGTATAGATGAATACAGAAAGAGGGTATTTTATGTGAGAAAAAGAGAGACTGTAAGGAAAAAGAGAAATAAAAATTATAGAGAAAAAACAAGGAGACAAATGCGTATCCAAACTTCAACATCTTGATGCACTACTCGTTTCCTATAGGTATCTTTTATAGCTCGTCCCCATTTGTGATGAATGGATTAGCCAGCAGCAGTGTTCCTGCATATTTACTCACAGTGCGTGTGTACTACACATGACAAGAGGGTATCACATACGGATTTATGCATGCAGAAAAAAGTGGTTCAAGCTGCTTGGTGTCTGAAAAAATAAGCTCTGAAGTTGTATGTGCGACATGTACCCTTGTGTCATGGTCGATCTACAGTTACAGTGATGAATTTTGTTTATTTGGTCTATTATTTATAATATCTACAATTAGAAAATGGGAGCAACATGAATTGATGTGTGTGTTATATGTAAGTAAAGATGTGAATGGCAGCCTTGTTTTTTTTTTTTTTTTTTCAACAAGACTACAACTATGTGTTGTTCCATAATAATAAAAGGTGTGGGTGCGGTGGAGGGGGAGGTAGAGGAGGTTAATGAGAGGGTTATTCACAAACAACTTGAACAAGCATAGTTGACACCAGCATTAGGCTCAATTTCAATAGCTGTAGACTTGGCTAAAGAAGACTTGAAGTTTGAGCAAATGGACCAAATGTGAGACGCTATTTTGGGTCGTTGTTCTGCAACTGATGTCAATTCCTTTTCATAGGGAATAAAGTAAAATGTACTTTGGGGATCTTTTGAAAGCCAATTGAGTAAATGAGAAGCGACTAGGGCAATACCTTGAATCTCAGAGTCATCAACCACAATGCTCATGGTCTTGATGGTAGGGGACGTAGTGCTCATACTGCAAGCGGATGAGACGTTGGAGGTGGGTGTGGAGGGAGAGGAGGAAAGAGACGGTGCCGGGCTTTGTACTGGGCTGTTACAACAACTCTCTCCAATTTGGTTGTAGAAATGCGTGCGTAAATGAGATATCAACGCGTCCTTGTTTTCAAACAAGTTTTGCTCGGTATTACAATGAGACCAGCTGCACACATAACTGGCGTTGGCGGTAGGTGTCATATGGTCGTGAAGGACATGGCGTTGCAAGGTGAATGTATCGTCAAACATGAGAGAGCATTGATCCCATTTACAAGGCACTTGTTGACCTAGTATTTTTTTTTGTAGTGAGCAAATGTTGTCTACTCAAACACACAACACAGAACTTACGGTCTTGCAGGATACTCATCTTGATCTGAATGCCTACAATGTTCAATCCTTCCACAACAGGTGCTGATTTGCCAGATCTACCCAAAAGTGGACTTGTCTCGGATGTGGAAGCCTTTGGAAACGCTATCTTCATGACAGTGTAAAAGTCTCTCATTTTCAATGCCTTTTCCAGCCCAAATCTAGCTTCGTAAAGAAGGTATACATCGTCGAGCGATAGTACACTAGTTCTATCAGCCACTTCAAACTTGTCCTTTAGCCTGTAGCACAAATGCGTTCAGTCCATCATTCATGTTATTTCTACTAGTCCAAATCCTTACCATCCCAAACATCTGAAAGGCTCATCTAATTTTTGATACACAGTAAGATCAGGCACACGAGGCACCACACTTTGATTCTGAGGTTGCTGACTGGGCGTACTGGTTGTTGTGGCAGGCAAGGGTGTGGGCAAAGCTGTATCCTCTTGAATGAACCGAGTGCAAAAGTACTTTGATTTAGTCATCAGGAGCGAAATCAGTAGGCCAATGTATGCGTTCGAGTAGGGAGATGTCAAGAATTGACTGCGACACTGAGTAGAGACGCGAGTGTGCTGATAAATGTACTCTAACGCAGTGCCCACCAATTCCTCGTCGTCTGATAAAAGCATTTGCGAGACGCGCTCCATGACAGGGCTTGATTCCACACTAGCTTGATTCTCTTTGTTGATAGTAAGCCAAGTCAATGTGCGAATGGATCCAATCACCAGGTAGCGATCATGCGATGCCACAACTTGATAGATGCAGTTCAAACAAGGATCCTGTGCTGATTCCAACCTCAAGTGCACTGCAATGTTCTCTAATACATCCATTGAATGACGTCCCAACTCGACATGGCCTGTACTCATCGATGTTTGTAAAGCCTGTACTAAGATTTCTTTGACCAATGCGTGCTCCGACAGGGTAGGAATGTAGGCCGACAGAAAACTAAAATTGCGCAGGATGTGAAGTACCTTTAAGATGATGTTCAAAGTGCCTAAATCCGTGTAAGCAGATGTGTCGCCATTGTTGTTGTTGCTGTTGCCGTTGCTGCCAGTCTTCACAGCACCATTGCAGTGCGATTCGTTGATGGAGAAATCAGCACAATCAGCTGTGGTGCTCATGGGCGAAGATTCCATATCGTCTTGTAACATGATACTCAATGTGTCGCTGGCTGAAGTGGGCAAAGCGTTGTCGGCAGCATGACTCGCCAAACAGGGTTGAGCGAGACCCACTAGCATTTGCAGCAAAAAGGGCGATTCGTTCAGTTCGAGTCTTTCAGGACACTCAAATGACATGGTCACTATTCCGTCCAAAGCCCATTCCACATCTGATCTTTGTCCAAACTGCAGCGCAAATAAAATGCGATCCTTCTCATTAAAGGTGGTGTCTTGTTTTTCTGAGGCTTCAAGTTTTGATTCAGTTAACAATTGCATTGGTGGTATGGCTGCTGTCTTTGCTGGACTCTGGCTTATGGGAATTAGAGTAGGGTCCAAATTGATGTTGTTTGCAAAGTCGTATAAAAGCGGATTTCCCAATTGTTGTTGTAATGATGCTGTCAGAGGGGTCAACAGTGCAGCAGCAGCAGCGGCAGCGGCAGCAGCAGAGGCAGCAGAAGCAGCAGAAGCAGCGGCGGTATGCGTGTTGTTGCTCGAGGTGGAGGTGGACTTGGATGTCTTGGGTGAGGTTGAATTTCCATTGGCAGATTTCAAAGATGTTGATTTCTTGATCCCTGTTTTATACGCCTTTCCTGCCAAGGTGGATGACTTGTGAGCATGAGGCCCCAACAGCTCCTTTGGAGGAACCCAATCCTTGCTCCATAACTTCTCTTCCTCCCAACCCAACTATCAACAGACATGTTAAATAGCGATCCTATTCAACCATAAACAAACATACCAAATTTCGAATATAAACACCTTTCAAGATATAAGCACTGTTTGTGCAAGTAGATGGGAACTGAAAGATATCGCCCACTTGTTTCCAGCCTCTATTCTTTGTTACTTCATCGAATCCGCCTGAGCTCACTACCACTTGGAAAATCTTGTACAAATCGAGTCGTCTACCACCCAATACGGGCTCTGCTTGGAGTGTTGTACTGCAGATGGAATACAACATGTTAGACTGAATTTTTGTATCAACAAAGATGCTTTTTTTTTACCCTTTTGCAGCGTGGAATTGCTTCAATTCCTGTATAAAGTTGACATATTCAGGCGTACGGTCAATTGTATCGCGCAATCTCGCCATTGATGCTATAATTCAGTAGTTCTCACTTTTGATGTATTAAATGCGTCGTTGTCGTTGTTGATTTCGTCTCGTCTTGTTCAACTTGTTTAGCGGGCCAGTAACGTCGATAACAAAACTTGAGGTCTGATATATAGATTGTATGCTATTGATGTATTTGCAAATAAAGAAAGAGAAATGAAATGTGTCAATTCCATCCTTTTTTTTTGTCTGAGGTCTTTCTTTTTTTCACGGTGGCTTGTATATATAATTCAAAAGTATTTCCCCTGGATCAAAGAAGCATTGTCGTCCGGAGTTTGGCATCTCAGCACTATTAATACATTTGATGGCACAGATAGTTGATCTGGCATGGCTTGATATGTATCCAATCCATGTCATAGCTGATAGTTATCAATCATACTCATGTTCACTGACATCTTATTTTTTAGCCTTCCATTATTATATGAGAGCCTTTATAGCTAAGGATCTTCTGACTCTTTCAGAGTGATCTACGTCTGTATCAACAAAAACAGTTCAATACAGATGAGCAGTATACTTGCATTACCTATTACTATTCAAACACATGTAAAACACAGTGGCATTTGGATGTATTTGAGTCGCGTTTCTTCGCACTAGAGGCCGTTTTATAAAGCCCAGAATAGCATTAAAGGAATTCTCTGATCTAGCATTTACCTACTGACACCAAAAAAAAAAAAATGGCTGCAAACCATGAGGTGCCCCTCATGGAAAACATCAAGAAATCAAACGATCGCGTTTTTGACTCCATAAGTGAAGACTTTTATTATAGCATACGCGTGTTTATGCTTCGGATGGCTCTCTACCTTCGCTTCGCTTCGCTGAGAACCAACCTGTACTGCCGATTGCCCTTGCGTATCTTATCAAAATACTGCTACTTTCATTTTGACCCTCCATTTACACATGAAAGCCTTTCATATTATCCGCGGATTTGATTCTTATGTGATGCTCTACATCCATATACACGTAGTTACTACAGATACGGGCAAGCAGCATACTGGTATTTCCTCCTTTTAATCCTTAGTGTCCCTAATACAGCAAAATATGAGTGCATTTGAGCTGCGTTATCTCGCGTTCAAGACCGTTTTAGATTGTCAGAATAGCCCCAAACGGTTGCTCTCATTTGGCAGTTACTTTATGACACCTTTGCTCAACTTTTTGGGGACCTAAAAAACATGGTCAAAAAATCGACCAAAAAGCATGAGGTATCCCCTCATGGTTTTCATCAAAAATCAAACGATCGCATTTTTTACCTTGATAACGAAGACTTTTACTATGGTATATCTTGAATCAAAATGTTCCTATCGATCCAAAGCAACCCTTGAAATCATCTTTGTGGGATCTTGATATGGAAAATCTCGACTTTTTGGCGAGAAACTTGTTTTCATGTTTTCATAAATTATTCAATAAGTTTACTCAAAACATCTATCTTAGTTGGTACCATTGGAAGCGCCTTGAAAAGTACTCTAGAAATGCATTAAGAAGTATGGGTGATCATCACAATTTTTATAGTCGAATAAGACAAGAAAGATCAAAGAAGTCGATTTTGTTTGAACTCTGGCCAATCTGGAGCAGAAATTTAGCGGAGGCTAATTAGTTCTGGCAACTGACAAAAACAATTACGAAGGCAATTGATGCATTTGAGAGGTAATAAAAAGGGGGTTGCAGAATGAGAAGCTACCATAGCTAAATAGGTCTACTTTATCTTTATTCTGTAACATATTTATGAAATCTGATTGATGCAAAAAGCTTATTTAAATGTTAACCCTAATGCAAAGTGTAAACATTGGCATCCCTTACGCAGAATCACTGACCAGCCTGAGGCAGATGGCTCACTACTGACGTATTGGAACAGGTCTACCTGTGCAACAACAAACACAGTGGACATACTGATGAGATTGTGTCATACATCTTGCATGTCCTTACATCAAGATGTTTGCATCTTCCTTACAGCTGTCTATTTGTCATCCTTCCGATGAAATGACATTTGTTGTTCTTACCATTGGCTTGTATTCGCCGTATTCATAGAAATGCGTACAAGAAGAGTACATTTTAAGAGTATAAGTTGGCTCTGTATTACCTCACAATGACAAATCTCGTGGAGCTACTATTACTACTACTACTGCTACTCCTAAATGCCCTTTGCTAGAGCATGTTGGTCAAGCTGCTGAGTAGTGAATGTGAGTTACTCAGGAACAGTGTGTGTATGTGTTAGTGTGTGGGTTCTGTTGATGTGTTTGTGGCTCATCATTTCTCTGATAGGCTCCCCACCCTAATTTGTAACCATGATTTCAGTTCATCCGGATGTTGTGTGTACACTGGACCAAGTAGGATGAGCCGTGAGAACGGCTTAACCATTAGCCTTGCACAAATATCTAAAAGAGGGGTAAAAGGTGATAAGATATAAAAAAATATTTTCCCTCCCATTCTTTCTTTTTTTTTTTTTTTTTTTTCATATGATCTTGTAGAATTCTTATTCATCATCATTCTCCATTTAGACCTCTTTCTTTCTTTTATTTCTTTTCTCTCTTTCTACATCTATGCTTCGAACAACATTAAGAACAATACCAAAACACCACAACAACAGCAAGGTGCTTGCTAGCAGCGGTAGAAAGCTTGTCTATCCTGCCATCAACGTACTTGCAGTGAAACGATTGCAATCCAGTCTTACTGCAGAAACAAGCTACGAAGAAGAAACTCATCACCAACCACAGCAACCCTCTACCATTGTAAATATAAAAACTCCCGTAAATACAACACCCCTTAATGGTAAGTAACAATGGCGGGCACAACTCTGTATGGGCTTTTTATTTATTCGTCTTTTAGTATCACCTATAAGACGCTATGATGAAATTACCAGTAATGGACTAGTGAGATCAGATCCAGGACAACGAGAAGTGATAAAGAAGCTAGACGATTTGTGGTACGAACTTAGACAATATAAACCCAAAGCCTACAAAGAGCAAGGCAAATCTAGATCTGTGAGTATACAGGTGATATGGGGAAACAGGATCATGACTGACTTACACATCATTAGTGGGGCAGATGGTTTGGCTATAGAAACCAAGAACATGACCTGATACCCGTAGATCACAATGTACCAAAATCAATGTATGTATACGGTAATGTGGGCACTGGAAAGACCATGGTGATGGATCTGTTTTTCGACACACTGGCCATCACTCGTAAACGGCGAGTTCATTTCCACGCATTCATGCTGGACGTACACCAACGACTTCATCAAATCAAGACCAAGTTTCCTGCATTAGCCGATCCTTTGGCACCTATTGCCGATGACCTCGTCAAGGAAGCCTACGTGCTGTGTTTTGATGAATTCCAAGTAACCGACATTGCAGACGCCATGATTCTACGTAATCTCTTTGAAGAGCTGTTTCGTCGAGGCGTCGTGCTAGTGACTACATCCAATCGCCATCCTACAGAACTTTACAAGAACGGTATTCAACGCACCTCATTCCTACCCTGCATTGACTTGTTGATGAACCGCTGCGATGTGTTGTGTTTGGACTCAGGCACAGATTACCGCAAAGTGGAGCGAGCTCAATCACATGTCTTTTTCTATCCGCTGAACCGTGACACGACGCGGAAGATGGATTTACTGACACAACGACTGACGCATGGACAGAAAATGACGCCCAAGGATCTTCATTTCCTATCTCGTACACTGACCATCCCAGAACAAGTCAACGGCGTGGCCAAGATGCGATTTGCAGACGTGTGTGCTCAACCACTGAGTGCAGCCGACTATTTGGAAATTGTCAAGAACTTTCATACCGTCATTCTGACGGACATTCCACGCATGACCATGAAGCATCGAGCAGAAGCACGACGATTCATCACCTTTATTGATGCCATGTATGAGTCACATGTGACACTAGTGGCAAGCGCAGAAAATAGTATATTGGAGATATTTAATGCAGATGAAGGCATGGAACACTTGGAAGATGAGATGCGTGCTATGCGAGACAGCTTGGAAGTAGGTGATATTTCGTCGCCTTTGTTTACGGGTCAAGAAGAGGCATTTGCATTTCAAAGAGCGTTATCAAGATTGATCCAGATGCAGAGCACCGAGTGGGTTCGTGATGAAGTTAAGCTGGATTCTCCCTGAAGAATAGTAGTAATTTATTTCAATAAATGATTTTGTGCTACTTGTTTTTTTTTTTTTTTTTTTTTTTTTTTTTTTTACCACAGGACAACAAGCAAGTTCAGGGGGGAGGGGGAGGAGGAGAGGTGGAAAGCATATAAAAAACTTTATTGAAAATGTGATACATTGAGGGGGATATTATATATAGAACAGGGGCATAGAATACTAGCAGAGAAAAGTGTAATTATCTGGATTGTTGATACAATTTAGGTGAGAGCTCTTGCTGTTGTTGTGGATGGTATTTTTCTTCGTAATGATGGCGACCAAGTGGAGCAGCAGATGGAGGAAGAGGAGGAGGAGGAGGATGAACAGCAGCAGGAGACCAACTACTATTTGGAGGTTGACTGTAATATTGCTGCTGCTGTTGTTGTTGAGCATGGTAAGGAATAGGTGTGCCTGGTCTTGTACTTGATCTGTTGTCATGCTCATTAGAGGAAGACATGTAAGAATCAAATGTAGCAGCAGAGTCCGTTCTCTGATGATGCACTTGCTGCTGCCAATCTCTTAGGGCTCTTTCAATATTGGCTTCACTGTAGCTATCAAACATACCATTTTGTTGTTGACCTTGCTGCTGTTGTTGATGATGATGCTGATTCACCATGGACTGATACTTGAATCCCTGGCGATGTCTGGCATACATTTCCGAATCATTAGCACTCTGAGAACGAGCATGAATGTTGTTGAATGCTGAATTCATCAAATGTGGCATCATCTGCTGCTGCTGTTGCTGCTGGTGATGTTGATGTGCATGATAGGATACGGGTGAATTGGCTGAAGTGGGCACAGATGACGAGGAAGAGGTGTTTTCGTTGCTTGGTTGTCTTTGCGTATCTACTACCAATGAGGGTGGGTTATAGACATATTGAGGAGGAGGCAGTGTGACAACATGTTGATAATGCTGCTGCTCCTGTTGAGGTTGAGGTACAGGTACAGGCACAGCAGAGGATGGGGTGGGTGGTGTCGTGGCTGGATGTGCAGCACGCGATGTAGCCGTATGGTGCTTGTTTGGAGAACAAGACACTTCCTTCTTGACCTGCTTCTTTGATAGTGATGCTGTTGGTGCTGGTGGTGGTGTCAACCTTCTCTTCTTTCTCACATCACGCTGAGGCTCTGAGCTGTAATGACCAGGACTACGACCCCTGACTACCAATGGCGACGAGTAGCATTCAGTGACCACATGCTGAGACGCATCATCCAATTGAGCAACCAACTCAAATATCAAACGGAAATACTGCTGTGATGCTCTACGTTTTCCATTATTTGCAGTTGCCACTCTGAACTGCAGCCGTTCAAATGTAACACAAACTTGCTCGTTGCCATACACGCTATCAGAAGGGGTAATTGGTATTGTAGGGGGCTCTCTTTGAGGTCCTTTATCACGTTTTGGTGTCATTTGAGTCAACGCAACAGGCCGAGCAGTGGCATTGCTGCTGTTGTTGCTTTCGTTGCTAGATTCATTTGGATTGCTGGTATTAGAAGTGCAGGCTTTGAGACGAAGAAAGAACTGCTGGATAGGTCGATTCTCTACTGTTGCTGATTTCAGCTGTAATGCATAATAGGTTTGATCTGAATGGCCTGGAATGGTGAGAGAGGCTGTAACTTGAAAGTAGTTTCGACGGTAGCATGTCCAGTGTGATTGAGATACGAAAAAACCTCGATCCATTTTGCAATTTAGGATGACGGGGCAACTACGAAACAGGTTATTCCCTGCAAGCTTGTTTATATTTGTGCCAAAGCGATAAAACTACTTACTTGCCAGTTTTCTTGTGATAATCAAACAGGGTCAACAGATTCCTTGGCTGACAAAAAAAGGCAGGATCCTCTTCTTCATCGTCTGCAGCGGTGGCGTGGTCATGTTGAGCGTCTTTAGAGTGGTTGTGATGAGTGGCTGCTGCGGACTGATTTAAAGGAGACGCACGGAATTGCGAGGTGAGTGATTTGGGGATGGGCAGAGGAAATCCCTCGCTTGTAGTGAGCTGGTTGCTGCTGGAGGTGGCATGCGACGTAGCTTCTTGCTTCAATGGAGATGACCTGTATAGGTTGTCCCACTGTAAATACCACTGCTATGGACACTGTGAGCACTGCCTTTTTACTCACCTTTTGTAGTCAAATGTGCGAGGGGCACCGCCGTCCACAACAACATTGCCGTGAGTGATTACTGGGTTTCCGCTATACAGGAACACGTAAAATGAGTTCCCGAAATCAAGGGGTAAGACACTAGATGAACTCACTTTATAAACGTACGACCCACTGGCATAGAGTGCGATCTTTGATGGAACAAAGGTGTCATCATGACATTGTCAGACATGTTGATAAAAAAAAAAAAAAAAAAAAGAAAAGAAAAGAAAAGAAGAGAAGAGAAGAGAAAGAAAAAGAGAGTGATAATGATCAAGAAAATCAACATGCTCTGTCTTTATATATAGATAAACCTGTTAAGGAAACGATTTTTTTTTATATATTTAAGGAGGCCTCGTTTATAAGATTGGACACTACAGGCAATAGAACGCCATTAACAACAACAACAACAACAACAACAACAACAACAACAACAAAAATACAACAATAACAAATAATACCATTACATAATTCAAATCATGAAACCCTCTTTGCCAAGCAGCAATGGTTAGATAGAGCCAGGTAACGGTAAATAGCTTGGCGTTTTACAAACATGGTGTCCTAGACGCCCATGAATTCAAGGCTTCATTTTAGGCATCTATACAGCAACTTTCATTCGTCTGCATGGCCATGTACAAATACCAGATCATGAAACGAATGACCCACATTTCCATGTAATTCCGCTCACAGTAGAGCCATCATTTGCAGGAGGAACAAACCAGTGGTGCTTGAGCTGCATGCTTAGTATCGTAAATTGAACATGTCAAAAACACCTTTTGTTCTCTCTTCGTTGCTGTGCCCCAAAAAAGTACTGATTTGATTTATTACTAAAAGGCCCATAGCAGCTGTTGATGTGACAACATTTAATTTCAAATCCATCATGTGTGATACTCTAGCTCTTTTCTTCTTTTTTTTTTTTTTGCTTCAACTCCATCATCATGAACATTTTGCATCACAAGAGGTATGGCTTGTTCAACAGTAGACACTAGTACCAAGGCTAACACACTGCCATGTTGATTCAGCTGGCATGTATACAACAAGGACAATATCGAAAGAGTCCGTAAAGACGAGGCAGAGGCAGAGGCAGAAGCTAAAAAGAAGCAAGATCGAGTGATGCTGGCAGTAAGTGTTAAATCCAATGGTATGCCCTATACAAAACACTCAATTAGAATGCTAGGAAAGTGAAGCCAGGCTTGATTTGTTACGGAAAAGAGCCAATGCCAGTTTACCCGCCATCCAAGACCAACAAGACACCAAACGCATAGAGCATGTCAACTTGTTCCAAGATTTAGAAGATAAACACAATGCAAATAGCAACAATCCAGAGCATGAAGCTGAGCAGAAGGCCAAGGATGAGAAATGGGAGAAACAAATCACAATGTATCTGGATAAAGGGACAGAGAAAGGTAGTTGATCAAGATGCCATACGTACGTGTGCTTGCTGATGCTTCTTATTCTACAGCACCATGGTATGCGAAACCAACAGCCCAAAGAACAGACAAGTATATAGATCAGCATGTCTTCAAGAGAAGCCATAAAGATGACGGCAATCCACATCGACGCAAACGAAAGGCTCTCGAAATCAACGATGATCCATTGGATTACATTACAAAAACACTTTCGAAACGAGACGAAAAGAAGCGCAGTAGACGGGAGCATAGATCATCGTCCTCACACTCTGGCAACAGCAAGAAGAAGCATAGTCAAAGCAAATCAAGCGGAAAATCCACCACATCGATTGAAGAACTGCGAGCCAAACGACTGGAACGAGAAAGAAACGAACAATCTCGGTTAAGATCCTTGTATTTGCATGACGGCGAGGACGCAGAAGAAGAGAAGGTTGAACTGGATGATCGAAAAAGAGGCTATAACTCACAATTCAACAGAGAAGCGACGTTGAAAGCTCAGCATTATCGCAAAAAGGGACATGAGTAGACCCACAGCGGCTTGTAAATACTACAGTGTAAATAAAATTTTATTGCCTTTTCTTTCCACAGTTCAAACAGTTAATATCATGCGTGAAATTGTTACGCTGCAACTTGGCTCATTAGCAAACCATGTTGCCACTCACTTTTGGAACTCTCAAGTAAGCTCTTTATAGAAAGGCATGCGTCCAAAGAATAGCAGCTCATGATAATGTCATATACGTGCAGGAAGAATACTTTAGTTACGGTGACAGCACGCAAATCAAGACCGAGGAGATAAATCACGACGTTCTGTACAGACAGGGAGAGACATCGTCTGTAAGTCATACAGGCCATCTATCAGCTACTAGGCTACTTATGAGCATATACAGGGCGTCCTGACATATACACCAAGAACACTGATTTACGATCTCAAGGGCGGATTTGGATCCATGCAAAAGTACAACAAGCTTTTCGGCGGTGTAGACACAGACGCACAACAAGTGCCTTGGGAACAAGGTATCAATCGTATTGACAGACGCATTACAAAGAACCAGTATCAACAGCAGTTGGACCGCATGGAGATGGAACATGTCGATATGGATGCTGCTATTCAACAGCTGGATCAAACAGTCAACAATTGGTCAGACTACAATAGAATCTACTACCATCCACGATCCGTCAACCCCATTGTCACACACCAAATGGACAATGACATTACGCCGTTCGACAATTACACTATTGGAAGACAATCCTACCAAGACAATGAGAAAGAAACAGACATTTTTGAGGACAATTTCAGGTTTTTCGTGGAAGAATGTGATCATCTGCAAGGATTCCAGATCATGACCGATGTGGATGATGCGTTTGGTGGATTTACAGAGGGATTATTGAACAGCATTCGCGACGAATTTGCAAAGACGCCCATCATGACTTATGGTTTGAGTGATTCTCATGCGCAGTACAGAACAGATGTAAGAAAAATGTGCTGGCGTTTCTGCAACATACTGACAATCATGTTAGCGCCACAAGCAAAAGATCATGCTGAACAGAGCATTGAGCATCACACGTCTGGCTGATCTGTCGTCCATCTACGTGCCTATCTATACACCAACACAGGCATCCGTTCAAAAATGTGGGTTAGCTCCTTTTATACAGTTCAGCGATTTGTCAAGATACCATACCAGCGCCATCATTGCATCTGCCATTGAAAGCAATTCCTTGCCTTACAGACTGAAGTACAACCCAATGACCATGGCAGATGCTGTCAGCAAGTTGAATTGGGTGAGAAGCACAAGCTTGGCCTCGCTATCCGTATGTCTGCCTCTGCCTATATCCGAAAAGGGATATACAAACACATTGGAAGACCAGCAGCAACTGAAGCCCACACTGCCCCTCTTGGATCGCATGTTAACACACAATGTAAGTTGGTATACAAAGCATTGCCGTAGTTTTTTTTTTTTTTTTTTTTTTTTTCCCCCGTTTATTTACAAACCAAGCAGGCAAAGGATGTATATGGTGAGGTTCTCGTTGCAAGAGGATTGCCACCCAACATGCGGCAGCAAACCGAGTATTTGGAAAAGCTCTACTCGACTTTCAAAGATAGCAATGATCCCCTCCAGGCACGATTTAGTCTCGATTGCGCATTCCCTCTCTCAGAAACATATCCTCGTATCTTTACATCGCGAGTGAATCAAGACGGCTTCATCACAGACGGAGCAACTGTGGAACCCGCACAGTCTGTACCCGTATTTACACAATTTGAATCTGGATCTCTATTGAAGGAAACAGTGGATCACCATTTAAGCAACCTGAACAAGATTGCATTCAAAGACTTTTTTGAATACAGTCAGGGAGAGAGCGGCCTCAGCCGAGAAGATTTCCTAGAGACAAAGGAAGCGCTGATCTCTTTATCGGATAATTACAGAACAGACGATGATAGCATGATGCTATGATAGATATGACGCCCAGATGGCATTTGCTGGTGGTGCTGGTGCAACAAATGTTGGCGGCACTTTGTGTAGAGTATTGTGGGGGCTGAGTTCGTTGTTATTGTCTAATAAAATGTATTGATCCCATAATCGACGTGTATTCAATAGGGTGTCCAGTGATTGATCGGATCCGCACCAATAGCTATATGCAACTTTATCAATGTCCATATGATGCCATGTATCTTGAGGGTGTATGACAAGCTGCTTCTTCTCTTGTTGCTGTGGTTGCTGTTCATCTTGCGCAGCTGTTTCTGCGGTTTCGTTGCGTAGATGCCATTCTTTTACCTTGTTAAAGAATGCATCACCCTCGTCTGCAAAAAAGTGCCCTTGGTTCTCCAGCTTTTTTTGCCGCAAAGCTCGTATTTCTGTCAGTAATGTCAGTTTCTTTGAAAGTGTTCTGATCAGCTTTTTGTCATTTGTTTGCTGTTGTTGCTGTTGTTGTTGTGTGTCTAAAGGGGCGGTTGCTTTTGCAGCAGCAATGGCAGTGGCATTAACAGAAGGCGAAACAGTAACCTTCCATTCTATGTCCTTGATCCACTTTTCATTCTTTTTGAGCTGCTGCCTTTTTCTTTGCTGAACACGTTTCTTGTGTTTCTTTTTCCAAGCACTATGACGCCTCAATTTGTTCTGCTTCCGTTTCAGTAGATTCAATAGATTATCATCATCATAAACCCGGCTTGTGTTGATCAATTGAGCCTAATGTTTGTGTTAGATTTGCATTGCATGATGATAAATCACGACTCACTGTTTGAAGGCCAAGATTACTCAAATGGGCATGCCATTCTTGCTCAGAATAGGATTCCAAGTTGTCTTTACTCTCCAGTTCGAGCTGGAGGTGTTCATATTTGGCGATGGCATCTGCCAGCTGTTTTTTGGCTTCGTTGAGAGACATCGTTGGAATAAAAAGAACTTTAACTGATTCAGAAAATTTAGATTATAAGCAGTTACTACGGTCACAGCTAGGACACAAGACTTGAATACACATTTCACCTACTAGGAAAGTTTGATAAGAGGTAAATATAGCATGCTACTGGGCATGGCATTCTTCCCGATATTGGATCAATACACCTTGGTCTTATCAAAGCAGAATAGCATATGTATGAAGCATATCGACAAGGTCCAGAGAATAATAAACTGCAAAATTGAATGGCCTATTGACAGACATAATAACAGAACGCCTACTGCCTCGCATAAAATGCTCAACATGTACATGAACCATTATTACAACATAAAACAGCATTTGTCTATAATCATTGTATTGGGGACTGGATTGGAGCAAAGTGATCGATCACTTTATCCCTAACTCTCTGAATGGCCAAATTGCAGTAGAAGCTCAAACTGTATGCAAATGCCTTGTGTGTATTGACAATGATTTCAAGTGAGTATTTCAGCTTGAACATATCTGATTTAAGCCATAACTTCGAGTTCAAATTAACAGAATGTTATTCGGTCATACCAGTTGGTATATCAAATGTCATAACAAGGTCTCACACTAAAGGGTTTAGGCTGTTCTTAGGTCCTTTGGGTAAATCATGCTAATCATGATTTACAAATCATTTGCTGGGAAGATAGTAAACCTATTTGTATTACAGTTCATTATCATGCTGTAGATCCTAGCACAAAGAAAAGTATGTAAATGCATTCCAAGAATGCATTCTCAATAAAAATGTAACTCTTTGGCAGATTCAATTTTACATTGTATTTTGACACAACAGCCGAGACCATTACTGAACCTTGAATAATCCTATCATTTTTCTTGCGAAATACTGAATCAGAATGTAATATTCTGATCCTGCACTCACTCGATGGACTCTTGATTTCCGCTAAACTTTGCAGCTCTGTTTAGTCAAGTTCGCCCAGTTGTATAGTAATATCATTAGTCATAGTTGGAAAGCAATATATAATACCCAAATCTTCTCTAAACAATTCATTTCTGAAATGCCTGGATTAAATCGTAGCAATAATTTCACAGAAGTTCAACTACACTACTGAGTATATTACCGTAGTGTTCATATATATAAAATACATAGAAACAGACAGAATACTCTGATTGCGATCTGGATAGAAGACTTACCAATAGTTAGATTCATTTTTCTTCTACAATGAGTGAACGAGTTTTTTAATTGATGCTTATTTAATCTTTCTTAGTTTTTATATCGCAATTATCGTTGCCATCATCATTGCCATCATCAGAAAGGCATTTGGGTCAGCCAGTAGCAGCAACGCCGCCAAAATTTATTGAAACTCAGAGTATCTTTTCTGCTCAAGATTGGACAGATTTTGTCTTTTTTCGACTTCTTTAATCTATTCTGTCCAAAGAAAAGATATGGCAAGGCGTCATTTTTGAGTTCCTATGGCCCACCACGTCCATCACTGACATCAAAGAGGCTCTTCTGTCCCTGGACTTTTCAGATATCTGGTACTCCCAAGTCAAAGGCATCCATCCATACAGAATCCTACTCATCACCCTGTCTCAAATATGGCTAGCCCATATGCGCTTTGTTTTTGACGGCACTATCTTTGTCCCTGAGGCGATTCTGGTACATATCCACTCCACTGTCCGACAGACAGTGGATGAAGATCAAATCCATTCCCTCTTGTAATTTAGATAGTTAGATAGTTCCTTTTGTTAGTTTAGTTTAGTTTCCATTTATATTTATATTTTTTTCATTTCTCAATTGCACCCGCCTCTTCACTCTGACCTATTACTCTTAGTGTACGCGGCTCAATCAATAAACACAATTTAAAAAAAAAATCTATTCTGTGATGTTTGACTATATAAACTGTGATGATCATCCTACGCTTTCTAATACATTCTTGAAGTACTTTTCAAGGCGCTTCCAATGGTTTTAATTGCAATAAGTGTTTTGAATGAAAGTATTGAGCAATTTAGTAAAACTCGAAATGAAGTTTTTAACGAAAATAGCTAGATTTTGCATATGAAAACCTCATAAAAGTAGTTCCAGAAGTTACTCTGAGTCAAGAGAAACATTTTGATCTGATATGTACCGTAGTAAGAGTCTTCATTTTCAAGGTGAAAAACACGATTATTTGGTTTTCGATGAAAACTTTTTTTTTTTTTTTTTTTTGGTGGATAATATTAAAGACTTTATTAGTAATCTGGCGCCCAATAAAGGCTTTAAATGTATCAAAATACGAGACAAGTGTATGTGAACAAAGTGACTTGCAAGAGAAAACTAGAGTGATAATAACTACATAACAACTATAGACGGAGGGAGATGTTTGTCCCAACACAAACTACCAGGCGAAACCAGACCGGATAGACTTCAAGATTGTAACTTCAGCGGAGATAGTTTTAATGGCTATCTCTCCGCGCGGGCACCCTTGTGTCTCGATTGCGCAGCTCACGACTGAAACGCTTCAGGTGCGAAAACCACTCTGACAGCGACCCCGAAGGGCAGGTTTTCGATGAAAACCATGAGGGGTACCTCATGCTTTTTGGTCGATTTTTGACCATATTTTTTTGATCCTCAAAAAGTCGAACAAAGGTGTCAGAAAATAACTGCCAGATGAGAGCAATTGTTTGGTGCTATTCTGACGATCTAAAACGGCCTTGAACGAGAGAAAACGCATCTCAAATACACTCAAATTTTGCACACTCTTGACTAAAAAGGGATACTATCTGTATAATACTTGCCGGTATATGAAGTAGCTACGTGTACATGGATGTAGAGCATCACATAAAAATGAGATCCACATATAATATAAACAATTTTTATGTGTAAGTGGAGCGTTAAAATGAAAGTAGGAGTATTTTGATAAGATATGCAAACAAAAGCAATCGGTAGCGCTAGCTGCCGCTGCGCAGGTTAGTTCTCACCAGAGCGAAGCAAAGGTAGAGAGCCATCCGAAGCATAATACTTATTCCTTTCCTAAATAGGAAAACTACAAACATACCATTCACATGGAAAATCGTTAGGGAAGAGGGACATGACCAACATTGTCAAGAATGACTTGAATGGCAAATGTAGTTTACAAGCCATCCTACAACTATCGTCGTCAAATGATTCTCAACAGCTAAAGAATTGCGTTATCATCTTGAACAAGAGCTAAGAAATGGGAAAATTGATCAGACCATTGCCCCGCATCAGTATTGAAGACAGTGAAATCAACGTGTTTCTTGAAGCAATTACACTAGGCCGCGAAACCGATGAATATCTGGAGTTGCTTCCATTGGTATTTACTTGTGCAATGAAGTCGCTTCAGAGCTATAGGATGTCTGCTATTGTCCAAGGTAGTATGATTCAAATTTTCAGAGTCAACATTTCCGGTTTCAATAACCTTATGATTATCAGTAGATACGAAGCAGCAGCCATTATTTTCCAAAGATGCTTATCTCGAGTTAGCAAGCTTAAATGGGAGGTATCATCACTATTATGCTACGAAGATGGTGTTTGTCTTGAGCAGATTGTCTAGGAAGGCTCAGTCTTCGTCCAAAATCAGTAAGGCTTATTGTATAAAAACATTTCGCTACAAACACTCACACATTACAATTAGCTGCTTTTCACTACAACGGCTGCCATGTCATGATAATCCCCAAGCCAGTTATTTAGCAGAGCTTAGAGCCTGCGACTGGGTGTCGAGAAACTTCGCAGACTTACAGCCATTTGTGCGGCGGAGGATGGGGCTGATCAGGGAACAGAGAAGGTGCATTCTTTGATGGCGTGAAGATGGACACCTTGAACCTGTTCTCACCACTCTCAAATCTGCATATACTTTATTTGACGAGAAAAGGTCATTCCTTCCAACATCTGAAGATGCGCCTCAATTGAAGAAACTCTCGATATACGGCCTTGCACACTTGGCTACTGTGGATGGTTTTGATCACTATTATGTTGGCACTACGGCCTAACTAATGTTCTCGTAAGAACATTGATGTTCCCATATGAGCACATTGAGCTTCTCATTTGAGAACATCGGCATTCCTAAAGATATATTATAACCCGGTCGATGTTTTTATGGGCACATCCGATATGTTCCCATATGAGCACATCAATTTTCAGGAATTTGAAAAAAAGAATGCATCCTACACCGTGGTCGAACCCACAGCCATTCAGCTGCTGATCTGACGTTATTCCCACCAAACTACCCAAATAACTTGTTTATGTCAGACGCTTATATATAGAAATAATATATGCAATCTGACATCTGCTGATCGAGATAGATAGAGATTGTTGTGCCAGAAGGGCTACAACTGTCTATAAAGATTAAGGTATTCTTGATGGGTAGATATGTCTGTGTTGTGCAACAACATGGACAAGCTATGATAAGTGAAGTACATCTCAGCTATTTAAATACTGAGGTTCACCAGATGTGATAAGCGTTGTACAAGATAAATTGCTACTTTGGCATTCAGAACTTAGTATAAATAGAATAACTCTTGTCTTCATCAATAAATCTTTAGTTTTTGTGTCTGATCATATTCAAATAAGTCTTTTCTTGTTTTTATAATATCGAACATTTTTTATAAGCTACAAATTATAATTCTTTTGTTCTTTGTGCCTAACAGGCTTATTTAGAAAATCATCGATTTCTCATCAGTCATCAGCAACAACCCATCCAATCTGCAATCCAACTACATTGTCGTTTTTCTCGCAACATTTTGCTATAGCATCATACTACTTTTTTTTTAGAGTTCTAGCATCAGAAACTGGAATCATCTTTATACATTCAGAATTCAATATGAGGCAAAAAAAACAACAACCAATGCAATCGAAACATTTTAAAAATCAATGATAAAGGATGCAGGGGCATTTGGTACACGAAGAAGCTGGTACCTATTGCACTGCTGTGCCTATTATATAACTTTTACTATATAATGAAATTAAAGAATGCCTCTTACATGGAATAGTTTAATGAATGCTAGATCAAGTGCTTGCACCTTGTTGTCTTATTTTTAATACAGAAGGATTTAAATTGTATTTATTTAGTATTACTTCTTTTATTACAAACATTATGTTATAATAAATGTCAAATCAATATGAAATCTACTAGTTAAAACCACTTTGCCGTTTGGACCTCTCAGCCAATCAAATCGCTTGAAAACTCCGCTGACCTCAAAAAAATTTTGCGAGGGTTTCCCCCTGTTTTGATGTGAGGCAAAATTTTAAGCTCCGCTATATATAGCAATATAGCTGTTACTATCATCAAACTTCCCTCAGGTGCTAGAGCATGCCTTACTTACACCACCTAGCTTTAGATTCTGGCGTTGAGACTCTCAATCATCACTAAAGTAAGTAGCGATAACCAAGTGGAGGCAGCCTATCTACCTCCTAGCCTCGGATAAAGTCTTGTTGAGCTTCAGGGATAGGCACATCCACACAACGTAAAAAAGGTATGCTTCAAAGAAACATAATAATAATGAAAGAAAGAAAAAAAGAACATAATACTATAAGAGTATAGTAGTACGTAGGCAAAAAAGATACACTCACACGAAGCGATTCAAAGAAAAGCATAACAAACACAACGTCAAATATGTTCAAAAAAGTTCGTTGCTGTTGCAAGAGAAATGCATACATGAGCAACGCACATGGTAGTAATAGTCGGATGTAAAGCAACATGACACAAATACGCACAACTGCAAAAGCAACAGTGGTGTTGTAAGCTTGCAATACAGCATAATGACTAATGATGTCTCATGTAAAGCTACAGAGGAAACACTACCAACAAAAGAAAAAGAAGAAGAAAAAAGCGCAACAAGGCAAACATCATGAATGCATTATCACGAGAAAGGAAGCAATAATATAAGCGTTCAAAGAAGTTTTACATCATTGCGACCAGAAGAAAGAAGATACTTACCGCTTACCACAGCCACAGATAGACCAGAAGAGTATGGGCAATCACCGGAGACAGACCAGAAAACGAGCATGCACCAAATACAGCACACCAGAAAAGACCATATTAGCAGCAGCGGCAGCAACACCAGCACCATAGAAAAATCAAAGAACAAAAGTTACAAACAGAGGCCAGACAAAGACCAAAGAAGTTACTTATTACCACTTATCACCACCGCAGATAGACCAGAGAATAAGCAATCACCAGAGGTAGACCAGAGAACGAGCATACATCACAGATAGCAGACCAGAAAATACCAGACTAGCAGCAGCAGCAAGACCATTAGCAAGACCATCAGCAATACCATCAGCAATACCATGAAAAAACCAAAGAACGAACGACACCGGAGACCAGACAAAGACTAAAGAAGCAACCGCCATAGATAGGAGACAAAGGAAGAAGTTACCAGAAATAATAAGCCAAAGCAGCGGACATCAGAGACAGCAGAGACAGCAGAGACAGCAGAGAAGCAATGACAGGCGCACGCACGTCAAACAGGCAAAAAAAATATGGAAACCTAATAAAGAAATTCGGTTAGTGCTGCTTTTACGAGTTCCAGTCCTGGTTATCGAACGATACCTACTATATTCCACTTCAAAGAAGCGGTATCAAGTATTTGTAACAGTACATGGCCTTGTTATCAGAAGCTAAAGTGTTATTTTCAATCAAGAGGGTTCCAAAACCTATATGGTTTGATGCTAAACGCGTTTTGCAAAAAGGGTAAAAGAAAACCGGGGAATAGAAAAATGAGAGGGCGCTCTACCCGACGTCACGATCAGTAGATTTGGCCTCAGATTTCTGCAGTGGTGTCAGCCGCAACTGCTGCACTTTAATTTGAAATTGTGCAGTGGGTATTTTCATGTTCGAATTTGACTTGATTTCAGATTCTTTAAACGTTTTTGCTTCGTTTGACCATAAAGAATGTCGCTGTAATACTTTACTTTCTAATACATTTATAAAGAGTCAATGAAGGCGCATCGAATGATGCTGATAACATTCAGCTTTCTGAACGAAAATAATGAGCAATTTGCAAAAATATGAAAATAGGTTTTCTGTGAATATGTCAACATTTAGTATATACAAGTCTCATAGAAAGAGTTTCCACTGCTGCATTTCATCTTTACTGTCAATTTGATCTGATATGTATTATAGAAAAAGCCTTCGTTTTTGAGGTGAAAAACGCGATCGTTTGATTTTCAAGAGTTTTCCCTTACTAGTACACATGAAAAGTGTGAGGATTTTCATGGATTTGTAATGACCCAAAACTATTTGAGATAAAGCATTAAAATAAATCCAATAATTGACAGCAATCATTTAATAACGTTCTGGGCACTCAAAACGGCTTAGATCACGAGATATTTGCAATTGAAAACTGCCAACTTTGAGTGAAATTTGACGCATAAATGAAATTCAGGTGGCTGTATTGCTTAACAGATGATCCACAAAACCAAGCTTTAATAATCAAGTTAAAAGAGCTGTTGCATTGTCCTCAGCACAAAATGGCGATAGTACGCGCTCTAATATATTTTTTTGCGAGTATAGATCTATGTTAGCATTAAGGTTGTATGTAAATTGTTCACAGAAATTAGCTGAAGCAACAGTTTCTTTCTCACGAACGTTCTGTTTTTTATCTATATAGTCATTTCTGTCGAGATTCATTCTGTAAAGTTTCATGGGAGGGTTGGAGGCACTTGCATATTGATTTATTGGTGTATTCAGTAAAATTTTCGATTGCTAACATTAGTATGGAATACATCCACTATGATCTGAATTCCGACAGTTCATCCAGTTAGCAGATTTAGATATAAACTGTATGTACACTGGATTAGATGCACTTTATCGATTTATACTATAAGAAGATATGGACTTCAGATACGCTAGTACTATAAGATTCATACTATATAAGATATAGGCTATAGATGGCACCACGGACATGGATGGCACTATAGACTTATACTTGTATTCCGACATTGACTACGGATGTTTACCATATCTGGATAGGCACCAAGATTAATGCAATATGAGCTTGTTGCTTCAGATGTGCACTTCATGATCCACGCTATAAGACACATGCTTATATCCGTGATACTAGCTACAGATACTTTATGTACTACAGACTTGTACTATATATGAGACATGCTATAGACATGCATACGATATGCTATAGACATGCCATATATCCAGATACATGCTAAAGATGTATGCTTAGCGATATACACTCAGATATGTACTATTAATATAGACTAAGAAGACTGTACCTATCGGATACATGCTACTAGATCGATATTAATTATCCTTATAGAAAGGATAGATCAGGGTACTTTGGATGAGAGTCTAATTATTCATCCAGACAGAGCTAAATCATGATTAGCTTGCTGGAGTTGTCTTTTAGCATAATTAGACATTAGTTGATCTGATTTGACTTATTTGTCAATCTAGTTAATAGAACTTTTATCCATTGTTATAGTATATAAGAAGGATCATCTACCTGGCCAGTAGAGAGACTTCAGTTTTTACTTGACACCTGTCAGTTTGATAAAAAAACATACCTTTATCAAGTTGACTTTACTGTTTTTTTATTCTTTTTTTCCGTGAATTTTAATCTATAAAGCCTCAAATTCCACAACTTACATTCTTTATCTGCTATCTTTTGACATATAGGGAATAGCTTACTGAAACTTAGCTTATGTGAATATCATGGTTATCGTTTACATGTTGATACAACTTATTTACATATGCTCCATATGTGCATTGGTTATTACTGGATTCAATCTACGACATTATGATTCAGGAACAGTTATGTGTGTGAATACAACAATCCACCCAGCTTGCAATAAGCATTGCGAATGTTGTTGTTGACTCCAAACTCATCATTCAAATAATTGTGATCCGCTCCATAAGAGGAATTCAGCTGCTAACTGGCGTTACCGCAACAGTTATAAAGGCAGTACACATACTTCATCGCGCCAGATATTCCTTAAAAAAGCACAGATAACTAGAAATCTTGAGTGTTTCGGTTTCCCGATTAAGCTGCATGTCTTGATGTCTTTGCGTTTAAAAGCTAGATATCCGTAGCAAACGTTAGCCTTGAGCGATCGTTTTTGGACAATTTGGTAGAAGTTGATCTATGGGGCCTAGTAGTAGATCCATGAGAGCTGACGTTACAGCTTTGAGTAAGACCTCAAACAATAGATAATTCTTGAGGCTACGTAACTAATAGTTTTACAAAGTGAGTGGTGCAAAGAAATTACGTGTTTCCTTCTTCAAAATATCGGAAAAACAGGGTTGTTTGAATATACGCTGCGGGAGAACCGTCAAGAAAAGTAGTGTCATTCGATGCGCATTGCAGTCTTTTTGTACAATTATAATATGAACTGAAAGTAGTGATCACATTCGAAAAAAAATACATTTGAGCGATGGAAAGGTGCAAGGATGCATCATATTGGTGTCAAGTCAATAGGAGTACATGGATTCTTGAATTAGTCTATGATGAGCCTTGAATACTTACCGTATAGCATCAACATGTAAATTACTCACTTTAAGTTATCAATCTATATTTGACACGTCGATTAGTTTTGACATGAAGATAGTATGACTGGGTCTTGCTCTGTGCTTGTGAAAGTAAGCTGATGCATCATTTCTAAACCAGATCTCCAAATGGGTAGAAACAATCAGTTCAAGCACCGATCACATCAGATCATAAACTTTGACATGAAACAGAATTCAGTTACGATCCATATCATGGCATGTTCAGGATAATAGATTGAATCTATTATCCTATCACCCAAATCAACACATCTAATACCTTATCCTCACATCAAATCCCTCAATTCGAATAGTATATAAACCCTCTTATTTCCAATGTAATAAACGATATTCTTTACCTGATTAATTTCATACTCTTTTTATAAATAATTTATTTCTGATAAATCATAAGCCTTCCAATTCAAGGCATGCTTATACCGAGGAGGTACGAGCTTTTATTACTCAATTATAAGGTATATGCTGCCTTCTTAGGAGATGCGTATTATCCCAGAAAGTGATGGATATCTTTAGGACAACGATTGAAGAATGTAAATATACGATTATGCTTTTTCTGCTAGGCATCAAAGATGCTAAATACCTTTGATACACCATACATTATTAATTAAACAATTCTTCCTGTAGTAAAGGCTTTGCGATCGGTAGCTCGATAGAACGCTCATCTCCTAATGCATGCTCTGTTTGCTTATATTCAACACATGTCTATTCCAATATTCTGTTAATACAGCCGTGTAAATAGTCGGATGAGTGAGTTGCAGAATTGATATTTATTTTGAAGCAACTGGTGCGACACCTGCGTATCGCATGACCAGTCTTTTCACACTGAGATAAATATTGGATACAACTGTCAACTTTTTAGGAGACTCTAAGGAGGCGGAGGGGGAGGTTTGATCTGGTAGCAAAAGCCATTTGTCCAAATGCACTGTGGTGTTTAAGATGGCATCTTTTGTATAACTTGATAGATAATAGCGTAATCGCAGAAAATGAATGAAAATGATCAAGGCCAACACAGATGTACGAAATCTACTATATGATGTAAGTGAAAATAATAAAGACAGATCAGCTTTGCGTATACTTGCATCAGCATCCCAACAATTATTCTACCGAGAATCACCACCACCTCAATGTATGCAACATAATGCATGGCAGTTGCGTGATGTGTACTTGTAAAATGCCTAATCTTGGTATTCACCTTTTCTGTTTGTGCATTCGCGGGTATGATGGGTAAAATTGTTGATCTGAAATACGACAATGTATGGAATATGGAGAATATAAAGAAGGGTAACAAGGTTACTAGACGTTTGGATGAGTTCCATGTCAAAACAAAAAAAAAAAAAAAAAAAAACTGAGAAATCCAAGTTTACCTGCAATGGGTTGATACGAATACCAGTAGAAAGCAATTACAAAATAATGCACATTTTCATCACTCAAAATGCTGACGCTTAAAGCAGCGTCGTTTGTCTGTGGTAACAGTGGTGAGATGATTACTCGCTCAATTTAAACAAAACAAAACTTACTACTACAGAATTGTAAATTACGACAGCATGAGATAATAGTGCGCCTAGATAGGCTCGTTTGTAATAAGCTGGATTGGTATTAAGCGACAAGATTGAACTGAAATAGATTAGCCCGTTGCAAACAACGAAAATGTGTCCTAGCCACCAGTAAAATTGTCGATGCTGTATAGTACACTTGTCAATTACAGTCAACCATACATATTACGACTACCTACTTGTACAATCGATGCTATTTGGGTCATTAACGAGACTTGTTCAGTCATCATTAAAACAATAAATAGGGTTTAATAATTAAGGAGAGAATTGTCTTTGGAGTGTGGGGTTCGTTTTAGTAGAACAAGATTAAACAATAAGAGAGAGAGAGAGAGAGAGAGAGAAAGAAGGAATGTGGGTATAGTAAAAGGATGAATATGTCTTTTTTATCATCAAATCCAGGTACAACATTTGAATGAGATTGAGGCAACCACGGTCACGTTGGAACGTTTACCAAAAGCAAGAAAAATTCACCCATTGCAAGCTATCAACACCTTTATCAGTTCATTATGCCAACACTCGAAGTGATTGAAGACGACGATTCTAAAAAGAGTCCTTTCTTGGTTCAATCCAAGGGCCTTTCCAAGGAAGAGGAAGGAGCTCTTTTCGACCAAATCGCATCGGAAGTTGCTGCTGATCCATTAGCATTTCAGCGTTTAACAACTATTTTCCTGGAGCAAACGACAAAACAAGACTTCAATACTGTAAATATTCAGCCTCAAGCTGGTTATGTATGCAAGACACACGTAGAGCAAAGCACACGTCAAATTTATAAGGTGGGCACAACTGTATATATCAATATTTGCTATCACTCGGCCATTCCTGCACCACCGATCGCCACAGAAGCCGAGATTCAAAAGGCATTGAATGCGACAGAGGACGCTGTATACAGGGTTCCATTGAGTTTAGGGCAATTGCGATACGACGACAAGAAATCGTTGATTTTAGACGCATGCATCAACACACAGCCCTACCTGAGAAGCGAGAAAGACCTGGATTTTCGGCTGTATATTCTAGAGCTGGCCATGGAGTTTGTTGAGGGTTTTATCGCAAATCCGTTGAGCAGAGAATTCACCATGCCAAGCGCAAAATCCATTGGCAAGATACCACCCAGAGTGCTGAGATTGCCCAAGCCCTCCTTGATGACAGCTATCAAAGCACAGGTCAATCCACAACCCAAGTGGCAGCTGAAGCCACAATTGACCGTCGATCAGGCAAAAGGATTGTTGATAGTCGTAATTGAAATGCCAGACAATGTAAGTGGTCTATTTTTCACAGTGAACTATGCATAAATAACTCGAAACTACAAATAGAATTCCACCTCGTGGACATTGGATATTACCTCGAACAAGATTTTGTTGAAGATATCCTCTGATTTGCATACAATTCCACTGAAACAGCACCAGGTTATAGTGGATCATGAAGAGAACAAGGTTGATTTCTACAAAAAGAGCCTTGAACTAGTGATAGAGCTCAAGTTGGCATCCAAGAGTCAGTATATTTGAGGCCTAAAACCTTGTTGAGCGGTTAAAATAAACACAGGATGCTGGAAGCAATGCCACGTCAATTTTTTATTGGCTCATTTACACCAAGCATCTTTATGAGAGGCGGTGAAGGCAAGGGGGGGACATTTAATAAAATATGGCTATATATAACCCCATCATGGAAAGGGCCCTTTGCTTTTCTTCTCTTTTCCAATTTAACATAAATTTATCAAAAAATGACTGAAGTTGCTACCACTCAAAACGACGCTGTTGCCGTTCAAGAACAACAAGAAGAGGGACAATATCAAGATCGTTTCTTGGAGGGCTCTCAACGTATTGTGCCTTACGATTTGTTGGCAGCTCGCGGTAATGCTGACAAGGTCAATGACCCAGATGCCAAGGTATACATGGAGGCAAAGGAGCTCTTCCGCAAGGGTTACGAACTCTGTATGACCATCCCTCGCTCTCTTGACGACGATGTTTTGGAAAAGCACGAAGAAGACATCAAGACAGCATCTGAGACTATGGTGGAAGCTTGGATTATGGATGATAAGGCTGCTCCCATGTCAGAGCGTATCTTGATCTTGGGTCAGCAATTTGAGAAGGTCTTGTTAAAGAACATTCCTGAGGAGGAGAAGGAGGGATTCTTTGTCAAGGATAGTCTTTTGTTTTCTGCCTGGATCTTGTTGGTGGGTAGACAACACAAGCATTGGTAAGTAGAAATGGAGTGAAATTTGTGCGGTATGATACATGTGTGCTCATACTGTTCATGTTGTTAGTATCACCACCTTGTCATTGGCTATCGATACCTACCCTGACCTTCCTGCACGCGTCTTCTTCCTTCGTGCATCATGTTACCTTTCCATGAACAAACTCAGGTATGCTTATGCAATCATTCACTTTTGGAGAGGCAGTGTGTTAATCAGCATATATGTACAGACTTGGTATTAAGGATTTAGAGAAGGCTTTGGAAAGAGACCCCAAGTTCTCTATTGCTTATTTTGTTTTGGGTTCTGTTTATTTGTCCATGGAAAATGAACGTGAGAATGCCATCAAGAACTACAAGCTCTATCTTCAAAATGGCCATTCGCAAACTAACGATACCATCCACGCATTGTATGCCCTCTCTGTGCTCGTAAACCACAAGAAGAGAAAGTCTGAGGCTGCTGAATACTACCAAAGAGCTAAGAAGGCTGAGGAAGAGTTCTCAGAGTTACATGGTGCTCACACTGGTCTCAGTGATATCAAGAAACAAGCTATTTTGGCCCACGAATCCCCTGAGGAAGCTGAGAAGCTCATTGCTACCTACACTCCTAAGAAAAAGTACGATCAAAAGATGCAACAACTGATCCAAAGTGGTATTTTGAACACTTCCTTCCCTCCCAACCCCAAGCGCTGCTCTCACTGTGCCGCTACACATGCTAAGGATAAGCCTGAGGCTCCTCTCTTGGCATGCGGTGCCTGTAGAAGCATCTGGTACTGTTCTCGCGAGTGTCAAGTTTCTGACTTCAAGGCCTCCCACAAGGGTCAATGTAAACAAATGCAAGCCTTGAAGGCTGAAGAGCAAAAATAAACGACCTTTTAATATACATACAATATACACAAATACACATTACATTCTATCAATCATTGCAAATAAATAAACAAAACATCGTTGTTTTTCAATGTAAGTTGTATGGTGCATGTGAAATGCAGGATGTTGGGTGGTTTATGCGTCGCTCAAGTAGTATCACAGTGCCTGTCCTCGCTGCCTGAAAATCCCGTGTTGCTCAACATTCCTTGTGAGGGTGCATTACATGTAATCCAAACAATGTCTGTAACGTATGAATTTGTCGTTTCAATCAATAGTAACAGGCTGGAAGAAGGTCAAAGATACGCTATTACTGCCATCGCCATTCTTTTATTAAGTTTATGAATTATTCACACCATTCAATGTCCATAATACGTATATACACTTGGTTTTAGCAGAAGTCATACAGATACTTGTCTACTTCGAATCGAACGGTTTTTGCAATATTTCTAATGAACTCAAAATTGACATTACACTTGTATTTAGCACCATCCAAACGATCCATAGCCGTCGTCCTCACTAGTAGACGCAATGTTGTTAAGCTTGTGATTTGTAACTGAATGTCCACTGTATCTTCCAAAGACTCGTCTACGATACTGTAAAAGATAGCCAGCATACGCTCCACAGGAAATGCCTTTGGTCCAAGCAATTGCTGCCGCATCTTTCCGCCCAACTTGTCCACTGTCTTTCGAGTTCCACCACCACGCTTCTTCTTGGTGTTTTCATTTGTAGATTTTGCAAAGTAACGGACATCAAATCGAGGCGGATTATACGAAGCTAAATACGCTGCTATCAGCAAGAAGCGAGAATAGAATGGCAATTCAACCTCTTTCGAACGACCAATATGACGAGCAGCATTATCCAAATCCTTTGTTTCACGAGACCATTCTGCGCTAGAGATCTCACGCAAATACAACTTCTCGGTGGCCTCTGAAAAATAGGGCTGTGCATGCTTGAATAATTTCGCCTTCTCGGTAGGTAACACTGTTCCATCTTTGAGAGGTTGTATATAGACAGGGAATAAGAGCGATGCAAAGTATCGCAGTTCATTGATATCTTTGCAATTGTGGCAAAAAATGGAATAAATGAGCTCCAAGAATCCAGCATAAAAGGCATCATCCAGTTCCACATTGTCGATGGTAGTAGGTGTAAAATCCAGTTGCAAAATGGCCAGTGTGTCTTCACGGGTGTATTCTGAAAATCGAATCAAATAGGGCTCCATGCTTCCACCTTTCATTCTAAACTTTTCAAATACAATGCTGGATATAAATACCACACAAATGTTGCATTCAGTGAGTTCTGAGAGGCGCAATAGAACAGGTAAGATGGTGCCTGTCATGTCACGGATACGTTCCGCTCTATCGAGAATCTAATGGCACATGTTGGTATCCTGCCAAGAGTGAAGCTCAACATGGGATTTATCTTACCAGGTATTTTGTCTTTTTCTCATCTTTGAAATGCTCGCGGATTGCCTTGACAAATTGCTGTACATTATCAATCTTTCGAGTGGTTGAGTAGCCGTTGGCGTGCGTGGGTCTATGTTGGATCAGTTTATCTAGGGAATGCTCAAACAAGAGGCGTGGCGTAAAGCATTCTACGCAATTGACATAGGCTCCATGAGCTTTGAAAAATTCTGTGGTGAGAGTTGTCTTGCCGGTTGAAGGTGGGCCATAGATGAAGATACTCTGCGGTGAATAACTCGCTTCGTCAACCTACGGATTATAGCTATGTGAGATGCAGTGTACATATAAAGGGCCATTGGTTCTTACATTTGAAGCGGTAGCGCAACTCAACTGACCAATTTGCTTTTCTCTGCCAGGAAACCTTTGTTTCAATTCTTGGTACATTGTGGTATAATGAGTTGGAAAAAGGATTTTGTGTTTGGAGGCAATCAAGTTGCAATGCAAGGCAACATTGCAACTTTAAAAAGGGCCATGTTCCATGGTCACAATGCGGGCCGGATGTGCTGTAATTTGCACTCGGACATTGAGAATTAAGGAACAGAAGGGAGACAGAGAGAGCGAGAAACCATCAAAAGAGAACTCAATTAAAAATCGTTTATATTCCTCCTCTATTAACCGTCTCGTAAAGGTAATAGCCAACATCCAACATAAAGATGATCCACCCATCCATCTTGAAAACGCATCCGTTCAACGTATTGACGCATCATCCATTGTTCTTGTAGTTTTTACTATGCAAATCTTCGTAAAGACTTTGACTGGCAAGACCATCACTTTGGAGGTCGAAAGGTATATAACATTTCAAATATGTCTATGGATGAGCCAAACAAACTAAACGTATTTTCATGGCTATAGTTCCGACACCATTGACAATGTCAAGCAAAAGATTCAAGATAAGGAAGGTACGGTATAGAGTGATTTTTGTGTGTATGTGTTGGGACATTGGACATACTCACATACTGCGTTTGTGTAGGTATTCCCCCAGACCAACAACGTCTTATCTTCGCTGGTAAGCAACTCGAAGATGGTCGTTCTTTGAGCGATTACAACATCCAAAAGGAATCCACCCTTCACTTGGTCCTCCGTCTTCGTGGTGGTATCATTGAACCCTCTCTCAAGGCCTTGGCTTCCAAGTACAACTGTGACAAGATGATCTGTCGTAAGTGTTATGCTCGTCTCCCTCCTCGTGCTACCAACTGTCGCAAGAAGAAGTGTGGCCGTACCAACCAACTTCGTCCCAAGAAGAAGCTCAAGTAAACTACTCGCTTCATCTTTGTGGGGTTTTTTCATATACACGAGATATTTCATCATGTATGTGCCCTATGTTTTTTCTTGAAAGCATTAATAAAAAATCCTATCGAAATCTCTTGAAAACTTTACGAAAAAAATCATTCATGTAGATGTGGGTGGTTATTGCGCTGGGATCATGGATTGTGTGTATATTCATGTTGGCTGTGATGATTTTGGGTTGTTTCTGTGAACTGGCGTTTCAGCTTGCGATTTTAGATGGATCTTATTTTGACAGCCAAGCAGATGTAAGGCAGCATGTCTAATAGTGAACATATCGAAATCACACCACAGTGGTTTGCCCATTCAGACAGCTGACTAAAAGTTGCAACGACGCTATGTCGTGTAGGGGTATCAAACATATCCAAAAGACAAGGTTCACTCTCGCACTGTAATTCTATCGACATTTGAAAAGTCGCCATCAAAATTGAAGGCCGAGCCTGAGCCTTGTGTCTATTGATTGTTGTAGAGTCATTGCTGGTAGGAATCATCGTTTTCCATGTGAAAAATGTTTGTGTAATCAACAAGAACAAATATGAATTATAATGCAAAAAAAAAAAAAAAAAAAAAAAATAATGACACGCACATGGATGCATGTTTTCTTTTACTTGTCTTGAAACTGGCTTTTTATGAAAAGGGATGAAGAATAATGATATTTAATATTAAAAAAAAAAAGCGTTCAAGTAAAAGAAGATTAGAAAAAAAAAGGGTTAAAAAATGTATATCAGACAAGAGAAACAAGGTAGTAAAAGAGTCGTTCTTCTTGCTTATTCTTTTTCACGAAACAGTTCTTTTTTATAGCAGCTATTTTATGTAATTTACAAATCATCATCTTCCTCGGGAAGGGGTTGAGCGGCAGCTTCCTCCATCTCGTTGTTGTATTGTTGCATCAATTGATGATCTACTTGGACCTCAGCAGGGGCAAGAGCAGGAGCAGCAACAAATTCCAAGTTGGGGTTACCAATCAACTTGCGAGCCAACCAAAGGAAAGGCTTCTCAAAGTTATAGTTGGACTTGGCAGAGATATCGTAGTATTGCAAGTTCTTCTTTCTGTGGAAAGTGATAGTCTTGGCCTTTACCTTACGCTCCTACACAATCAGAATACAGAATGATTAATCAGCACATTCTGAATCAAAAAAAAAAAAAAAAAAAGACGCGCTTACCTTAACATCGACCTTGTTACCGCAAAGAACAATGGGGATGTTCTCACAGACACGGACGAGATCACGGTGCCAGTTGGGGACGTTCTTGTAGGTAATTCTAGAGGTGACATCGAACATGATGATAGCACATTGACCACCGATACTGTAAGGGATATATGGATGAGTAACATGCTCTATACGTCATAGCTATTTCATCTCAAACTTACTAATAACCATCACGAAGACCACCAAACTTCTCTTGACCAGCGGTATCCCAGGTGTTGAAGATGATAGCACCAAAGTTAGTGTGGAAGCTGAGAGGATGGACCTCGACACCAAGAGTGGCTATGTGTTGAGGGCATTGTTTAGTATAGGTGTACGCGTCATTGTGTGTGTGGAATGTCTAAAGATTGAACGTGTCTACTTTACCAACATACTTCTTTTCGAATTCACCAGTCAAGTGACGCTTGACAAAGGTAGTCTTACCGGTACCACCATCACCGACTATTGTATATGTAGATGTTTAGTTATTATGTTATGTTGGTAGGTGATATGTTTGTGTTTCAATTTACCAAGGACAAGCTTGAATGTAGGAGTTTGATCAGCCATACTATGTATAATGAATCCATCGATTTTGGTTAATAAAAACACGCTCTTTTCTGCATCTGGTAGTCCATCTCATTCATCCATCCATCCAAGATGCTGTTTGATGCTCTCTAGTTACCTTGTTATCTTTAAACTAATAGATTACAGAAGGAAAAAGAGGGAAGGGATGCAACTGGAATACAAAAAAGTGTTGGGATTTTGAATGCCAGGCGTACTAACTTTGGGAAGGTGCCGGGTTGCGCACGTAAACAATGCTTCCGCCTCTCCTGATCTATGACACAAACATCTAAATCAAGCAATGCGGGCTCTTTTTATTCATTTTCATTATAACATGACGCTGTCTAAAAGGTCTTCAATGACGACGAGATCCTCTTGTTTCTGCTGCTGCTTTTGTTGCTGTTGTTCTCTCTTGGCGAGCCCTTCTTGCTTCATGCGCTGTCTTCTCGCTTCCTTGGGCTCCCAATCTTGAGCCTGTTGTGCTTTTGTGAGCATTTGGGCCATGGCATCTTCAAACACCTTCATGCGCTCCATGTTGGACTCGAACTTTTGATTCGACATGGTCAACAATAACATCAGGTAGGCAGGATCGACAAGACATTTGATTGTGTCGCCTTGAACATATGCAATTGGTGTATCAATCTTGTGTGTGCTCCTGATGGCCAACATATGACGACGAGAAGGTGTAATACCCGAGTTTTGATAGCCTACTTGGTAAGCAGTTCCTAGTAATTGCATGGCGGTTTCTGAAGTAGAGGCTTCAATGTGTAAGATCTTTGCAAAATGTCAGCAAGAAGTCAACTCTCTTTCTGTCAATTGTGCTTTTACCAAGGGCTCGAATTTGAAATAGATGAGCTGTTTGCTGAGGATATCATCAGGCCTATCACTGCTAAACTCTACTTTATCACTCTGATCGCCGAATAGCAGCTGGACAATCCATGCTTCCACATTCTCTTTTGGCATAGGAATGGGATCATGACTGACATAGAGCCAAGTGCCTCCCTTTGTCGTCTTTTCAATAGCGTCAGGATCGTTGATATCCACATCCTTCTCTAGGCCTTCACAGTACACAGCTACACGACCAGAGCAACTGCTTGTGGTATAATAGTCGGGATGTTGGTTGATTACATGCATCAAATCCAGAATTGGTGCATCAATGAACCCCTTGGGTGATTTGTCTCTTCTCTCGGGGTCCACAAATTCAACGAGGGATGACACTATTTGGTGTTTGCGAGTGTGAAATCCTTGTAATTGCTGCTGTTGTTGAGACATGTTGGTTTGACAGCCAAAGAAAGTGGTGAGATGTGGAAAAAAAAAAAAAAAAAAAAAAAAAAAAAAAAACTTTTTTCCTAATTGCTATCTCTTCATTTGAAACCGGGATTTTAAACACAATAAAAGCAAAGAAATAGCACTTTAATGCGTATAGGCAAACAGAGCATAGTATAGGTTTACTAAATGCAGGCTAATTCATTGGAGGCTGCAATTTCGCTGACAGTTAGCAGATTTTGAGTAAGCCAATCTTCACCAGCAATTAGCTCCAATCTCTTATGGGGGATTGAGTCGAATGTGTGCAACTTCTTTCATATGATTTTAGGCTTGTCATTCTTCTTTTTTACTTAGGATCTCTTGAGCATGCCCTTTAAATGCGGTCAAAGGCCTTTCGAGCCTTGCCCGGTGCTCAATAGTGTTATGGTTTTTGAGTATCGCAACATAATAAATTTATAGTCCCTAGACACTTTCATAACCCTACTATGGAAACTGAGTTGTCAGGCATTTGTCAGGCATGGTTCATATCATCATAACATAATAAATGTTCAGTCCCTAGACACTTTCAAAGCCTCAAAAAGGAAGAAGTTGATTTGACAAGTGTTTTGGTAGACTGGCGCTATTGAATATAAAACGCAAGAAGAATAGCATGACTAACGATAACGCTGTGTAATTTGCCACCTACTTTCCATACGCTTCAAACGCATCTATTACTGTATTGCCTTCATGATTATTAAAAGGGCATTGAATTTGCCAACCTACCCCATAAGCCAAAATTAATTAAAATCCAGACTCATAGTCTGTTTTAGATTGGCCTAATCTTGATGATTTTCGACTCGATCGAACTATTTTTTTTTTTTTCAGATTCGACTAAGTAAAATATGATGATCATCCCCTGCTTCTTTAAGCTTTCTTGGAGTGCTTTTCAAGGCGCATCCAATGGTATAAAGTAAGACAGATGTTTTGAATAAACTTTTTGAGCAATTTATGAAAATACGAAAAGAGGTTTCTGGCCAAAAAGTCGAATTTTTATATATCAAAGTTCCACAAAGATGATTTCAGAGATTACATCAGATCGGTAGAACCGTTTTGATTCAATATGTATCATAATAAAATTCTTCATTATCAAGGTGAGAAACGCGATCGTTTGATTTTCGATGAAAATCATGAGGGGGGTACCTCATGCTTTTTGGTGGATTTTTGGCCATGTTTTTTGGGTCCCCAAAAAGTTGAGCAATACAGGCAATACGTAATTGCCAGATGAGAGCAACTGTTCGATGCTATTCTGACGGTCTAAAAGGGGGTTTAACGCGAGAAAATACAGCTCAAATACATCCAGATTTTGCTGTATTAGACGCATTTTTAAGTAGAAAGGGGCATTGCCAGTATACTGTTTGCCTGTATATAAAGTATCTACGTGTATACAAACGTGGAACAACGCATAAAAGGCAGTTCCATAAATATGCAGGCTTTTCCTATGCAAATGAAGATTTAAAATGGAAGCAACCGTATTTTTGATAATATGGACAAGGGCAATCGATAGCACGAGCTGCTGCTGTGCAAGTTGGCTCTCACCGAAGCGAAGCGATATTAGAGAGTCATTCGAAGCATAAACACTCGTAGTATACGACGATATTATACGATATACCGTATAACGTTTGAACTTTTAAAATTGCTTAGTTGTGTTTATTAGCTTTATATGGTTGTTAAAAAGGTTTAAACATCACTTTATTATCATAAAACTAGTAGGTCTGATGACCAGAATCATGCTGCAATCTTCAAGCAGCCTCCCCACGCGCTCTTGAAATCAACAGTGGCTCTGTCTGGTAGCAGCACTTCCAATGGAATCTCTGAACAATCCGAGTTACCATAGATAGAAATGCTGTTGTCGGTTTTGTTGTCGATAGACGGAACGCTCCCTGGAGGAGCATCTGATGGGATTTTGAGAATACCTGCCTTTGGATTGACAATTGTCTTGTCGTACACCCTTAGTGTACCTGTGGCAGCATAAGATACTTGCGAGAAACAAACTGACGTAAAGACTAGATATAAAATCTTCATAAGAAGAAGTTATCAGGCTAGATATTGTTTATACTGTATAATGTTGTGAGAAGGCTATATTTATAGGAAATGATCATGTACAAGCACATGTTTAAAAACACTCTTCTAACTGATTGCTCTGCCGTGGTCTCAAGGCAAAAGAGCGGCTCATTTCTATGCATAATCCCTTAGAAGTAGCCAGTAACTAATGCACATTAATTTCCCTGATCTCTTCATATTGCCATCAAAACCATGAAATTCGTCAATATGTACAATCATGATTTATTAATTAAAATCGTCTATGGACGACTGTTACTACTAGTGCTATTGTTGTCTTCGTTATCCATGTCCTTCATGGGTATTTGATCGTATTTTTGCTTTCCATTTCGTTTGGATCGACCCGCACTGAGCAAGAGAGCCTTCTTAGCTTTACCGACAGCCGCTAGTAAAGCACCTTCATCTGTCATATCTAGGTCCTCCTTGGGTTCTGCGTCCGATGATTTTCTCTTTAATTTGCTAGAGGAGCCTCTTTGCTGACTGATTAATCCCTCTTCCTCCTCTTCTGCCTGTTGTTGTTGCTGCTGTTGCTGTGGTTGCTTGGATTGGTTTGAATTTGTAGTGGATTTCTTATTACCGCTGGATATCATGATGGGTTTCATTTCTCGATGCATGCAGGCCCATTCACCACCAAATGTCATGATGACTACATTCACTAACTGTAGCAACCACCACGATATGCTCGAAGGAAAGTGTTGCGATACATACCATACAAATAGCAGATGAAAGAAATGAAAGGTGAGCACATAATCCAGAATCTGTCTTGCTCGTTGGACAATAACCATGAGAATGGGTATACTGAGACACGCGTTGACAAGCCATACAATGATCAAAGACCATCCAAAGCCAGTGTCGGTTCGGATTTCCTTGTAGTTGAAAATAAGGTCTAGCGATGCGCTTGAACCATTGAGTGTGAGTGCGATAAGGAGGATGACGCTGTATACGACGTAACAAAGCGACTGTAGTGCTGCAATCTGCGATGCGTAAATACCCTTATGCTGTGAATAGATTGCATTTGGTGCTAAATTACCTGAGCTATGATGAGAACAGGGTCCCACTTTGAGGATCTGAATGACGAAGAAGCCATGTTGAGCAGCAAAGGGTGCAAAAGAAGAAATTATCTGTGAGGATTGCAATTTTACAAATGAAGGATTTGAACCTCAGTCGGGTAACATATCTAAATGCATCAAACAAGATGTCAAATAATATGAAGAGATACCTTTTTTTCTTTATTTTATATATTTTAAATCATATTTATACAATATTTCCAGCTAAAGGATTGAGAAGAGAAAGAGGTGGGGGAAAGAAGGAATACATAGAGTAAATTAATAACTTCTACCAAAGAGCATGAAATGTTTAGCATCATGTTCACAAGCAACACACTTGGTGACGCCAGGGACAATGGGATCTTCAGTAGGTTGGTTGAAGGGGTTACAGAGAGACTTGGCACCCATGGAAGGAGCACGGTCATCCTCCTCCTCACCTTCATTGGCGACCTTGGCAGAACGCTCCTTGATATCATCCTCACACTCCATGCGATCACACCAGGGGACCAAGAGCAACTTCTTCTTATTGAGGGTGGGAACAAAGTCCTCCCACTTGGAAACACGGACGATAGATTCTTGCATCTTCTTGGAGGCCTTTTCATACATCTCACGTTGAATAGTATCAAGGGCTTCCTTGACACCAGCTTCAAGGTTATCAAGAGAAACAGAAAACTTGGCACCGGTATCACGACGAACAGCGGTAACTTGGTTCTTTTCCAAGTCCTTGGGACCAACTTCGAGACGAAGAGGAACACCACGAATTTCCCAATGGTTAAACTTGAAACCAGGGGTATAGTTTTCACGAAGATCGGCCTTGCTCTTGAGACCAGCCTTCTTGAGACGGTTGGCAACATCTTGACAGGCATCAAAGATCTTGTCAGATTCAGCCTTGGAAGTCTTGACGGTCAGACCACAGGGAACAATGACAGTTTGAATGAGGGCGACACGAGGAGGCATGACCAAACCCTTATCATCACCGTGAGTCATGACCATGACACCAATGGTACGAGTGGAGAGACCCCAAGAGTTTTGCCAGACGTGGAGCTTCTTGGCTTCCTCAGTAGCGTTGGCAGGAGCACTAGGATCCTCGACAGTAATGTTGAACATCTTACTGAAGTTTTGGCCAAGACAGTGAGAGGTACCACCTTGGATAGCACGACCAGTGGTAGGGATAAAACCTTCAACAGTCGTAGTGTAATAACCACCAGCAAATCTCTCCTTCTCAGACTTGACACCCTTCACAACGGGCAAAGCCAACAAGTCAGTGTAAATTTGCTCATAGAGATCCAAAATTTGCTTGACTTCGACATCAGCGCTCTCCAAGGTCAAATGAGCAGTGTGACCCTCTTGCCAGAGGAATTCACGAGTACGAAGGAAGGGTTGAGGGTTCTTGAATTCCCAACGAACAACAGAACACCATTGATTGATACGGAAGGGCAAATCACGGTGAGAACGGATCCACTTGGAGAAGTAGGGATACATGACAGTTTCAGAGGTAGGACGAATAGCAATAGGCTCTTCCAGATCGCTGCTACCAGCCTTAGTCACCCAAGCAACTTCAGGAGCGAAACCCTCAATGTGGTCCTTCTCACGTTCCAAAACACGGTTGGAGACAAACATGGGGAAGTAAGTATCCTCGACACCCATCTCTGTGATTTCAGCATCAAAAAAGTTGGTGATCTCCTTCCAAACGTTGTAGGCCAAGGGACGAAGAATGTAACAACCAGAAACATCGTAGTATTCCAACATTTCACTCTTGGTCAACACTTGTTGATACCACTTGGGAAAATCCTCTTCCTTCTTACAACCGAGACCCATTTGATTGGCTTCCTCAGAGGGAGCAGCAGCTAACGTATGGACAAAAACGCGATTAGGTTCAGCATCTCACGCCATTACCCCTCTCCTTCACCTCATGAAATCACAACTCACCTTCCTTCTTAGCCTTGGAGGCCTTGGCAGGCTTCTTGGCGTCAGTAGCAGGAGGTTTGGCGGCAGCCAAAGCCTTAAAATCAACATCGATGAATTCCTTGTTGATGGAGGCAAAGTAGCTCTTCAATTGATCGACTGTAACAAAGACTGTCTTGTCAGCAGCAGAGGGATGGAATGCCAACAAGGCAGTAGCATCAAGGGCCAAGATGGTGCTATCGACAACAAGATGAACCAAGGAAAGATCCTCAACATTGGACAAAGCAAAAGGAGAGACTGAATCCTTATCGACGCCGAAGGTACCCTTGAGCAAATCTTCATTGGCGAAACGGCAATCCTTCAAGGAAAGCTTCTTACCGAGAGCAGTGGCGTTAGTCTCGGTGGATTCCAAAGCGATAACGACAACAGGTGTAGCAGGGGCGGTCTTTGCAGTCTTAGGCTTGAGAATCAATGTCTTTGTCACTTGATATTGTTCGTTGGTATTGCTGCTCAAAGCTTCAGTCCAGGCCTTGCTGTCGCTGACGGCATTGTGAGAAACTGTCTTTGGTGAGATGGAGAGTTTGCTGAGAGCTTCCAACACTGCGTCGCAGGATGCCATTTCCGTTTTTTTTTTTTTAAAAAAATAAGGGGGGGTTGATAGAAAATAGAGAAAGAAAAAGAAGATCAAACTCTTTTATTTATACCAGAAAAAAAAATTTTGTCCATTTGGGTGGTGTAGTAGTCTGTAATGGTGGCGGAGCCAACTTGTCCAGGTTGGGTGGAGTGTATCTGAAAGGAACCTGTCAAATGTGTAGGAAAAGGCTAAATCTCAAAAAGGAGATTTCCTGAGGATCTGGAAGGGGTTGAATGGCCGCAGTGTTTGATGTATTACAACATGCATTTAATTGTTACTTAACCTGCGCAAGAAGTAGATGGGCATGCTCATAATAAGCTGCGTCTCTTCCGGGCATGCACAGTGGATCCCGGTCGCTCATAAAAGCAAATACTGGAGCACCGGATGACCTCAGAAGACTCAAAACTTGTTACATATATTTGCCTAGGCTGCGTCGTCCCCACTTGGCCTTGAGTCCATGCGCGTCTTTGTTAATGTGATTGACCACAACAATGATTGATGTTAGAGGAACATTTGAACGGTCAAACATTTTGGACTCTTCTGAAACCATCATGTTCCAATCTCTTCTCCCAGTCTAATTATCAAAAGGCTTGGGATGTAGCTTCTAGTATATAAGATTACGCAATATCTCTGAGGTCTTTTCAAATGTTCAAATCACAATGCAATGCGAAACAGAGGCAGCTATGGAAGGTTACTTAATAAAATGAGCTAAAAATTTTATTAGAAGGCTGTGTGATTTCATGTTCATATTTGAGAAGAGCATATATTGTCATAGAGAATGAGATGTCGATCTGTTCCACGTGTATTTATAGTTGTTTAAGAAATGATTCAAGGATGAGGATACATACGAATAATTCTACTTGATTGAGGAAAATGAAGAGCTGGTAGGAGGTGAAGTGGGCGGATTGGTTGTGGCTGTGCGCCATTGCTTTGATCTGAATCTTGAATAGCGTAAACCACAAGCGTTGCATAGCCTATAGATATATACATGTAAGCTTTTTATATCTTCATTCACGACAAAAACTTTACGTTTTATGGCCATCAGGTCCTCTTCTCCATTCAGGGCTATTGCTTGTATGACAACGAGTACAGGTCTTTACATTCTCTGGCGATATAGTAGCAACAGGTCCTTGAAATGCATCCTTCCTTCTCTTTTTCTCCGTGGATGAACAGCTCATGTTTCGCCGTCTCATAGCTGAGTCGTGTGGTGGATGCTGTTGCTGTATCCTGAATTTTTTCAAATGCGAAGAAGACGAGTATAAAGGGGCTACTGTGGCTGTCGATGAGAGAACATTAGCGGAATGTCCTTGTTTTGACCTTGAATCTGCTGCAACAATATATCTACTGTCATTCGCATACTTGTGTTGAAATGTAGAGGGCTGTCTTCTATCCACCTCTTCCTTTTCACCGTCAGATTTGAGTACTTTTTGAAGGTTGAAATACAAGGCAAAACTATTAATGTACATACCAGTGTGATGCCTTTCAAAAAAGGCGGAGGTAGTGGCGGTAGGAAGGGGTGTTACTTGAATTGATTCAAAGAAAATGTTGCCGTAGGGAATCAAAATCCGTTGGAACTCGCAAACTTTTCTTGTGGTGGACAATTCAATTTTGCTGTTTGCATAGAAATGGCGAGTACAAGACACATCCTCTGCAGCAGCAGTGATGCTGGGTGTTGGTCCATTCGATGGACTTTTGAATTCTCTTAGTGAAATCTCTTTTGCCAAGAATTGGATCATGTCGACAAATGAATACAGCTGTGGCCATACGAATAATGGCTTCAATGTGATTGAATCAATGATTTGGAATATTCTTATAGGATTGACTAGTTGGTGGTCGTCTATCATTTGCGTAATTAGCGTTTTTTGTATTAGTTTCAAAACTTGTAACATTCGTAATGCATCCTAAGGTTCGTTAATTAAAAATTAGGGCTCGGTTGTTTAGGAGTGTACAACAAATACCTCAAAATCAAAGCACGCCTTGTCTGATCTGGCAGTACAACTTGGATTAGATTCAATTGGAGTAGCGTTGAAATGGCAAGCGCTGAAATCTAACACATCTGCAGTGTTTAGTATCACACCAATCAACTCAGCTAACGACTACAAAGGTACCTGTATTGTGGAAAAACGCCAACACTGTATCATCTGTTGCTGAGTAAATAACAAGGTCTATAATATTCCAATCCTGTCATGGTATCAGTACAGCTTTTTCATCTAAAAATGTTATAGATTGATTGCAATCTTACCTGATAATCAGACGACAGAGAAGAATGCTTGGATAAGACATGGCAGGCCATGCTTTTAAAAGAGAGTAGCCGACATCTTGAATAAAGACGAATCATTATCAGGTTTCTTTTGATTAAAACTCGTGTATTATTACCTCGTGACAGATCCTGCTAGGGTTTTAAGCTTCAAGAAGCTTGACAGGTCGTTTTTTGCCATTCCAATTTCACTTGGATGCATAAATTCAAATAGGGAGCGATGCAGTAAGACATCTTGAATGGTTGTTTGATCATTTTTAGTTGCGATTTTGATGTTTCGAATAGACGATGGGATATGAACAAACTCTAAAGAGTCGAGCGATAGTAATGACCAGAAGCAAGAACTTTGTATAGTCATTTTGGTATATTTGTTCTCTAGAACATTCATTAGCTTTTAAGGAGAGGAAAGACGTTATTCAAGGTAAATTTTTACCTATCTATTTGCAAGAGTGTTATTTCAACCTATAGCCATTCAACATGAGAGAAGAAAAAGAGAAAAAAGCAAAAAAGCAAAAAAGCAAAAAAAGCAAAAAAAGCAAAAAAAGCAAAAAAAAAAAAAAAAAAAAAAAAAAAAATGTTATGAGCCAAATGAAAATGTCAAGTTTTATTTACTTTGGTTGTGTACCATGCTGCCCTAAAAGGACATGCTATAGATATAAATAGTTATATGTAAAAAGTTGTATTCCAACGTAAAATTATAATGGAACCAACAGTAGTAATTTAGTTGGAGGAATGGGAGAAAGCAGTGATAGGGGCAATGTGTATCAGCAACAATGACCGCACACGCACGCGCCTCATTTAAGGCTATGAATATCGGTAGATATTACAAAGAAAACGCAGTTGGTATTAAATCTGACATGGTACCAGCCTTTTTCTTTTGCATCATCATACTTCAGCCTGATCACCATTCATTGCAGCCTTCCCGAAGAATTCTCATTGTGTATACATAGTCAACATGGAGACATCCGAGACATGTGTGATGAGGCAACAATGCTCATCTCCCTTAAACCTTACATGTACTCAATGGAAACTAGCAAGAATACTCTTATACTAGTTTAATTCTATCATTACTTATATCATCATTAATCAAGATTCGAGTCTCCCTTTTTCCATGGCGTTTTTTTTTTTTTTTTTTTTTTTTTTTTTTTGGTTCCTGGTGCATTTACCCACCAAAAAACGTAGTGTTTTTTTTTGTGAGTAACTCAGGAAAAGCGTAGAATGGCCCAAGAACTTTTATTCTATATATAAACATCGTGTTCACCGACATGCCAAATATTGCAGCCATGTTTCTGTAATGTAAAATGTCTAGAATTATTTAACAAAGTGACACAAAGAAACTATCATACAACATGCAATGTAATTAAGAAGGTTTTTTTTTTTAATTCTTGTTGCTGCAGTGATACAGCACCATTGAATAATTATACAAAAACTTAATTAAGAAAAATGAGGAGTTGTGTCTCATATTTGAATGGATGCGTATGCTGTTGATAACCATAAATGCACAAGGCAGGAGAGTTAGGTACTTGTTATCATGATAAAGTAAAGGGAGGGGGAGACCTCGCATCTCATAAATGACAATCCAGAAGAATGCTCTCACAATTCGGTTTGTTTATTCTGTGAAATTGTAAAGCGCAAATTTCGCTAGTGCCTCTTAAATGACATGGATACGATGGAATGACAGACTAAGGAATATAGGGTGTTTTTCAAATGATTAGCTACAAGTGCTCTATCCTAGAAGTCGCTCCCAGAGCCATCGCTGATGGTGGCATTATTGCTGTTGCTTGTGCTTCAGCTGCTCTTGATGTTGGTCATCATTAATCATTCGTTTTTTATTGCGATAAGGAGTTATTATGGCAGATCTGGTAATTGGAACACCGTCCAAGTCTCGAATAGTCTTCTACTAGAACCACGATTCGCATCTTTGATTTACAAGGTGGCTTCTTAGGACATGTCTTGGTATGTAAGTAGATCTTGCCGGTCTCATTATAAGAATGCCGTTTTAGATGAGCACGTATCAAGGGAGTAGACCGATTATTACCGGCCACCCGGTACAGATCGATGTTTTGAATTTCACACGAAGAAATCGTTAGTGTTATGTGGCAAATCTTAAACAATTTAAGGGGATTCTAAATTTTAATTAGAGTTTTCGGTCAGAGTGATACCGCATTCCTGTTGTTGTTTCTACCTCTGCTGATCAATAAGAGAATGTTGTTGTTTCAGTGGCAGAAATGTATACATTCATGGGGAGGGGGGCTGAATCTAGAAGTAGCTTTTGTTCAATGCGCGGCAGTACTCTACATGTATACAATATAATCCCATTAGAAACATTGAACGCGCTTGAGTAACTTTTTCACCATCGCAGCTTTGTTAGAAGCATATAATTAGGGTTTGTCCTGTATTACTTTCGCCTCAACCTTATTCTTGATAATGTCTGTCCGCATTAGTGGACATCGTCGACATGCAAGTAGTACCACGTGGGAACAAATAGAGCGTTCAATTTTAGAGATGAAATCGATTGCATAGTTGGGTACATCCTGTCTTTGTGTACATGATTCATCGTTACTGAAATTGCACAATTCAGTCTTAATGAAATAGACGATTTGAGACAAATTGTGATAGTATGCCTAGTATACTCAATCCATGCCTTTTCATCTATTATGTCCTTGAAGTATTTCTTGTTGGTATGTATTGGTGTATCGTAGATTAGATAAACGTTTCGCCAATTTTTTTGTGCTATTATCTGTTAAATGGATCCGCCAGCTTGGCTTTCGATTATAGGAATCAAAATGAACAAATATATGGCATACTCAAGCATTTGTAACAAGATGAATCTCGATCTGTGGTAGGTCATCAGAATGGTCTTCTAGTCTTTTTTCTTAATCTGCTTCTGAAAGGACTAAATCGCGCAACAGTCAAATGTGGCAACATGAATGCTAAGCAAGTGCAGTGAATAAAGAAGAACATCATTAACACACAAACAAATATATATAAAATAGCCTAGCAATATCTTCACATGATTATCTCAAATAACCAGCAAGTCTCTATCAAAATAGTTTTCAAAAATGATGCGTTATCGAGGTACTTTATCTTTATATCTTGAGTAAGTTTAGAGGTGGTATAATACGATCAAATTATTCAGTTGTCATCTTATGAGTTGGAACAAAAGATCCAACTAGATCGACTTCTGCCACTATTCAAATGTGAATACCACCATCTATCGCACAACGTTAATTGAATAGCTTGAGTCAAAATTATACGTGATAGTTCACTGCTAAATGCTTGGCTTTAGGAGGTAGAGTTGATTTGCCATTAAGGGATAGCTTGAATAAATTTAGAGAGATTCCTACGTATACAAACGTGAGTAGGACAGCAGAGTGTCATGTTATTATCGAATGGATTCAACACAACGTAACATGTTATGTTCGAATCAAAAAACGATTCAGATAATCATTGTATATTTCAAAAACATGTAATAAACTGTCCAGCCCTCCTGCTCAGTGCAATTCATTCTTGATTTCTCATGCGCTACTACATTGCCGTACCACAGAGTCAACAAATTTAGTCAAAATGAAAGTTAATAATAGAAGAATTAGCTACACATACTTACTAAAAGGATCAGAAACCGCAGGTTGCTCCTAAAGCAGCTCCTCTGTTATGTTAGTAAGGAGCCAAAAGGATAATTGGTTTGATGGCAGCAGACATTCTCCTTTCAATAATGTATACGTGCCATTCTTCATAATAACTATAATCCTCAGTCTAAGACTAGTTTTTACAGGATAATTGAAATGCGCGTCAAATGGTACTGCTCTTGAACATTAATGCGTTGGATGGCTATTTCATCCAAGTCTACCGACATTTGAGGATGCCGCCTCTGAAAGCATGCAGAAGTAACCGTACATCTTATGCTAATACTAAAGCTAAAACACATTTCAATATTGCACGCAGTGGGAAGCTGGCACTCTATGATTCACCTTAGCTTGTCTAATGTTAGCGATCAAAAAATTTTACTGAATACACCAATAAATCAATATGCAAGTGCCTCCAACCCTCCCATGAAACTTTACAGAATGAATCTCGACAGAAATGACTATATAGATAAAAAACAGAACGTTCGTGAGAAAGAAACTGTTGCTTCAGCTAATTTCTGTGAACAATTTACGTACAACCTTAATGCTAACATAGATCTATACTCGCAAAAAAATATATTAGAGCGCGTACTATCGCCATTTTGTGCTGAGGATGATGCAACAGCTCTTTTAACTTGATTATTAAAGCTTGGTTTTGTGGATCTGTTAAGCAATACAGCCACCTGAATTTCATTTATGCGTCAAATTTCACTCAAAGTTGGCAGTTTTCAATCGCAAATATCTCGTGATCTAAGCCGTTTTGAGTGCCCAGAACGTTATTAAATGATTGCTGTCAATTATTAGATTTATTTTAATGCTTTATCTCAAATAGTTTTGGGTCATTACAAATCCATGAAAATCCTCACACTTTTCATGTGTACTAGTAAGGGAAAACTCTTGAAAATCAAACGATCGCGTTTTTCACCTCAAAAACGAAGGCTTTTTCTATAATACATATCAGATCAAATTGACAGTAAAGATGAAATGCAGCAGCGGAAACTCTTTCTATGAGACGTGTATATACTAAATGTTGACATATTCACAGAAAACCTATTTTCATATTTTTGCAAATTGCTCATTATTTTCGTTCAGAAAGCTGAATGTTATCAGCATCATTCGATGCGCCTTCATTGACTCTTTATAAATGTATTAGAAAGTAAAGTATTACAGCGACTTTCTTTATAGTCAAACGAAGCAAAAACGTTTAAAGAATCTGAAATCAAGTCAAATTCGAACATGAAAATACCCACTGCACAATTTCAAATTAAAGTGCAGCAGTTGCGGCTGACACCACTGCAGAAATCTGAGGCCAAATCTACTGATCGTGACGTCGGGTAGAGCGCCCTCTCATTTTTCTATTCCCCGGTTTTCTTTTACCCTTTTTGCAAAACGCGTTTAGCATCAAACCATATAGGTTTTGGAACCCTCTTGATTGAAAATAACACTTTAGCTTCTGATAACAAGGCCATGTACTGTTACAAATACTTGATACCGCTTCTTTGAAGTGGAATATAGTAGGTATCGTTCGATAACCAGGACTGGAACTCGTAAAAGCAGCACTAACCGAATTTCTTTATTAGGTTTCCATATTTTTTTTGCCTGTTTGACGTGCGTGCGCCTGTCATTGCTTCTCTGCTGTCTCTGCTGTCTCTGCTGTCCGCTGCTTTGGCTTATTATTTCTGGTAACTTCTTCTTTTGTCTCCTATCTATGGCGGTTGCTTCTTTAGTCTTT